GACTGATGAAACCACAGCAACATTTCAAATGCCAGGTCTTGATTATAAATGCTGCACCCTTTAGCACTGAAAGTCTACTGTGCTGATTTTCTGGCCATATTCAAGTAGCTCTGAAGCATTCCTGAAGCAAGGAACTGTACTCCACCCTGATAAGCTTGGCTTGCATTTGGCTAGGATAAGAATGCAGAGAGGAAAATCACAGAAGCAATTGGAAGAGAGTTAAGTAACCATAGTAGACCAGATCCAGCTATGATGAAAGTATGTCAGGCTTGCAGGGCATGAGTAGCTCTGATTTAATGAAAATAAAGTTCTGAAAAATGTGGAGAATATTAATATGATGAGTAGGGGCTGAAAGAGCTGGTCTAGAATGTCTGTGACAATCTTAATTCTCAGCAGATTGTGCTGAAAAAGAAAATACAGAGGAAAGCTGAACCTATTCATTATCAATGCCAAAAAAAGTGAATGTTTTTAAGTAATGGATATCATTAGGGAAACTTCCTGTTTTTATCTTCTGAACATGTCTATACAGGAAGATTTTCTGTGGTGAGGACTTTCTTATACTGTTAGAATGTGGTATTATGGGCTGCTAAAATAAGTATGTTCCATCCATCTAAAGCAAGACCTTACAGAATAGGAGCTGTAACTCTGCTTTTCTTTTTTTTTTCTTTTTTTTTTTTTTATTAACAGTAGATGCAAATAAAATGGTCTTTAAACCAGTGGGCCTCAATTTAAGGCCTCTTGGCCACAGAAAAATACAAAGATAAAACTAAGGATGAGCAACAGAGTGTTACCTGCAACAGGCTGTTTACCTGATGTTGTTGCTCATGGTTCAGTAGAAGCTGGACATAATTATTTTAAAAGGCTCCTCACTGTCTAAATATTGTTTCTGTCTCTGAGGCTCTAGTAATTCTTTCTAGATGAATGGCTCCCATGGTTGCTTCCTGGGTAAAAGCTGTTGTGCCACTCTATTTTGTTAGGTAATGCAGCAAAAGCTGCTGTTTGCTGGAGCCCCTCTGACAGAGGAGTCTGGTGGCATGGCCTTGGCTGGGGCTGCTGTACAAATGGGCAGAGTGGGCTGCTGAGCTGTGCCCAGCAGCACAGACAGCACCTCATCTTTGCCATGGTGTGAGCCATGGACAGAGCAATGCTGCTGGAAAGGGCAGTGCCAGCTCACTGACAGGTTGGTCTGACAGCATCCTGCTAGAGGAGTTCTTTGGTTTACAGGAATTTTCTCTGTGCTTTGTGTAGCTCCTTGCAAATCAGTTCAGCTGACTCTGCCAGTGGGTGAGGAGTTAATATGATTAGCAAGCCACAGTGGTAAAAAGTCCCAAACAGACTTATTGCTGAGAGGGGGCTGGAATTTGTATTAGGATTGGCCTTGGTACCAAGGCATGGAAGGAGGGTACCTTTTGTGTGATGTGAAATGTGTCCTGCAAGGGCACCCTAAAGCTGGTTTCCAAATATGGCTTGTTTCTAAGTCTTGTATCCTAGCACTGGAGGCAAACCCCAGCAGTTATTCACCAGCTCCTTGATTGTGGGTGTTGGATGAACAGATCCAAAGTTCTGCCAGTGGGCATCTATTCATGGGAAAGGTCAAATTCAGTCAGCAGTAAGGCACTCAGGGTGTGCCAAAATTTAGGATTTGCTTGGTGGGAGGTGCATAGTTGTGCCCAGCCTCCATCAGGAGGGAAATAAAGATTTATGAACCTAGGCCATTCCACAAGCCACTAGGAGTATGGAAAAAGCCAAAGATGTAGAAATAGAGACAACAATCTTATGAGTAACAGCTGGAATGTTGTTGCTCAAATTCTGTTTGTATTGGAGAAAAGGGAGGCAGAGATGGATGCAAACCCAGCGTATCATCTTACATATGTTTTGTCCATTAGAGCAGAATCTGTGGAGAGCTGTTTACCCTGTAGCTTGGATCGTCCCATTGCAATTACTGCTCTTTGACAGAGTCCACTGATAGAACCTGCCCTCAGGCAAATGCTTTTAAAAAGCTGTTGTTCAGGTCCTCCAGCCAGGTTTCTAAGTATCTTTGTTAGGAACTGGCATTAGGATGGTGATGCTGGTAGATCATACCCCATTCACACCAAACCACCTGAATCTCTAGCTTAAAGTGATGTGACACTGCTGCCCACATGGCCTCAGTGGAGTACGCATTCCCTTTGTGTGCCAGCATACTTAATGCCATCCTTCCTTCCTCTAATGGCTGTTCTGGCAGAGTACATGGCAGAGGTGAGGCCTAGGAATGGGGCTGGGTGGAGTGGGAATGCTCTCCAGGGCAGCTGAGTGAGCAGAAGAGTTAAACTGTGCAGGGGAGGATGTATACAGAGTCACATTCAGGAAAGGAATATTACTGAATGAACAGACAAAGAGGTGGAAATACTAGATTAGCCGAAACCTAACATGGGCTAAGGATGCTTGAATCACCTGGATGCAGAAATGAGTGGGAGTGTAGAAGCAATGCCATGGATGGCAGTAGCAAAGTACAGTGTGTGATGCTCAGTGGATGACCCAAAGCACTGCCTCAAGTACCATCCAAGGTTTCAGTATCCAAATCCCCTTTCAGGTATACAGAAAGAAACTTGGTACATCCAAACAGATTATATTTCAATGAGCAGCCCACAGCCTACATATACCATTGAGGCAAGAGCAGAGAGCAGCTCCTGAATCCCAAGAGACTGCAGTGGTGGGTATCACCTGAGAAAACTCCCTGGACCAGCTGGCAGGGGACATCTTTGGGTGATTATCAATAATAATCACAGTCCCCATTGCATCTGGCTGCTGTGTAATCAGCGTGCTGTTCTGCATTTGGCTGCATCTCTGTAGGAATGCCTGGTGAGGAGTCAGATCCTGGAATGCTTGGTAGCACAAGCTCACTACCACACCCCATCAGTGAGAGTGGGGGCTGTGACAGTGCCGCCCTTCCAGTGCACCTTGGGCTGAGGGACAAGGCATCTGCCCTACAACCACTTCTCTCTGGCACCAGCAATGTGTGGCGTGGCTTAAGGAGGGCTGTGGAAAAGCCCTGCAAAATTTGAGTTCTATCCTGAATGACTGGGTGGGCCTGAAACTCCCTAACTAAGCCTCTGTCTAGGTGAAACACGAGCCTAGTATGATGGAATTGGCAAAACCTGTTTTGTAAGGACCAAGCTTATTTGGCCTTGGTGATGACATGTTAATTAGCTGTATCTTATTAACTTTTACTGTTCACATTGTGTTCAGTGGGTGGATACACCCATAAAAGTTCAAGCTATTTTTAAGCTGATCCAAGTGTGAGCACTGAGGCCACGCCTTGGCCAGGAGCTGAGTTTGGTATAAATTAGCTGAGTGTGGTGGGCTGTGGCAAACAGGGCCGTACAAACAAGAACTGACTGTTTCCATTGCGTGGGCAGTGGATCAACAGCTGACAGAAAGACATGTGAGACTGCTGGAAAGGCATAGAGCAATCTTATTGTGGACTGATCTGATTAGCAGCCTGTGCTGGCATCTGCTATAATCACCGGCAGAGATCGGCGTGGGGGGACGTGGTGACGCCAATGTCTGAGACACTGTGGGAGCAGCGTGGCCAAGGCTCAACCATTACGTGAGGAGCTGAGCTCTGTGCAAGAGCCTGATGCTCACATGTGGCTGTGCTGCCTCCCTGGAGTGGTGACAGGGGATGGTCAGCTGTGTGTGAGAGAAACATTTCTGCAGTACTGCCTATCCCTCACTCTGTCAATTCTAAATAAACATGAACAGTGTCATGTCCTTTCTACACCATAATCTCAATTTCCTGAATTAATACTCATATTAATCTGAAATTAAAAAGAAAGCTGAAAAATTAAAAGATAGAATTAATTTGTAAGGATGGTGCTACACTCCAGTTTTCTAAAAATGACAATGGGTCTGACACCCAATACAGGGACAAGGACTTCCCTGGCCCTGCTGGCCACACTATTTTTGACACAGGCCATTGGCTTTCTTGGCCACCTGGGCACACACTGGCTCATGTTCAGTTGCTGTTGACCAGCATACCCATGTCCTTTGCTGCTGGGCAGCTTTCCAGCCCTTTCCCAGCCTGTAGCCCTGCATGGGGTTGCTGTGACCCAAATGCAGGATCTGGCACTTGGCTTGTTGAACCTCACACAACTGGCCTCAGCCCACTGATCGAGCCTGTCCTGATCCCTCTGCAGAGCAACAGTGAAAAAGATCCATTGTACTTCACAGGTGTGTGAACTATTCAGAACTGTTTCAAAGTGCAGGTATATATGCTGCTCTAGGTAGACCTGTTTTAGCAGGGGAGGTTGGACAAGATGATCTCCAGAAGTCTCTTCCAATGCCAGCCTTTCTGTGATTCCGTGATTCCAGATGTTTGAAGGCAAGATAGATCCTGTGCTTTTAATCAAGATTGTCTGGTATGGATGCCATCTACATATATGGCATATATGTACATCTTAAATATACAAAGGCAGTAACACACTTTTCATCAGGTTCAAAACAGAAATGCTAGAAAGGGAGTTGAACACATCTAAGAAAAAAATCCAAAGAGAAAAATCTTACAAAGAGTTTTTACTTTAAGTTATATTCTGCATTCATTATGCAGGTGCAGAGGACCTAGGACTCTTATGAAATGAACATTTTGAAATTTAAAAAGCTGTTTGTCCTAAAAGCAGGAGTGATTAGGAGTCTTCAGTAAAATAAAACTGATCAAAAATAATTTAAAATGCAGTCATCTTTTATGTTTTAAAACACTGTTGGTAACTGAAATAGGAATACAATTTTTCATATGAATGCTGGAACATTTATCCAAGTTTTCTGTTGAGAAATGGAGCAGTGCTTTTCATGTTGTAAGTACTTCCATTACCACCAGTTTACCCAAAAGATTTTCCTACTTTTCAAGAGTTTGCTGAAATAATTATAGGACACCTGTCTTCTGCCCCTTCCCTCCCACCTCCCCCACTCTGTTTTAAGAGTGTTTCTGAAAATGGAGGCTTACACATTTGTTAGACTTTCACTGTATAAAAATGTACAGTGGCTTTATTGACATGTACATTCCATTATGTTTACAGCTGCAAGATATGAGGCACACTCAGTATTGCACTTCATTAAAATTTCAGGCTCAAACATAACCCAGAAGTTTAAATGAAACTGCTGTTGTAATTTAATATTTCTTATACAGGACAAACATTGATACCTTTATATACAGGGTGATACTTGTTACATTTATGCCTTCCTAACACATTTTTTTTATAACAGTCTAGGAAATAAACCAGAATATTCCTCTTTCCCATCCCCACTTGTGATGCGTTACAATTGTACAAGATTACAAAAAGTCAGTATACAATAATCAATATTTTTTCTTTCTCCTGAAAGCCAGCATCATTCATAGTCCACAGACACACAGATCCTTTAATAACAATTGTTTATTTGTAAATGTCCAATGTTTCCTAGCCGATGACTGTAATGGCCACATGCAAACACCTCACAAATTTTGATGTCTCAGTTCAAAAAAATGTCAATATCTCACAGCAAGAATTATGTACATGGTATTTGGCATCCTTCTTGCACTGTAAATTGTTCCTTTTACCTGGGTTATGGAATGGTCCCATCCTCATCCCAGCAGGACTTTGTTTTCAGGACACTTGAGGGATGAGGGCACCTGTTTTGCTCTGGTCAAAAAAGATTGCTATTCTAAAAAGTGTGTGCATTTCTGCAAACCCCACAACCCAGAGCAAATTCTTCACCAGTGGGTGGATGGACAACATGAAGTGGACATTCTGTTCCTTCAAGTTGTTTACCTTTGGGACCTACAGTGAATGTAAGGATAAGGGGGGAAAAAAAAAGAAAAGAATAGATTAATGCTTGCAGACAATGTGAACAGACATGTATTACATTTCCTCCAGAAAAAATCCAAACTAAATGAAAAGAATAAAAAAAGATCAAACTGCCATTTAATTAAAAGCAATCAAATTCAAATTTAAAAAGGCAAGATGCTTATAGACAGTCACTTAAGGAAGTTTTATCTCATTAATATTGTGGAAGAAATTTATACAAGGTAAGAGAAAAATTGAATAATGAACAAGAGTTACATTCTGCAGTAAAAAATAATTCTAAGGTTATAGCAGGAATTGTAATTTATTTGTTTACTTATTTTATGTAAATATCTTGAAGAAAAGATCAGACCTTCAAGCCCCAATCATTTGCTAGCAGAACATTGATATACAGCACATGAACTTAGTAATTAAGGCATTGAGGTAACAGTTTGCAGATAATGGCTACCTAACTACATATACACCACTTAATAATGTGTCAATTTTATCAATATGCCATTTTACACACCATTCTACATATGGAGTCTGACCTGGTATAGGGAAATTGAAATGTTTTTCTCTATCAAAGTTCCTAATGTTTAAATGATCACTGCAATGATATTGCCAGAAAACAAAAAAAATATCACCAAGAAAAGCTAATATAAATTAGAGCTTGTAATTTATTTCAGAATTCAGTGTGGTAAATTTGCTTTGTCAAAGTCCTACCTGCAGGACAGTGTGGGAGCTCTTCTTTAGGGATGCTTGTCATTCTTTGGAAATCATCATGGCAAGCATTGCAAAAATGCGTTGTCCCGAAACAGAAAAAAACAGCAACTGAACAGCAGTAGCGGCATTTGTACTCTAAGAAATCTGTACCGTGTTTGGGACACATCTGAACAAGGAAAGCAAACACCAGTCAGTGAGGCAGCCATGTTCTCACAATCCCAACAACTCACTTCTACATTCTGTACAATATATTATTGGTATGTACAATATTGTTCAATACATGTAATTACAAATGGCTGTGAATTACTGCACAGCTCAGGTAACTCAGGGTTTCAGAATGAAATAAAAACATGAATAGAAGTTATTTACTCACCTGAGCCCTTGAAACATCAGAGCAGGCACCACAAATAAGTTCTCTTGGATCATAGTCATCTCCTTGTCCAGCCTCAGCATCACAACGAGCTTCACCACCAAAATATGCCTTAATTGCATATAGAAATGATTGGATGTTAAAGCAGAGACAATTATTCTTTTAACTATTCTTTTCAGTTTAACCAATTCCATTTATAAGGAGAATATGACAAATGACTGCCATTTCAGTGGCCTCCACTGTTCTGAACTCTCTTGATTCTGTAGGTACGTGGTTTGGAGGCACCCAGAGAATGTCCCTCAGTCTCAGGATGAACAAGACCAAAAACTGCAACATCCCCTGCTCTATGCCAGCGACTGTATGGCTTTTGGAACAGCATTTGGATACTCTATGAACCCTATGTCAGAATTAAGTAGCAGCTTGAGGTGAATAAGTACTGGAGGAAGTAGGTACTGCACCTTCTTCTAAGTGGCCATTGACTCAAGGTGCTTTTGGTTTCTGAGCCGCTCTGTATACATGCTTGAGCTTTACTAGCTAAGATACTGTGTACATCTCATTAGCCCAACACTTGATTTTTTAAATTATGAGTCTATAAACAACATCTTTTCCTGCCTTTCTGCTCCATACACAATGTATTAAACATAGGGTCTGTTTTAAGAAATTACTTGTGAAATGGTAACATCCATTTAATAAATCTCACCATACCTTTTTGCACTTGTAGCAAACATAATAAGCATATCTGTTCATAGCATAGCCAGCTGGGTCATTATAAAATCTAACACCTGGCGTTGTGATGGCCTCACTCTTGTGCAGCCCTTCATACTCCAATCTCATTAGCGCTTTTCTCCTTACATCTTCATAGAGTTCTTTGATTGGATCAAGCAAATCCTTTAATACTGTGTGATTGATTTTGTTCTGAAATAAAAACAAAGCTGATTAAAGTATCGTGCATCTTTATCCCAACAGCTATGATAATTTGTGTTATAGGCACAAATAGCATGAGAGATGTCATAAAAACACATGGGCCTATTTCAAAAAACAGCTGATACAGAATGTACTCTGTTTGCTGTAAAAATGGTATCCATGAATGCTTTTTCTATGGCCTGTTGTGACATGGGAGCATCAACCCTTCCAAGAGACTAACAGCCAGGGAGGTGGTGAAGAGTATATGAAATATTCACCACAGCACAGGAATAATCTCATTGTGTATTTCCTGTAATTTTGGTCCTTTTTGGCTTACTGCTCAGCAAGTAAGCATAATGATTGCCAGTCCTCTATGGCAGTTCTTTATCAATTAGTGACCACAAGCTACTGCCATTAACTACCCCACAACACAACATGACAGAAGAACCATAGCATGCAGAATGGCTGACTATTCCCAAATTTCAAATTCCTAGGGTGGGGTAAGGTGCTCTTCTTTCCAGCAGCTATCATGTGCTTTTGCTTACAGCAGTTTTTTAGAGTACAAGAATTGTTAGCAACTTAGCTGAACTAAGTACATGTATTCTCTGGCTCTGCCCTCACACTGAAAAGCAAAAAGCAGCTTTAAAATGGTTAGTAAAATGGAGAATTCCTGTTTCAAGACAGTGTGCTTTAAGATTACTTCTTCCCCTCCCCACTATCACCAATACTGGGAATTTGCAAGCTGGTGTTGGTAAGAATGAAATAATATTAAGACAATGTCTGACCTATGCTTTCTTTTTAAGAGGACACCTCAGGGAACAGTAGGAGAAAGTCAAAAGATGCATCAATGCTAGTCTTTCTATAGCAACAAGTGGAATTAAGAAAACAAGTTACGTATAACTCATTTATACTGTACCAAGCAATACAGTATTAACAAAAAAGAAAAAAAGAAAAAAGAGAAAAGGAAAGTATCAGGTGAGTTTCTTGACTTTGGCAGGCACATAGCTCATTTACCTTGCAAATTGGGCAGGACATAAACCCAAAAGTTATCCTTGGACCAAGCCATCTGTTTTCTAGTACTCGTTGACAGCATTGCAAATGGAAAACATGGCTGCAGTCCAGCTTTAGAAAAGAGTAAGTGTAAGTAAATATTGAAGTTACATTAACCACTAAAGTAGAAGCAGTTATTTGCTTTTAAGTGGCAACATATACCAATTCCAATATTAATTTGAAATCCTAGAAGACCCCTATTTTCTTCTTAACAAGAAGAAAGAACATAAAATGGGCATTAAAATCATAACCATGCCAAGATCACCTTGGATATATGAAATACATGTGAATTATACCAACTAATTACCTCAGTTGTTTCACTCCTTTACAAAATACCATGTATTTTAATAAAGTAGACATAGTAAACTGAATTGATCCAATCTGCTTTCTTGAAATAGAATGCCAGACAAAAACAAAACTTTAAGTAGCCTAACTATTGTTACGGTGTCTGTTTTCAAATTTTGAAGAGCATAATTTGAAAGACTTTATATTTTCACTTCCTTCACATGACACATTACAATCGTAATAGTAATCTCTTAAGAGGGGAAAAAACAAACAAACAAAAAACCTGGATAGCTGGTGCTGCTGAAAGTGCTTCAGTGAAGCAGATCATGCACATGTCATCAGCATCTTGCTTCAGAGTTGTAGCGTTTTTATCGCAGCCATGCAGGCACGGCAAACAGTGCTCTTCGTTCTTCACGCCTCCGCAGGGGTGGCCGCAGGGGTGTGTCTTGCTGCAGGCAATCTTGGCGTACTCCTAAACAAATGTAAAGTAGAGAGTTAATCATCTCTTCCCCTTTCCTGACTGTTCTGACAGTGGCGCGTTTTGAAGGACTGCTGGTCCATGCAATAAACTGAGATGGAAGAATCATGGTTTATATTGTCTGCTGCTGCCTCAGGTACTTGGGAAAAGCCGAACCTTGTGAACTTGAAATAACAATGTTTCTTTTGTGTACCTACGCTGCTCTTGAATGCAAATGGCTAAAAACGAAACCAAGATTTAAAACTTTCAACAGAAAGAGAACTGTTCTTTGATCCTGTATGCTTTTTATATATTGAGTGCTTCCTGCATAAATACTGCTACCTGTATTAACAGCCTTTAAGATTTCTGCAGATTTTGGAGAAGTTTCAAGTAACTCACTCTTAAGAATACACTATAAGCTAACCATTAATCAGCATAAAGTGATTTTACATGGAAATGAATTTTTAACCACCTCTAATTCCCATCCCTACTAAACAGAAAACTTGTAAAAGTTACTCAGAAGCTAGCAACAAATTGAACTGAATTTAAGTAACTGTAATGAACTGTTACTCAACAGTTCATTAATGAACTGTAATATGTCTTCATATGCTGACAGAGGAAAAAAAAGATGACCAATTTGCTTCACTTTGACAGAAACAGGTAAGAAAAGTAAGTAAAGGTAAGGCAAAGTAAAAAACTGGTTATGATTTGGCCCTCTGCCAATTGCACCCAGTGTACGGCACAGAAACAATCAGGATACATGGATACAGATGATAAACCTGGCCAAGTCTGAAATGTTCTACACTCACGTAATACCCAGGCTCTTGAGCAAACTCTTTTCATCAAGCTTTCCAGTACATTTGACTTTATACGGACAGTGTGTAGTTTGCTTTATAATTGCAAGGCCGTTGTGAAAACTTGAGGTACTTTTGAAGATAATAATGAAACTACCCAGTATTTAAGTTGCCTATTACTGTTCATAGTCTGCAATTAAAATAAAAATTTATAAATTCAGAAGTATTTGAATGGTAATATTCAATATTAGGACTTTTTCATATGACAGATCTGATTTAAAATGGACTACAGGGATAAACAAGCTTTATTCAAAATAAGAAGTCTATTTCATCCTATGCTCTCTTCTATTTATGTAATTAATGGTGATTGACACTTGCTAATACACACCTGGCAGTCTGCATCAGAACAAACACTTCCCACTGCTGATAATTCTGTTCCACTCCTACATCCACAGAAGCGACATGCTTCAGAACTGCTGGTGGTCGGTTTGCCTATAGTGTAAGAGAGAACAAGGCCAAAAATGTTCTCATGAAACACAAGGAACTGACACTCTATCAGACATCAAAGCAGCATTCACAGAAAACAACCAGAAAGCCAACAAATCTTATGCAGTTAAACTATTCTACTTTTATTAACAAATATTTAAAAGCATTGTCCTAAAGCAGGTGAAGATCACAATATCAGGATAAAGAACAAGTAGTAACAGTTGTGTTTTACCTGTCTGTTCTCTGAACTCCACCATGGCCTTCATAGTTTTAGAATCTGCTAATGCCATCAGCCAGAAGAGTTTGGTCCTACCACAGCCCTCGTGGAGATCAACTTTGATAGCTTCTTCTTCTTCTTTGAACACCTGTCAAGTTAACCAAACAGATACTAAATGGCATGTTTAATTAGAGCATGGACTTGTCTCTGTTTTTTCTGTTGCTCTCTCTTTGGATTTAGACCAGGCATTTTACAGATTCTGTGAGATTGTCTACTGCAAGTTGTTTTTCTTTCATACTTCCATAACTTGTACATCTTGCAGATATGCATGATAAAGGTTTAATGTTTTTAGAAGTAAAAATGAATAAAATTAACTCTTGATCTAACGTGGCAGAGAAACAACAGTGCAGCAATGCTAAGAATAGAGCTGCACATTTTTTTTCTGATTTAATAAATACAGAGCTTGGACTTCATAATTCCTACCCAACACATCCAGTAGGCCACAGAACATTAAAAGCACAAGATAATATCAGAAATATCTTCATATAACTATGCTAGTAGTTTATCAAAGCAACATTGAGAATCAGGGTTTTAATAACAAGTACTATAGAGTAACAATTATAGAAATGTGTGCTATTAATATTTTTGACTTTCATATAAATACACAGTGGATACTTTTGGCTACAATGAGGAAAATATAAAGTTTTTGCAAATTAAAAAAATAAAAACTGCAAGAGATCCTTAGGGAATTTCATGCAGTCGCTTCTTTTGCTCCTTTCCCAATCTTTGAAGGCAATTCTGTTTGCATTTGTTTCACCTGTAATGCAAGGAAAGTTAGAATTTTCCCTGGTATGGATGTACACAACTCACTCTAATTTTTACTAGAATCAGAAAAAAAACCTCTAACTGCTTCACAAAGTATTCACATAAGCACATCCGAGTAACTTACAGGCTGTCCTTTCTGGAGGGGACAGAAAATACATTAAAGAGGTATATATGACTGAAATTGGACAAAGAACAGGAAGCAAACAGAAAATAGGACAGAGGGAACATGACAGAATTGAAACTGAATCTGAGAGGCTCAACATATGAGATGTAAAGGTAAAAGTGGTGAATAAAGAGCAGAATTTTAAACATGCTTTTAGAAGTAAATAGGAAAATCTGGTAAGTAGCTATTTTGGACAGATAAAAGGAAAAATGGGAGGTTTTCTATGAGATAAGGACTTACTTTTTATCAACTGTAATCTGAACAGGCTATATAGGAGAAATCAGAAAAATGAATGAGACTAGACTGTGCTGTGCCATGACAGAAGAGTAGACATAAAATGACCTTCTTAGGATGATGAAACAGGAAAATTTCAAAGGGGATTGCAAAGACTATGCTAAGAATTAGAAGATAGCAGACACCCATGGCAGTGCCAGGCTGAGACTACACTGCAAATGCTGTGGCACCAGAGGAGTGTTTCACTGGAGAGTGAAACTCAGTACCAAAGGTTTGATGTTTACACCACATGTGCTCTAGAGCAGCTTATCCCTTGCACTGAACGACCATTTGCAGTGTGTCTCTGCATCTTTTGATTTGCTTTTAGTTTCACCTGAAAGCAAACAAAACCAGTTCAGTTCATGCACTCCAAGGCTGCTCAGTAACAGAAAACACTGTACTTTAAGGAGACATGATCATCTTCTTTAAAAGTGAATATAGATGCATTGTAGGAAAGGGAGATGAGGACTGAGTTCCACTGAAGTAACTTTATTAATGACATTTATTATTTTAATCCTTTTACAAATATTAAGTAGTCAGAGGAGAAAGGGAAAATAAAGGATCACAACAAACCATAAATGAGGAATAGAGGCAGGAAAGAGGAAATGTTCAAGAATTCTAGAAGTAAAGGCATCTTCAACATCAATTTCAATGTCAAAAACAAAAAAATCCAAAGAAAAGGATAAAAGAATACCACAGAAGAATAATAATTAGCAGAGTACACAGCAAGTTATAAAAACTCATATCTAGTCAAAGTTTCAATCCTAAAAACAAACCCAAAAGAAGTCAGGAAATTTTCAAGCTTATGGATAGGGCAACATATTTCTGTTTTAAAATATATTTATGTTTTAGAACGTAGTGAAAGCCAGAGGAATCTTGAAAAATAAGAGAAAACTCATAGAGGAACCAGTAGGAAAATCTGCTGTCAAATCATCTTCCTGGATATTAAAAAGGAATACACATACATTAGAAATGAAGAGGTTGTCAAGCACTGACTCCTATGACAGAAGTAGTAAAGAAGATAAAATTTAACAGGAATAAAGAACCAACATATACTAAAGAAAGTCTATGCAGCTTCTAAATTCTCCTAAAAAAGCATTCCTAACCAAGAGAGAAAAAGCTGATGTAGCATAGGAACTAGAATTAGGAACTACTGCAAGATTTTCTAATCTTTGTGAAAGATAAAGGACACGAGAACATAACCAAAAACAACCGAAGAGCATTAACTGGAAACACATCTATCCCATCTCCAAAATAAAATATAACACCCTTTTCAGATTCAGTATTTGCTACTACCTTTTGGTTCTATTTTATTTATATAAATATGCACACTATGATGCAGTGCACACAACAGGGACCATGTATACTCTACCTGTCTCTGGTGAGTTTTTGTTCGCCGATGGAGATGAAGGAATCGGTCACAGTCTGTGCACAAATTCCCACAGACATTACATAAAATGATTGCAGCAGTTTCACCATCATCATGGTTATCACACATTGGCTGAGAGAAAAAAGAAAAGAAATAATTCCTCTTTATTAAATCCTGCGCTTCCTTTCAGCATCTGTTTTTATTCTCCCCTCAGTCACACACCCTACACCACCCCTCCAATTTATAAAGGTGGATAAAGAGGTTGTTTAGACTATTAATGCTATCTTTAAAATAATCACTATATAAACAATTATTCCTTGACACAAATCCCCTCAATTTCTGACATCAGTTTTTCCTCATACTCCTCATCTCTTATTTTGTGATGTACCAAAAACATGTTTTTCAATAATAACACTGAGACATCACTTTAAACTAGTCTGAGAAGAGGTTTATGTGGTAACAAGGGGTTATGGGCATGTTAACAGAAAAGTTCAGAGATATGAGTACTCAGGTCAGTAAATACCAGGCACGATATTTACCCTTCATTACTTTGATATGGTATGTTTACTCTTCAAACATCTAAAAAAAGGTGTAGGTCATCCATACCTCAAAGACAGTATGGTTGAAGTAACAAACTTCAAAATCCATCATAAAAATAAGTTGCGCTACTGACAGAATTTTTTTAAAAATTCAGCAGGGTTCTATTTTGCAATTCAAAATATCCCTGCAAATAGACTTCAACAACTGATTTTGACTATGCACATCTCTGAGAACAAGTTTCCATTGTAATACATGGTCCATTGTAACACATGGTTTCCATGATACTCTCATGCAACTTAGAACAGAGTTCTCTCAAAGCAGTTCTGGCAGGGAGACACACAGTTCACCTAAACATGTGAATATCCTGATGTGGAACAAGACTGGGGAATTTCAGGCTTGGGTTCAGCAGCTTAAATAACTGCTTAACAATGTCTTGGCTGCTCCTCTGACATCTCCAAGACCTTTGACTTTCTTAATCACCTCAGAAACCTCTGTGTTTGCTTCTCAGCAGGGTTTTATTCCTTGCTGCTGCTGCAGCTCTATGCCTCCTGTATTCTGTTTCTATCTACACTAAACTGCTTTGGATGCTTCTTTGCTCTAAATATGCTTGGCTGCCATTGCACAGCCATCCCTTGCTTCCCACAGGGATCCACCTAACCAAGATTTAGAGAGACCAGCTTCATTATTGTGCTCTTTCTAAAATGGTATTAAAAAAATCACAAGCTTTTTGTCATACAGAAAAGTACAGGCCTTTTGTCAACTGAAAAGTATGGAGACAATTGTATTCTATATCAAATTTATAAATCCTCTGAGTGAATAGTAGTTTTACTAAATTCAGTTAGAAGGAATTTCTCCCTGGGGTAATAATTCTCTAGTGAGATGGGGAAGAGGAAGCTAAATTACGGAGAAGTAGTTACTGAGTAACACAAAAGAATCGATTTTATTTTGTGACAAGGATTAAGACAAAGAAAAAGCTCTGACAGAAGGTGCTGTACAAACTGAGTCAATCTACTAAAAAACTCATGCCACAGGTGTTAGGAAGGCCTTGTTTCATCCTGAATACTGGCAGAATTGCAATATTACTGTTTTAAGTTGGAACCTCTGTTTTCTGGGCAACACTTATCTAGAATGCAAATACTTCAAACATATACACAATCCCCACTGGGACGGAAGAAAAAGAAGAAAGGCCAATTTTACTATTCTCTATCATTATTCTAAATTCTTTGATGAGTGAATATATCAAAACAAACACAAAACTGTATGATTTTCAGTCTCACCATCTGTTTCTGTTGCCCATCCTTTCCCATCCATCTTCCTGAGGATAGTCTATCAACATGATCCTGATCAAGTACACAGAGGGATGCTAAGGCCAGCCACAGCTATTGAAAAGCAAGGTAGAATTAAATGTCTTAGACATATTAAAATCAAACTAAATACTAAAGAGAGAAACTTTGTCAGAGAAGAATGTCACTGTTACCTGCAAACTCTATTACTGTTAGCTGGAACCTGCCCATACAATGCCAGTTTATTTTCCCAAATAAGTCAGGAACACAATAAAACTTAACTTTTGGGAACTACCTTGTTTCTTTCAGGTATGTCACTTTATGATTATAAATACAGTAGTCAGCACACAAGAAAGAAAAAAGTGAAGAAATCAACCAAAGCACATTATGAAGAAATATGACAAATACAGACTTGCACATTGACCCAAACATTGCAGGCTTTGGGGAAGAAGAAATTCAAGGACACAGACTAATAAAATCAATCCCAAAAACAACCACCCAAAAACCTGAGCACAGTGAGACTAATTTCCCTGTTCCCTCCTCACTGCATAGGGCAATTGGCATTATGTAGAAAAGGGTTCTGAGCTAATTAGTCAAAGGAAGCTTTTCACTCTTCTTCTCCACTGACTACAGGGAAATCCTGAACAGATGAGCTACATGAGGATAATTTGTCACTGCAATCAAAACTGAAAGGCACTTGACAGCTGCTTTTTGGAGCAATCTTTAATCAAACCTTTGATTTGAACAGAACTGTTTTTCTTGAGAAACTTTACTGGACTCTCCCCCAAAACCCCCCATCTCCATGACAGAACTATACTCAGTCACAGGAGCAGCTGGGCTGACATTCAGGGCTCCTCTAAGACCTGGTTAAACTAATATGACAACAGCAGAAGCCAGTGGTAGTCCAAGACTGTGACCTCCAGAAAGCAGAGACTATATGAGTAACAAAAATGATGGAAAGAACAACCGGTACAGCCTTTTAAGATGGAAAACAACGTGAGTGTCAAATGCTTGAAACCACTGCAAACTTTTTTTTTTTACTTTTACATGTAATTATTGAGCTTGAGAAGCTAAAGTCTGTGCTCCCTATGACAGCAAGAATGCCATAATTTACAAATATGCCTTTTATGGTATTTCAAGCAACTGTTAAGGTTAAAGTAGTCTTTAGTTTCTATAAAAGATTCACAGACAAAGCAAAGACCAAGAAAAAGGAAACCACTAGGTTACACCATGTCAGTAATAAAGGGCTCAGCAAATATTTTTTGAGACAAACACAACTGAAGCTTAGCTTAATTGTCCTAAAGAACATCTGTTAGAGTGTTTTCATAACAGCCTTGAGATGTGGCAGCTGATTACCTAGAAGTCAAACAACTTATAATAATTGCTTGGAGAGCTTAAAGAACACAGCTGATACATATTGTGCAATTTTTCATATAGATGATATCACATTTAGTGTAAGGCAGTGTGACAAACTTCAAGCAGAATTATTTAAAGAGTAAACCCCCAAATATATACAGGCATCACACTTATTCTTCATTATTTCTGAGATTCCCTAGATGCACATTTAATTCTAATTCAGTTTTGGCTTGTGTATTTCTGACATATAAGAAGGTTCTTGAAGGTTCTCCTACTGCACATTTACAATGAAGTAATGGTAAGTTTGGTGAAGTCCTTACTCTGGTTGTTGCAATGCACCTCACAGGTGATCTATACTCTTCTTCCATTTTGGTCAGAGCTATGATGGTTTCAGCAATAGCATTCTTTGTCACACGTGACCAAGCTTCTGACAGATGACCCTGTTAAAGAGGAAACTCAATTTATTACAGCTTTTATTAAGAGCAAGTAAAATTGTAATTAGAACTGCTACAAAACATTAAGTTAGTGTCTTCTCAAGTTAGAACAGAAAAAGAGGAAATTGGGGATGATTGATAAATAATTCTGTGAAAACACCTAATTTATCTTGGAAGGGACCTTCAAGATCCTCTAATTCCAACCCCTTGCCATGGGTAGGACACTTTCCACAAGACCAGGTTCTTCAAAGCCCCATCCAACCTGGCCTTGATTTTCCAGAGAGAACTGGTAAAAATTAGCCCTCAAACACTGAGGTGACTGAGGTTGTCTCTGAGCAACTACTGGAATAATTAACTTGGAATAGGTAGAGAGAATAATTGAACAATGGGAAGTCCATTTCCTGAAGCGTTCCCCACCCTTTCTGGAGAAATAAAGATGGAGAGCTGAAGCACAGATAAGTGACTGTGACCAGCACACAGATCACACAGGGTTCCTAGAAAAATTAGCTTCACATGGCTAGCTCAGCCTCCTGAATAGACTCCACAGTTCCTGTATTAGAACGAAATAAAGAGGAGTACACAGCACACATCAGAGCCACGGCATACTTTCCAGTCTTGAACATTCTGAGCCTATGGCACTGACTCATACTCTCAAGTTTCTGATTTAGAGGCTGCTGCATCCTTCAATTCTTATTGTCACCTCCAAAATCCTAAACTTCATGCTGAAGGTGACACATAACTGACATTCACTAAAAAGACTCTAAAAAGGAAACTATAGTGACTAACTCAGATACAGGTACCTACACATTGCAAATGGTAAAAATGATATTGAAAGGAATCACATTTGTAACTCTCATGAAGAGGACAGTTACACTGATGCCACTCTGCTGATAATTAGCAGCTCTAAAAAGCTTCAAAAAAACCGTTTTCCAACACAGACAGACTTTAATTGCAACTCTTATCAATTATGAGATTCTAAAATCTTGTAGTCAGTATCAACAGTGAGAACTCCCATCCAGCTTCAGCAACTTTGAGAAGGAACCTCCTTAATCCAAGCACAGTGAATGGTTTAGAAAATAGGACTTCCATTCAAAGATACTGAGAAACCTTTCAAAGGGTATTCACAGAGGAAAATGTGTGTCATTTAGAACATCTCACTGAAATAGGTGCAGAATTAAGGAAAACAAAAACAACCTCCTAACTAAATTCCTTTTTCAGAAACATATACAGAACCTTTTTTTCTTTTGCCAATATTATTTCTGGAAAATAGCTGATTCACTTTTCTTCAACTTTTCTGCCAAAAAAATTGTCTGAAGCAGAACTATGGAAAATTTAAACCCAGATTAATAAACTAATAAGTAACTGTAAGTGTAGATTTCAGCAACTGGAAAAAGTCAATCTCAAACAGAAAATCCATACAGTAAGTCTACACACAGTTACATGAAAACAATGCTGTTAATTTACTTCAAAGATAAGTTTTACTTTTGACTTGAAGTTCTGAGTGCTCAAGATTTAAAAATTAAACTTTAAAGTTAATAATATTAGAAAATGACCAGCAATTATTGTTTATCTCTTAAATTTCTAGTATAAGCAACTTTTTAAAAAGCTTATTTCAAAACTGGATTTCTGTTTAGCAGAATCAGAACTCAGTTGCTACTGGTTTTAACCTAGACTCTATCCAGAAAACTGCATGGATTTTTTTCTTGAGACCAAATCACATTTAACAGCTCAATATGAGACTAACTGTAGCAGAATTAATAAAAAAATGTATTTTTCATTATCAAAAATATTTGAATATCATTCACATTTAAAGGATAGAAACTCACTGCTGCCATGTCTTTAATAAGTTTAATGATGATCTCTGAAATCTGGGTAGGTGTTGACCCCTTCATCCACCAATGACTTTCACCTCGCCGAATATAGCTGCAAAGGATAAATGGTAATAGATTAAATAAACTCAGACAGTTAGGATTTGTCAAAATCCAGCACAAAGAAATAGTGTACACACTCAGCATACAGTAGGTTGTAGTAGTTTGTTACATATTTTGAAACAAACCTGGAATTGAAGATCATTGGAAGTGTGACTGTAGTAACTCCTTTTCCTGCAGTAGTGCCAGCTGTCCCTGTGATAGTAGTTCCTTTGGCTTTTAGCTGTACAGTGAGAGCTTTGGCAATGCATCCCAAAAACATGTCCAAGATACCTAGTTTGTTCCAATCTCCTTTTTCTGTTGAGTGAATTATATCACTTATATCTGCTGGTGGAAGAGACTTCACCCCTATAATACTTGCCAGGCGGCTGGGGGTTACCTCGGGCAAAACACGCCTCAGTAATGATGTTACCTGGAGAAAAAAACCAGAACACCACAGTTCTTACCAAGACAGCTGGAGTTTTCAAGCAAAATCACATGAAGTCCTTCTTCACAATTTATTTCAGTCAGAAGGACTCAATCTAATTGCTGTACTTAATTACTCCTGTAAGCAATTCTGCAATATTTCTATATAATGACGAAGCATTTATTAATGTAAGCAGCAAGACAAGGCAAAGAGTTTAACCTGATCTCACTCAATACTTAGTCTCCACATGCTAACAAAATTGTTTTTGGTACTGGACTTAGGATAAGAGTGATACACATGTTTGTACAACTTTGGTTTGTTTGCACAGTACCCACTTCACATGCATTATTGAGATGTCAGAAACTATGGTAGGACTGTTAGAGACACTTTGGACTTCTGGAAACAAAGTACTTGCCTGAGGTACTGAGAATTATAATACCCTTTTCCAATGCCTTTGTTTTCCCTTTTGATAGCCTAACTGGAATTTTTTTTGCTGTGTCAATAGCTCTGGACCCAACAAGAATTGTCTTGAAACCTTACCAACTGGTGAAGCTGGGGTTAAAATTGCACATATCATGCAAAGTTTGGTCCAAATCAGCATGAAAGCTGATGAAAGCTTAAGGACTTAGTATTTCATATGTAATTTTGCAAGCCCTCAATGTTCTCTTGAAAAACCATTACATATCTGCAATGTATCGCAACTACTAAGTACCTGCCTCCAGGCAAGATGAGATGTGAGATTTTAACAGATCAAAAACAGTAGAAGGAAGAATAAAGATTATGAGACAAAAACTTCTGCAACAGAAACTTAAAATCCACCTGAAGAAGGCACAGCACCTAGCAACAAAACAGCGCATGAAGTGTACTAATGCAAATATGTTATGTTTATATATTATTACCATAATTAAACAAATATATATATATATAAAATATGTGTTCATATAGTATGTGCCTATAACTATATATACACTTGGGCAACATTCGAATTCAGAAAGAAACATGTATTAAAACTCACCTTGAGGATACCAAGAGTAGAAAGGAGCTGGCTAGTTCCACACTACTACACTTAGAGCCTGAGTGTAGTAGTGTGACACAGACACTAAGGACTCATGCCAGATCCACAACAGACTCTAGACTCTGGTAATTAAAAACTTCTTATCTTGCCTACACAGGCTACATGGGCATTATATTCAGGAAATACTGAAAAATTACTGTGCTGTTCATCTGACAGACATTTCTACCATGTAATCATTAGCAAAAACAAGCACCCTAAAACTTGGCACTTCAATTCCCAAAAGAAACCTTGTATTTTTTCCAAGCACATGATTTCAGTACTCCGAAGCCACTATTCCAGCAATACCAAGGCACTGGAGGAGCGGTCAGCACTGACCTGCCTCTGCACCCTGGGAGAAGCCGTGTGCAGCAGGGAGAAGAGGTCCTGGAGCAGCGTGAGCTGCTGGGCCAGGTACTGGCGGCCCACGTTGGAGCCGCTGAGCGCCAGCACCATGGAGAGCAGCTCGAAGCAGTAGGCGTCCGAGGCGGCGTCCTCGTCGCTGGGCTGCGAGTTGGCGTTCTCCTTGCTGGAGATGGCGTGCTCCCACTCCTCGCGCACGCGCGTCGCCTCCATGCGAATGGCCTGCACGATGTGCGCGCACACCTGCCACACACAAGCCAAACGCACGGCAGCTCTTAAAACCTTCTAGCAAGTGCAAAATATTGTGGTTTAGGTAGCTGCACAAGTATGGCTAAAATAGGAAATCTGTGGAATTTGGCCTGTACTTAAATTACTTTTTGGCATAAATTCAAATGAAGAATAAAATGCTGAATTTGCTCATCTATGTTATGGAAAATTAAATCAAAATTATTTCTAATTTTATTTCAGATCCTGCCTTTTAATTTACTTTTTATATAGAATTCAGGCCAAGAAAACCACTCCACATAAAACCCCTAAGAAATACATTTACTCAACATACACAAATAAAAAGCATTTATTAAAATAGTGTCTTGTTCAGCTTAATAATAAGAAAGCTTAAGAAAAATTTAGAAACAATAGCATGGTAAAAAGCATTTTTAGGAGACTACAATGTTTGCTAAGATGAGTGACAGAAGACTAGATTCTGCTTAACTTACTAAACTAAACAATTTCAAAATTAATCAATAGCTCTATTATTGTACAAATCTTCATAGCAATATTCACTGAATTTGAGCTTGTTTATTAAAAGATACCAATATTTAATCCTCAAATAATTTCAAAAGGAACAAACCTGTTTCTGCAAATTTGTCAGTTTGCTCCGGCTGAATATGATCCCTACCATGTGCTCCTTCAGGTCTGCATCTGATGTTGCCTTCATAAAAAGCATTTTTAATATTAGATCAAAAGTTTCAAGAACACTTCATCATTACTGTAGCAATTAAACATGGTACGTACCAACAAACTGTGTTTTATAAGTTAGTAGCTTTTTCTACAGGAAGATATATAACCAAGATCAATATAACTATGCTCAATAAATATCTCATCAATGTATTAACTTTCTCTTTGTGAGAGGAATTTAAGCATCAAATGAAATAATAGGCCAAACAAGTGGAGTGCAGTTTCTTTATACTTCTTCTCTATATAGTAACAGAGCCTCTCTTAAAGCAAAAGATAATGGCCAGGACTTTCAGGCTGACCATTACTACAGCTGTTAAGTACTTCTGTAATTGTAGGCATCATTTGCATCACCATTACTATGGTGTTTCCATTAAATGCACATGCCTCAGTTATAATTTATTTTAAAAAGACACACTGTGCTTTAGTATTAAAAATACACTATGATATTTTAAAAATAATCAATTATGACATTTTACTTCTGATTTGATCTAAAAATTATGCAGCATAAGAAACAGAACAAATACTGAAAAGTATCCTGGATAATTTTTTTCATCAAAGTATTATTGATAAAATACAAATAAATACATTGTGTACTTTTTCTTCTCCTTCTGGGGATGACAAGAGTGCTTTTTCTTCTTGTTCTGGGGTTGGCTCAGCATCTCCGGAGATAAGTTTCCCAAATACCTGGAAGAAAGACAATAATGTATCTCAAAGATGTATCTCAATGAATCTCAAAGATAAACTAGTGCAAATGTCACATTTTCCATTAAAACATAAAGCACTTAAACGTCTACAATTCACAGTAACTTTCACTGTATAACATCATTAAAATCCCACCTGGGACGTTATAAGTCGGAATACTCGCAGTGTCTCAGATTCACAGTTCCTTTGTTGAGCCACACTTGCAGAAATCTGGCCTGCTATTTTAATGCTTTCACCATCCTTCCATCCAAGAATTTTTACTTGTCGAACTCTTAGCGTGTTCTCTGGACCCTTCAATTCAATTTTGATGATGTGATTATCACCCCCAGGAAGCTCACTTGTTACCCAGCCAATATGTCTTGAATCCAAGTCTACCTATTAAAGAGGAATATAAAGTTGGAAACTGACATTACATCAAACAAAATTCACCTATCATCATATATCCCACTGTAACAAATACTGTGCCTGTAATGAAAATCTCATCCTGAGCAGTAAGACCTTTGTTTAATGACAAAAATATTCAACCTCTTGAGTTCAGATTAAAAAGTGACATATAGCCATTTCAGTTTTATCTGTAAAGCTGATTAGAAATAGTGGTCTCCCTATCTCTTTTACACTCAAAGCAACAGCTCATATATTAAAACCAACAATTCTTAAAACTAGTCCTTGGTCCCTACTCTTAGGGGGAAAAAAACAAACCAGCCTCTACAATTTAACTGAAAATATAACATACAATTATAATTTCATACATTATTTCATCTCTATTGACACAAACTCCTGCCAAAGAAATTGTTACTCTGTGGAAGTCAGTATTTGCTACCCTTACACCAAGACATGCAGCACTTGTGTAAAAAAGGGGAGATGCACCATGTCAAATTAAGTGTATTTCAAAATAAGTACTGTTTAAAAAAAAACAACAAATAATGCTATATGAAATCATATTAATATAGGATTCTATAAATAATGCTATATGAAATCATATATTTCATATGAAATTGCAGCGTCACAGCTGGAAACCAAGCACTGATAGGGTGCTGTGCCTCACATCACTACTGAGAGAAACCCAAGCCCTGAGCCAAGTGAGTCCTCTCTCTTATCCATGGGCTCATTTATAATCAAGCTAATATTTGTTTTTGCCCATTTCTACATTAATTCTCAGAGTCTGCATTGAACTGTGCTGCAGCAGACAAGGCTAACTTATTTTTCTGATACCATGAGACAAGATACAGTACGTGGGTGTGCTGGAAGGTAAAAAGCTGTTGGAAAAGTGTCAGAGCAAAGAGGAAGCAAAGCTGAATCAGTTTCTGCCTGTGCTCTGGGAGTTTTTTTGGGATACCTTCTCCAGCTGAAAGGATAAGCTACCACATTTTAGTAATTAAAACTAAATTAATCTAAGGAACACTTTACATAACTCTGTTCTATTTCAGTAGAAGGGTAAAAGCTTGATCAATAGTCAGTACACATAACTGAATTCTGTCATTGATGATACAGTATTTTCCATGGCTTATTATGATGTCTGATATTTGCAAAGTAATTTATCTACTGTAAGAAATGAAAAGTATTTGCTCAGAAAAATCTCTGGTATGTGCACAAAAAATGGCAGTAATTTTTCTGTGTCAACTGTTAAAATGTTTACCTGCTTTATTCTGCAGAGATCTTCTACTGCCTTGCCAGTTAGAAAAGTCATGGAGGTCACTTTGTTCTGCAACAAACAAGTAAAATAAGAATGAAACACTTCAACTGGGACACTTCTGACTATTTCTTCTGTATTAAGAGAGTACATACATAAAAGAGAAAAATTGCTTCATTACAAAAAACCTCCCATAATCAAAAGCAAGGACAAAGAATTCCAAAACACAGCTCTCTTAACACAATCTGCTCTTTGTATTAAAAGCTGTAGTTGAAACACAGATATATATGCAATATTACTGTACAGATCAATAAAAAAGAATGTAGAAGGTCTAAAAAATTTGGATTTTATGACAGCTCCTTATTTCAATGCTTCTGCAGAAACCATGAGCAAGAAAAGTAACTTAAAATACTTAAATGATTGAAAATGCATCTGAAATAGAATATGCCACTAAGAAGTAAGTTTCCTAGTTTCAATTTTATGTAACTGTAAATTCAGACAGACTGGTCTGATCATAACAGCTCTTGCTTTCTAAATCACAGGACTTAGAAACTTCACTTTGAAATGTGAACTTCTGCATTAGAATTAAGAACTGACAAAGAAAACAGCACTTCTTCATTGATAAACACATACAGCTTGGACTATGCACCTTCAATAAGAGACCCTTTTATTTTCCTCTTACCCCAAGATCTCTGGAATTGTCCACATGAACACAAACATAACGTGCATTGATTCCTTTTACACAGTTGATTGTGATGTTTTTAGTTTTGTTTTTGTCCTCATCTCCTGACTCCCAGAACGTTTCTGTAGACCCATCTGTTAAACTACCAATCATGGCAGGTCGGCTTGATGTCTTAATGTCAACAATGCTGGTTAGGTCTTTCAGACAGACTACTATACACAGCTCCTGTGAAAACAAATGGCAAGTTTTAAAATCCTTGAGAGTAAGCCCAAATACATGGGCATGATTTACAATTTTTAAAACTACACAGACATTTCTGTTTTGATGAAATGTGCTCTCCAAGAAATTTGTCCTTTATTGCTTCAAATTATTCAGTTCTTTAAGCCAAAGGAAACATTAATAGCTAAGAGCAGAATATATCAGCAAATGCCTAAATGTATTACTACATGGAAGAAAATACTTTAAAAATATTAAACAGAAGTATTAATTCATCCTCCTCAGAACAACAGAAGAAAAAAGATGTAATAGCAAAGAACTGGAAGCACACAACATTAAAAAAGTTTACCAACTCATGACACTCCCCAAAAACTTTACTTGCAAACAAGCACTTCTCCAAAATTTAGGTCTGAGTGATATACAGGCTAAGGGTCAATATTTGAACCTCTAAAGCTGAGAGCAGGGACAAGATCCCAATGTGAGATATGTCCAAGAAAATATGACACTGCAATAAAGAACCTTTTAATGTAAAGAAAACCATCATGGGAAATACAGACTGTTCACAAATCTTCTCTGCTTCTGAGCCAGAGCTGTGATACTTGCCTGATTCATGACTTCAAAACCAGACTGAACGCTGATACTAAAACTCTCTTCACTATCTCCATCATCAGATTTAGACAAAATATTGTTGATATGATGAAAAACATTGCTCTGGTGCAGGAACTGGTGATCAGATTGTTTGAATTTAAGACTCCAGCACCTGAAAACACATTTAGTTGACTTTGAAATTTTGAATGTTGGCAAAAGACATCACTTACCCATGAAACTATTAATCACATTCTTGCTTCTCAAAGTATTTTCTATAAACATTTAACTTCAAATTTTGCAGGATTGCTAGTGTTTCTAGTGCACCATTTTGAGGAAAGCAGGAATAGACTTTTCTTAGAATTGTAATAGTAAATGCAACCATTATTACTCATTTTTTGTCTTTGAGACAAATACACAGAAAAACATCTCAAAGTTTTAAGATACTATCCAGGTGACAGATTTCTGAGCAAAGGGCACTACAAAGCCATGCACATACACACAGATCCTTCCATATTATTCTGTTAGATGTTTTCTTCTTCATAGTGGACACTGTATAGAATTTAGAAGGAAGTACATTCCTCTCTACAAAGTCTTTTATACTATTATTTATATGTGTAAACACTTAAGTGTCTTCTATGGATCCCCTTCCTAGTGGTAAGGATAGATGTGCTCCTTCTCGCACAAAGTTTTCAAGCATCCTATTGACATTGCAAAATCTTTTAACCTGTAATTCTACAACATTTTCAGCCTTTTCAAGAACTTTCTAAATTTGTGCTTACCTTAAGGCCATTTGCTGTAATGCACTACCACTGGGAAGAGACATCATAAGATCAGAGATTGTCTGCAGAAGGCGATGGAAAGTGTGGGGTAAGGGGTGAGCAGCTTCCCCAGCAATCACTATATCTGACAGAGGGTGTTCACACACTCGTGTGTCTTTTTCCTACAGGGCAAAGCAATCTGGGTGTTATTCACAGACTTTCTAAGACAAAAGGTTAAGTAAATAAAAACATTTCTGCTGTTTGCTTTAAGAGTAACTGCAACAATCTTAAAATCAACGTGAACTTGACGCAGTTCCTGTCAGAGAATTTTTGGAGTAAGTTACACACGAGCCTCAAACAGGGAATTTGGGAAGTCTATTGTATACTGCCACATATTTCTCATGATTTAAAGATGTGAAACATTATATGGCAATAATTTGAAAACAAAGAAACAAACCAGAAATAAATAACATATTACAGCAGCATTTGCTGCTCAGCATTTATCTGAGCAGCAAAATCCACCCATAGCAAACTCGATAGCTAAGCTGATATTATCAGTTGCTGAATTTCATTAGAGCTGTGAAAATAATAATTCTTAGTTAAGGCGTGTCAGTATCAGAAAAGCAGTGTACCAGGTTACACTGCTGAAAAGACTAATTTCAGAACAACTAATTTCACAACTAGATTAGATTTGAAGTGATAGAGATTATCCTGACTTTTTGACAACACTAGCATGTTTTTTTTTTTGATCTATTCATTGTAGACATGATTATGTTTTAAATCAGAGCTAAGTCTAGAATAGGTTGTACGTAGATCTCTTTTGGAACTATGGGATGTAAGACTGTACCATTTTGCAGGCTACATTTCTAGAACTATAGATTTTTCTTAAATCGCTGAATTAAGTATACCTACTGCACATATAATTACTTATTTAATTATTTATATATATATATACACATACACAGCAGTATGTAAATTAACTGTGCATTTTTATAACTGACTATGGATTTTTCTTAGAACACTGAAAGACAAAGACAGAGTACACCAAACCACAAAGCTTCTCTAAAAAATATTTTCTCTTCTGTCTCATCACAGGGCAAAAATTAGGAATAAAAAGCAAATGGTTATTTTTTTTAAATTTAGCAATGTGCTTGTGCTTTTTTTACTTTTCTATTTCCCAAGAATACTAACAAATAATGCTTTAGAAGACCTCGAGATTCATCAGCACATAGAAAGTGAAGATTCAGAAGAACGATTAATCTATGTCTACAAAACGAATTCAAGTACAATTTAAGGTTTTGTTTCACGGAGGGAGGCTTAAAGAATTTTGTTTTTCACATGGAAGTATTTCTAATTTGTCTACAAAATTGGCAGAACCTCACTTACTTGTTCTGCATTTTCTTTATTTGATTTATTTTCTTCATCCTCTTCTTCTTCAGGCTCTACAGGTGCAGGAGTCAGGGAAGCCACAAAATGCCATAAGATATCATGAAGAGAAGTTGTTTGAATGACATTACAAAGAAGCCAGTTGAAGGCCTAAAACAAATTACATACAAGGAGTTACCAACTGGTTAAGCAAACCTGGAGTAAAACTATTTCCTAAATCATTTATTGAAGGAGGTGATGATGATTTGGACAGGCAAATAATAATGCAAAAGCTATCAAGTAAGACATTATTGCTCTGTAGCTAAAACAGTTTATTAAAATGACAACTATAGTACAGCCAACATAGCATAATCTTAAAATAAATTCCAAGGCAGAATTTACAACCACAATATTTTAATCATCCAAGAGCCATCAGTACATGAATACCTCCATGGCAAAGACTCTGCAAGCAGATTTCCGTAAGGCTTGTTTCATCGCTATTTCAAGTCCTTCCAGATCATGATGCTGGATTACAAATGCCAATACTGGCCACTGGAAATTTCTCTCTCCTTTGGAAAGAGAGCTGTGGGCGGAGATTAACCGAGAAAGTTCAGGAGATGGATGTCTCAGGAGAGAGGACCCCACTTCTATTTAAAAGCATAAAAATATGCATACATTAGATTCCTTGTGCATTTCAATTTTATAGCCACATTAAAAATGAAAAGCAATAAAGCACTTTTAGAAATGATTATTTTTTCTGAGAGAAAACTGCATTAAAAAAGCAATATGGAAAAATGATGCTTCAACTGAGAAAGAAAATAACACCTTCGGTTTTAAAACAGGCACAGAAGAGTCACTATAATTTTTAGAATTACAGTAAATCCTAATCCAATTTTAGGTTAATTCTGTGCCAATTATCAAACACCTAATGTTTGTTATTATTTTGTTTTATAACTAAAAAGTCACTACATGTATTTTTAAAAAATATATTTGTCTACATTTTCCGAGAAGAATTGCAAATCCTTGAATCATTTTTCCCTGCTTCTGATGTCTGTGCTCTTACCTGCATCTCCACTGTTGACTCGTCTCCTGGGGATTGCTTTTACACGTGCTGGCAGAATTGAGTGCTGTTTGTCATATTCTGATGCAACAACTGAGTATGATCTTTGAAAGACTGTGCGCTTTGCAAGGTCTGTGTCTGTGATTGGACTGGTTTCCAAACTGCGAAGAAATTAGTGAAGTAACACACTCATTAGCAAATACATACAGTGCATCTGAATCATACACCAATAATTAATAAGGATACATGCATTTCATAATCACAATGCTGCTACTGCATGAAACTTTGTCTTATGTACCTAAGAACTGTTTAAATGCTGAAAAAGAAGGAGCACATATTAGAATTACACATGGTGAAAAAGCATGCAAGTGCTTTATAAACACATGTAACGATGAACATGATGAGTTCCAAGAATTTAGGTATTTCTTTTAGAGAAATACAAACATTCAGATCATGCCTAATTTGAAGTTTCAGACCAAACTTCTCCTGAGAATGCATGTGAAAACATCTATGAAGTGAATTTTTAATAGCAAGCCAACTGAAATTCAGAACTTTATGTGAAGTAATCATTTCTAACATCATTAGCCTTAAAGTCAAATTTGAATTGCTACGGCTATACCTCTAACATGTTTTACTCCTTACCTTCAGTGGACTTCTTACAGTCTGCAGAAGGACTCCCAGCTTATGCTGTCCCTACAGGCCTCAGGAGACCATGGTGTCCACAGTTTTAATAAAGGAATATACCAATACGATGCACTCTTAAGGAGTTTTGTTAGAAAAGTTCTATTTCTGAAAAGACTACATTATAGATTGTAGTATTCCAATAAACTATTTGTGCAGTCAGTATGAAATACAACAAATTGAAATAAAAACAGATAAAAAGCAAATTTTCTCTTCATTACATCCTCACTATAATATGAGGAATCACTGACATCTGAGAACACTGAGCATATCTAAGTAGATTCTGGACTATTATTAATAGTAAGAGCCATTTTTTCCCTGGTGAAACAAAAATTTTTATACCTGCTTGAATTAGATCACAGTAAACATTACATGACAAGAAAGTGGCTTAACCTGACAGAAACCATCAAGCACTCTTGGTCCTAGACAGCACTGTCATTTCTTCTGTGACATTTTTATGTCCCACAGAACAAAGCAGCAGCATTTGCTTTGAAAAGTGTAAGGCAATGAAATTTCCTCCTGTTCAAGCTTCTCTTCAGAATGAAATCCTGAAAGAACAACAGCTACTTCCTTTCAAAAAGCCTGCACTCAATCAGTTGTGGTAAAGAACAGATATAGAGTAAAAAAAACCTGTTACATTCTCAAAGAGTTTGCAACAGTTACAGCCCTTGGATTATTGATCTTTAGATCACTTCCTCAGTTCTGTAGATTCTGGAGAATTTTTCTCTGTGGGGAAATAAGCAGGCCTGAAGTAGAGGCTATGGATAAATTTCCCTGTATGCTAAGAGTCCTTATCAACTGAACAATTTTTTTTTTGTATTTGGGTTGTAAACCCAGGATCTTTCTAGAGAGAAGTAATTGAAGTACAGTAAAAAGTTTCAGTTCTGATTTGTATATTCCTTGCATATTTACATATTCAAACATACTTCACTGCTAACAGTTGAAAATACATACCTGATATGCTATAATCCACTAAAAATTTCCTAACTACAGCTTCATAGGCTTTTGGCTTTTATGCTGCCATTTCAGAAACTGATCTGATACTTTAGCTTCTTAACTGCAGCAATGCTTTCCTTTTTTTTAAAATTTGTGTTATGCTAATGCTTTAACATTTGTATGTAGCACCTAGAATTACAAGGAAGTACCTTGGGGGCATAGATTTCATGTTACTCTCTGGCTCCTCAAAGACATTCGGGCTTGCGTCAGGCGTAACGGAGATGTACGGCGCAGGTACTGAAGTTGACCGCAAGTATCTCATCTCATCCTGGAACAGGTTGTCATCCTGGTACCCAACAAAATTTTCATGATGATGCCTACACCAAATGAGATTTTAAAATCAGAATCAGGATTAAAAAGTGCTAAAACACACAGACACAAATTGCTTTCTGATACACTTCATCAGCCAATGCTAGTCATTTACTCTTCACCTATTAATGCTTTTAAGCTGGTAATGACTTAAAAGTATTAATGGAAGACAGAGTGGCATTCCCAACCAAGAGGTACTGGGGATCACCTTTTTCTATCTTTTAGTATTTTCATCAGGTATTTCCAGAATGTATTTTAGGTCCAAAAGTCTACCCAACATAAGCATGAGACACTACAGTGAAATTTACTTAGAATTTCCAAGAAAGCCCAAGTCTTCTGGTTTCCTTTTTATTATTTTTAATTGTGAAGAGAAAAAAGTAGCACATATGTCTGCTACTAACACACTAAGTTAAACTCTTTGGGAAATTCCAAATTCTTTGGACAGAAACTGAACTGATATAAAATATTTAGCATCTGAAAACTACTTAGGGCATATTTGACTCTAGGAGAAAATACAATCTAAAAGATTGAACAGGATCATGGATCAAAACAGATAGAAGAAAAAAACATCATGAAGAACTAGGAAAATATGTCTTTTTCTATGAAAGCTTTAGTTCAGTTTATAGACACATTTTTATCCAATACTCTGCATAAATGAGTGTTAAAATCAATATTCATACATGCCCTTTAATTACCTTGCTAATGTCTGTAGATAGAGACATGGCATCTTAATGGGAAAGTCTTCAGAAATTCCTTCTTTTAGACTGGGAAGTTGAGATTGGAATGCTTTTGCAGGGTTATAGCAGAGGATACTGGGCTCAGCAGCACTACTCAGTGACAGTAAATACAGTGCATTGGCTTTAATCACTTGATGAGCTTCCATAGTTGGCAAGGCACGAGGTGTCTTAACTTGCATTGGTTTTCTCCTAGATTGTTTAATCTAGATAGATTTAAATAAGGCATAATTAAATTCACCACAATAAAGCCTGATGACCTATCTCATAATAGAGCTGCTGAATTCTACCTGTTGTAAAATGCCTCCTATGACAAAATACATTTCTATTACTTTCTTACCTTTGCAAACATTTAATAGTTTGATAGTTCTGACACTTGTCTCAAGATTAATTTTGTGTGCAAATAGTTTCAAAAAATTTAGATTAAAAATAAAGTTAAATCAGCATCATTAACATCAACATATTTGCATACTTTGAGCAAGATTTTGAAATTAGTCCTTGAAGACCACTACAAGAAAAACACCTTTTGTACTATTCCCATCAAAAACTCCTCTACTGGCATCTTGTATGCAAAGATCTGGATTATTAGGATCATTAAAAAAGCTTCAAACATGAAGTTAAAACAGCCCTCATTTTAGCAAACAAATAAAACCATTCAAAATTAAATAAACTGACAGATTCTAACAAAACTATTACATTCAATCCTGTGGCTATACAGGGATAAAAAATAAAATTACTTTACAAATTTGAGCACACTATCATCTGAAGGAAAGAAAACATGTCAGAAGCCAGTGACGTTTCTCTTTCATTATCTCAAACCTAACAATGAGGATTAGAGGCTATTCCCAAATTATGAAAGTCCAAATTTATTAAACTAGTCCTTCTTTTCAAGTTGTGAACACAGCACTACTAAGCAGACAGAAAGTTAAACACAGGAGCTGAAAATACCTTCTCTCTTGCCGCTGCCTGCTTTTCACGGAGGTACTTTTCTCTGCACCGATCGCACACCAGATACCACGTGCTCCCTCCGATGCCACCATCGCCACAATTGCCAGCCCATCCTCCACAGAAGTGCCCAATGCTGTTGTACCCTTGGCCACCGGCATAGCGGCCACAGCCTACATGGGGGAAAGGTGAGAACCACTGATTTCAAATGCAAGATTCTTACTCTATTATTTATTGCTCTAAAAGAGGGATGAAGAGGGGAGAAAGGGAAGTGCTTGTCTTTTTCCAGCCTGATTTTCTACTTTTCTGTGTGTCTGAATTGTTCTTTATAAAACTTGAAAACGACATCTGTATTCTTTAGATAGTGGTGGGATACATGGACAAGAACAGACAAGAACCAAAACAAGGTTCTTGTCTGTTCTTGTCCATCTATCCCACCACTATCTAAAGAATTCAAATGTCATTTTCAAGTTTTATAAAGAACTTATCCAAAGCATGAATAGATCCCCATTTAGACAGCTAAGTTATAGTTAAGGTGAGTATTTTAAGTTAGCCAACAATATCTGTAATTTAACAAACACAAAAATCTTGCTTCCTAGCTAATAAAGCTTAAGAAGGAATGGAGGGTATTCTTTTGCTGATTAGAGTTTCTCAGAAAGATTCAGGACTTTAACTTTGCACACACAGCGCTAAAAAAAAGTAGAGACCAACAAATACATAAAAATATTAAATCACTGATACCCAGTACTGACACAGCAGACAGAAGTTTCCTACTCTTGACAGTAGAGGAGTAACAGAAAACTTCTGTCAATGTAGAAACTCTAACTGACCAATCTCATTTTTTATTTCAGCACAGCTTCAAATCCTAAAGTGTAAAACACAGCATGTTTCTGAAGAGCTACTGTAAAGTCAGAGCATTATTTTGACCTTGTTTCAGACAACTTAGAAACTTAAGATCCCTAACTACTTAAAATTATACACAAAGATGTGCAATTGATCTGTATACAAGGATAACTTTTAATTTAGTGTATATAACAGAAAGCATAGCCTGACATTTTCCTAACAGGAACTAACACCAAAGCATGTGTGTGAAATACACTTTATGGATGGACATGGGAATTAAAAATATGGAGTCTTACCTGGATGAGCTTGTCTCATGTGATAAGTCACAGGATATGGATGGGATTCTCCACACAACTCACAGATGGTATCTTTTTCCGGTCCTCCCACTGCAAGCTGGGCCATCTCACCAAAAAGATTTCCCCTTGGCCTAGCTTCAACTTTTTCTTTTTTCTTTTTCTCCTTTTTGGCTTTCTTGTTATCTTTGTCACTTTCCTTCTTCTTTAAGACTGCACAAGAACCAGGACTTGGAAAAATCATGTTTTGGGAAGCTGCTTTAATAGTTGCTAAAGAAATATCTTCCCAGAAAGCTACTAAGTGCTGCAGTGTTAATGGAAGAGGAGACTTGGATTTCATTGTGTGATGACTGGATGTATCAAAGGAGGTAGTTTCATTTTTTCCATCCTCACACTTTTCATGCAGAGGTGGTTCTTTTAACATTGAGAGGACTTTGTTTTTATTGATGCTACCCATTTTAGATATATCTGGTCCGTGAGGTGAGATGTTGAACATGTTAAGAGCAGATGATATTTCCAATGAATGTCTATTTTTCAACTTGGTTTCTTTTTCCTCTGCAGGTTGTTGAGTAAGACTGCTTCGTATAGGTGCATGCTCTTTGGACAGTTCTGGATTAAACTTCAAGAAAGATGAGCATGCCATGGCATCATGAACTATTCCTTCATGCCAAAGAAATGCGGCAAATACGGCTCGAGCACATTCTGCAACAGAAGGTGACATTGCTTGCTTGGCAGGCTCTATGGGCTTTGATCCATCTCCTTTGAAAAGGAAGTTGGATTTTTCCTTTTTGGGTCTTGTGTGCCTGCCAGCACATTTACGGCTCACTTTCGGAGATGCTCTCATGTCTTGCTCATCCTTCAGTGGTGCTTTTCCAATGCTGAAATGAACTTTATTAGAACCATCGTCCAGACTTCTGAATTCGGTGTTGTCTTCACAGGTGGTATCTGTAATGCTGTCAGTCTTCAAAGTACTTGAAGTACAGACTTCAACTACCTCACTGTGAAGATTTTCTTGTACGACGTGAGGGGAAGGAGCTCTATTTTCAGTTTCTGGTGCAGATTTTCCATCTTTCGTAGTAATTTTTGGTTTGGGTGAAGTGGACCTCCCCCTTAAGGGTTCTGTTAGTGGCACTTTCTTTTTGCGAAGTGTGTCTGGATCTAACGTGTAAGAATCTGATTTGGAGCGTTCTCGAGGAGGATCAAGCTTTGTTTTTACAGGGGATGACGCTTTCTGAGGTAGAGTTGTTTTGTCATTGGGTGACGAGGGTCGTGGAGAACTAGCACCAGATCTAATGCCTGTAAGTGTCTTTGTCTTTGGAGAAGTTGACCGGGATCCTGGCCCTGGAGATTCAGCTCTCAGGCCAGGAGTTGTTCTTCCATCAGTTTTTAGTGTTTGCAGAGTGTTATGATTTGGTGACAAAGACCTGCTGTGCGAGTCTGAGCGCAACTTTGCGGCATCTGATTTCAGCATCAGGCACTCACTGGCCGATAAACTGTCGGTATTTCTGGGCTTTTTCTGCTCGGCAGCGGCTCGGTTCATTCGCACGTCAAGCTTGGGTGACCTGCAGTCAGCTCTGTGCTTGGATGCCATGTCTGATTTTCCTGCTGGAGAAATCGGTCTAGCAGCTCCTGTGAAATTCATTCGGTCACCTGCATAATGTTTCATAATTGAATTGTTACATGCTGACAGTGACACCCTCAATAGTACAAAACAAAGACTGAAGACCTGAACACAAGGTAAGTATCAAACACATGCTTCTGTTCACATCAAAATGAAAGGAAACATGAAGGGATCTTTTTCACCCTAGAATACTTTTGATACGTTTCTTTTCCCAAAGATACACAGAAATAAGCGTTAGAAAGTTTTTACAAAGAAAACACTACTATGGAGGTTGGCAAAAGGCACAGTTCATTCTTTCTACAAAATGCACAATTTACATCCTTAGGTGAAATTCCAGAGTTAACTATGTTTACCACAGCTGCGACAGAAACCAGGGACTATTTATCTGCTATCTCAATGTGTGACAGGCTGACCGCATCAGGAGACTTGAACAGAGCTCAAATGTATTGCCAGATTTATTTTCTTCAATGCTCAAAAGCCAGGAATTGTAGGAAATAAACACTTAGTAAGGCAAATTGGAAGAGAGGCTTTCAAATATGCTCAAAATGACTCAAATGGATAATCTACGGAATCTACTTTTTCAAATCCAAAATCTACCCCATGTTCAGCTATAAAAACACTTAAACCCCTCCAAAACAAGAAACCCACTTTTTTCAACCACTAAGTTAAACGGCCAGCTCTGGTCAATGATGTCCTCCTATTTCAATGCACTAATTTATTGTTCCTATGCACATTGACTTTGTACATACATTAATCTACAGAGCTGTAAGACTGCAAGAGCTACAAGAACTACAGGCAGCTTAGTACAGGTACATATAAAACAAATATATGCAAAAAGTAGCTTATGAAGGCAATCTGCTTCTGATACCTCTGTGAACCAAGTCTCTCTTGTAGAATTATACTCTGAAAATTAATCCAAGCAATATGGAAATTATTGGAAGCAATGCAGCAGTTAATACAGCTGTCTCTCCATGAATCCTTACTGCAAAATCTTGAATGCAGAGTTAAATCCTTTTGATTTGAATGGGTTTTCATTAGTCAAACATGAGAAGTGTTTCCCTAGTAAGCCTGCAGAATTAGGACACAGTACTTAGGAATATTTTTCTTTTCTAGATATTAAAAAGGTTATTTGCATTTGTCTGGGCTTATTTTTGAGAAAGCAACTATTCGTCAAAAAATAAAGTTTCAATTAATCAAAGAGTATTTGCAAATTTAAGCCTTGATTTCTAATGGGAACAGGATAGACAGTCACCTTTTATCTAGTATCTTCAGTATTAGAAGATGTGAAATCAGTGTCTACTTTCTTATGCATTATGGGATCTGAAGCAACTTCATGAAGTTCTCAATCACCAACCCTTACCCCTACCCTAGAAAATACATAGATGCAATTTTTTCCTACTATTATCTCTCACAATATAAAAAACAACCAAGAAAAATTTAGGAAAATTTTGAGTAAAATTTAACAACAAGATGCTTCCTCATGTTGTAAAAAATTTTTATTTGCTATTTCCATATTTAAATACCTTACAATAAAACTAACAGCAAAAGGAAAAAAGTGAAGGATGAATTATATTGGAATATTTAACAAGCCTGAAATTTAGAATACTTTTCTGCCTTTCCAATACATTGCAGAAGTTCATACTTCTAAGAGCAGAGAAGAAATATTGTGTCTATATTCAAGAATAATATATCAAATGTAAGCAAATAGAATATAATGAGAATATAGCAAGTATTTATCATCCTAATCAATTTTCAGAGTCTAATCTGTCTTCATTTTTACAAGTTCTATAATTGTTTTTCACTTGGAAGGGGGAAGTTGGCATAAGAAGGCAAGAAATAACAAGGTAAATTGTGGTTTATAAAATGACTGTTCTTGCTAAAAGAAAAAAAAAGTTTTGCAGTCCAAGCATTTCAGCCATTCCAGCTTAATTATTCACCAGTTTTACTCATGAGTTATTTTGAGATGCTTATTTTGTGATAAATTCTGAAATGCAAATTAGAATTACTTTTATACACATTTTTCCCAGTCTCCCAGATCAGAAAATACTTAAGGTTGAAAGTTTTACAGAATGCCTCACAAAAGAGAAAAAAAAATGTGAAAAGATGACAATCATTTTAAGAGGACATATAACACTTCAAGCCATTCAGCAAATATCAAATTTGAAGTACATGCATGATTAGCAAATACCAATGAGGAAAACATTCCAGAACAAAACTGCTTATGAAAGGTATAGCCTAACGATGGCTTCCAACAAAAATAGTATCTTGTTTTTTAAGAAAACAAAGCTTTGCACATAGAGAAATAATCCTAAGCAGCATTCAGGAGTATCAGCACAAAAAGAAAAATCTCCCAAAGGAAAAAGTGCATAAAACAGCAAGCTGCTTTGTCTGTAAGCAAGAAAAAATTCCCAGATCTTATTTCCTGTTTCTTCTTATATACTTTTGCCTATTATTTGAAAACAGCTGTAATTAGACTAACAGTCACTTTCCATTTTACAAAGCAGAGATAGGTAGATTGTGCATCATGGAGTTGCGGCAGCTCAGGAAGGCAACACTGAATGATTACATCAGATGAGCTCCCAACAAATACCAAACTTGAACATTCGCTTTCAAAACATTATTTTCTTACATGAATGAAATGAAAATGCATGGAAGGAGAAAGAAACACAAACCCAAAACATTTTGCAGGTAAAGAATCTGAATAACCTTGCTATGTTGGCATGCATACCCACCCTTCAGTTTGTGAGAGAGGGATGAAATAGCAGAGGCAGGCCCAGCTACATCACTACTTTTGTAAATACGCTCACGAGAAGCAAGGCAGCAGGATGGAGTTTCTACAGTGGAAAACAGTTGCACAGAAGCAGCACAGATTCAATGGAAAAGCAGCAGAGATAAAAACAATAGCATTTCAAATGATATGCATCTTCTTTGTTATGTATTCTGAATTCCTACATTAGTTTTAAATGACAGACAGTAGTTTGTATAGGAATGCAGTAAATCAGCTTCCTTGATCTAAAAATGCTGCAATTTCAATCTTAGTTTTTAGGATCTAAAAATGTAATATGTGAGGGCTAGCCAATGACATTTATGTTCATTATAAAAATCAGCAGTGTCTAGTTTTGAACTGAACCTGGGTTTGAGATGTTAACATTTAATTTGTAAGTTCAGAAATCAATTATTTAGAACTTCAATATGGTCTTCCAGATGATCATTTTACACATTCTTTAGTGAAAATTAGAGAACATCTAATTTAGTTTTGGAGTCTTGTTAATCACTGGAAAGAATGAAAAAAAATACATTAAACACACCAAAACTCTGTTTTCAAAAGTGATTGCACCTCAATAATGTAATGCTTTGAAAAACTTCCCTTATGTAATGTGAAGTTCCTCAATACAAGAAACCTAACCAGTAGTAGATTAATGTCTCCCCAACAGTACACAGATGAAAAAAACCCCTGTATCAGGTCTTAAAAATAATTTTGATGTAAGAAAAATTCTGATGTCATCCAAGATAATTTCAGTACAGTGTACTGACATCAAATCTGTTAGAAATACAACTCCACAAAAATAAAACTTGGAGAGAAATAATAGGGAGTTTTCATTTCAGTCTATAATTTAATTTTTTCTTCTGGTTTTAATTTTAAGTCCTATTCCTTCCTTTGGGGGAAAAAAAAAAGACTTCTTACTGAAGTAGTAATTGTAATGAGAATGTGTATGTTAGAAGATACTGTTTTAGATACACCCTTTTGTACAAATGGAGTAAGGTAGTTGTATTGAAAATAAATTATTTCAATTCCTACACTATTTAAGACACCTTTTTGTCCTAGTAATACATTTATTAACTTGTACACTCAACAAGCCTGCTACCTTATGCAATGAGTTATGGTTCTAGAAACTGCAATGAGAAGGTGTTCATACATTTGAAGTAAGAATTTCATTCTCTAAAAAAGGAATTGAATCCTTAATTTCTCAACACTGTATTAACAGAGATTTAACACCAGTATTACCTACTTTTGATACCTACAAATGATTTGGAGAGATCCAATAACAACTATATAGCTTCTGAGCAACAGGATGTCACTCTGTCAATTTTTAAAGGTAAAAGCCAGACAAACATTAGGACCACAAAACAGCAGTAGCAGCAAACCTAAAAATATCAATTTGACACACTAGCACCCCACTCTACGAATAATGAAAGGAAAATATTTACAAAATCCACTTTCAGGAATGCACGTTTATACTTCATTCCTTCACTCTGTCTCTGAGAACACTTACATTTTACAATACTGTAATCCAGTGTTGAATGATGCACTACTACTATTAAATTGTTTCAAGGGGACTGTGGGTCCAGCAGTATAACTGGAAAGCCTCAGGGACCAACATTTTGATCAGAACTCCCTCTTCCTGAAACATCCTCAAAGACTACAAAGACTTGAAATACAAGGCAGGCAAGGCTGTCTCATGAGCCATTCAAATGTGACAGTGTGCCTTTAGTCATGCTCTTTCCTTCATCGTGGAAACACCTCCAGCTTGAAAAGCCACCCAATATGGAGACATAAGAGGGAATTAAATTTCAATGGCAGGATGCAGTCTTTCAAGAGCTGTGCCTACTTCCTCTGAGGAAACCTAGGAAGCAAGACATACCACTAACTGGCTCATGTGAATCTTCTTTAAGCAAACTCTGTAACCATCATGTAAAGTGCCACTGGAAAATGGAGTTAGCTTCAAGTTTCTTCTGAAATGCCACTGCTTTTCTGCATCATGATGAATGAAAGCACTGACCTGCCTTTGCTGTGCTGCCTGAGCAATGGGTGCCTCTTAAAAATAATGTACTCTTCTTTCACTCACTTTTACTGACATGGAAACTACAATACAGCTGTCAGTTCAATCTCCTCAAGCACTGCAATCAACACATCTTTCTTCACCTCCTGAAAATGCCAAATGTCATACTAACAGCAGGACTGGGACTTTTTTTAGAAATTATTTTCCCATGAATAATAGAATGCACTGAAGTAAAAAAAAAAGCTTGCATATTAAAAAGAAAAATGTATTTAGTATGGTTAACGTAGGGATATGAGCGAATGAATTAAAGCAAAAGCTGAAATATGCTATAATGAGAAAAATATTAGCAATATTCTATACCAATGGTGGGGGGCTTGGAACACCAACACTTGAGCCACATAAGTGTATTAACTGAAAGAAGTGTTTCTGTGCTGGAAAGGTACATAAAAAAAAGAATTCTATGCTTTTCTAATTTGTAACTACAACTTTTGAAGACGTGATATGAGGAGATTAGTTCTAAAAAAACACCTGACACAATTTGTACTCTTTCTCCAGCCTTTACCATACCAGCCCTCCGAGGATGGTTTTGGATTGACCAGGCCAAATGTATGTTCCATATGTACCCTTGCCTATAGAACCTGAAAAGCTTAGGTTATGGGACCATTTAATTCAGCTCAAATTTTCAGGAATGATAACCTTGGCAATATCAAGGTATCATTATTTTTAATTTTTAAATTATGAAAAAACAATTAGATAAGTTGTCATTGGTTTAACTGATGACTAAATCACGCACAGAAGAGATCACCATGCCTGGTTGAGAAGATTCTCTCAATTTTACTGAGACACTACCAAGAAGCACATTTTATGTGCTCCATATGTGTGCTGGTCTTTTGTGCCCCCTCTACAGTTTTAGAAAATGCAGACAGAAGCACCGTGGCTCTAAATGCAATTTCACCAGCGCCTAGTTGGGAAAGGAACAAAACCAAAAAGAAACTGATCACACAATACTGAAAGGATGTGTGGAGGAACTCCTGACGAGAATGGCAGGAGCCAATGATGCATGGTTGGACTGCAGCTCCGCAGCACAGACTGCAAAGGAAGCAGCTGACAGGACACTGTATTGAACAGCAGCTCAGCACTGCAGCTTCTGCCTGCACAGGAAGAAGTACCTCAAACAAGCTGCATGGCTGCTGGGAGGGAGGGAAGTTAGCATATCAGAAATCATGGGGGTCCAAAGCTTTTTAGCCCAGAAATCCATCCCTCATTTGCAGTATCAACTCAGGTGTGAGGAAACATGGCATAGAGGTCTAACACTGGTGAGTGCAAAGTCTCACACTTCCCTCCTTAACTTCAGAGTTCAACAGCCAATCATCACATTATGGTAACTGATGCTGGACAACACGCCAAGATCCTGTGACTCACACTTGCCACATCTAAGGAGATTTATAAACTAGCATGTATTGCTGAAGGTTGAGAAACAAGGTCTTCCATGACCCTCTAGGCTTCCTCACTTCCCCTACAATCAGAACTCAACAGAAATTTGTCTTCTATGCTTTTAGCAAAGTTCATTGACAAATAAATCAAGCAACCAGTAATAATGTAGTGGGTATGGGAGTTTGCAGTCACAAGCAAATCTGTTACTGATCATCTTACAGGTTTCTCAGAAGCAAGCATAAGCAGGCTGCAGCAATTACAGACTGTTTTGGCCAAATATCCAAGGAAGAAACATACATAAACTTGTGATCTTACTGGAAAAAAATTCTTGCTAAGGCTCCAAGTCAATACAGACGTTCCTGTACTCTAAGGTAGGTTTTGCCAGCTCTTCTACCTTTTCTGAACTTTTAGTTGCACACAAGACTGACAAAGAATTAAAATAAGTGGCAAGAGTACCTCAATTTTGTCTGTCCTTGTGAAAAAGAAAACAATCTCCTGTATAACTATGTCTGAAAAGTAGCAAAGGAATTAAGCAGGACAGAACAATCAGCCCTTCACAGATTTCTTGCAAGTTAACCCAAAACTGAGTAACAGTTTCCCTTTCGCTTTTGCTAATATCCCTTCTGCAACAAATTCTTTGGTATCACACAGAGTGCTGTTGTCACTCATTTACGATGTGAAAGGAGCAACAGAGGCACTTTTTATTTCCTCAAGCACTGTATCTCAGGAGGTGATTGTCCTAAACTGTAGTATTTCTGAAAAAAATAACCAGACACTGTGTTGGAGGATAAAAGGTTGTGACAAATCCTCTCCTCCTTTCTTAAGTGAATTTGCAAACCAAACCTCAAGGACAGAAAAATCTCCTGAAAAAACAGATACCTAAAAACACTTCTAAGGAAAACTATAATCTGTCACCAGCACAAAGTATGTTTATACCAGATCAAGACTTTTCTTCCTATTATAAAAATCTAAATAAAGGAAATAATTCTAGAGGGCATTCAGCAGGATCCTACCTTTCCTCAGAATTATGCCAAACTGAATTTCTCCCCAGGGATAGAGATATTTGAGAAAGAACAGAAAATGTAAACAGTTGACTGAACTATTTAGGCTGACTTGCAATCAAGACTGGCATTTAGTGTATAACATTTGCAGACAGGAAAATCTAGGCTGGCACAACTTCCTTCAACTATTAGACTACCATTAGCCCATTTAATAAAACAGTATACTGACTATAAGCATTCATTTTATTTTTAAAATCTAACGTTACTGCAGGAAGCAGGAGCACGTAATTGGAAACTAAAACTAAGCATGTCTAGGGCAAAAACTCAATTGACTTGATATGGACTAAAGATATGCTGTTTAGTGGATTTGACTTTTAATCACGTTTGGTAGCAGGAGGCTATGAAGTAAGTGATTTAGAAGTAATTAATTAAAATTGCATACTTAAAATGAGTTTCTGTTACAGTTCTAATACAACTGCATAAAACTATTAGATGAAAAAGTACAATGATACAGTCTTACAAGCATCCTTGACTCTGCTGAATTTGGATGTACTTGCAAATGGAGGATGAACAAGTTTGCGAAAGTCTAAGTAAATTTAAACAAGAAATCTCCCGTATTATTCTTAAATTTTGTGAAAACAAAAATGTTAATATTTCTCTCCTTTATGAATAATTTACATTATCTTAATCAAACCTGACACTGGATAATAAACTGCTTAAAAAAAAAGTCTATGCATCAAATCACAGTCAGTGACCAGTACACCAGTACACCAGGCTGACAATTTTTTCCCTTCTGGAAGGGCAAATCACCAAATTGGTTGAGATCTTGTACTAAGCTAAGATCCCAAATCAGACATAAATTAAAAAAAAAATTTCCAGTTTCATCATGTTTTTATTTGGTAGACCAGCAGTGCTCCTCCCCTACCTGACAAAAAAAAAGGCTTCCATTTCAACTGGATCCTTATTAAAACACAAAACATGAATGTACCTTACTGAATACAGTTTATCTACACATCTTGGACAAAAAAATCCACTGAGAAATGTTGTTGTGCAATCAAAAGGCTTTTGTTTTCACACAATATGGGTTTAAATGCTAAAGGACAAATAATCTGAATTTTGAAATAATACAATTAGGGTTACTTTTGATGCAAAGCTGAGTAACTGATTTTACTTCTCTGAACAACAGAAAAGAAAACCTAAAAGTGATAGGAAAGAATAAACATTTGACAAATTCTCAATAACGGTGTGTTGATGCCACGGGCAGTCAGCTGTTTATCTGAGTAGAGTTTGGAATATTCTGCTTTCAGGATGTTGGTGTAAGTCCAGCAGAACTACAGAAGATCGTGATCAAAAGATTTCTGACAATCCTCACAAAAGCAAACTAGAAATCTTAATCTAGCTCTCACATGAAGGACTTCACTGTAACTTCAATAAGCTGAGCTGGAGAGATGCAGGACTGCATACACACAGACACTGAACTGACTGACAGGGTCAACAAGAAAGAGCTGAGGCATCTCAGAGAGACAGTTTGTGGGAGATAGGGATAAAGGAGTATTCCTGTGACCTGACCCGTTCTGCATGTAAAAGACAATTTAGCGCAGTATCAGCTATCCATCATGAATGCTGAGCTTTTCATTAATCAAAACAGTTTCCTGTCCTCCCATCAGTAATCAGGTTAGCTGGTATTCGCCTCAATGAGCAAACTTTCTTTACCATGCCAATCCTATGAACACCCAACACAAAATTAACAAAACATTTCTTATGAGTAGTGCCAAGTTATTCCCAGTGTCCTGCTACATCCCTAAAGTTAGGAGCAATGACAAAAATAGAAATTTAGGAAGTAAGAAAAGTTAATACCTATGTACTTACTGAAGTGCACTCCTGACGTTAAAGGAATTATCAATATTTTGAACTATATGAAATATTTACCGTATTTATAAACCAGAGTTGCATAAAATATTGGAAATGCACTTTCATGACTTGTCTATGGTGAAGAACACATACAAACCCAAAATACTGTCAATATAAAAATTAAAGTTGAACAAGTATACTTCTTTGGGAGCATTACTTCACATGCTTCTGAATCATGAAAAACTTAAAAAAAACAAAACCAGAAAGGTGCACTGTGGGATGATTAGCAGCTGGTAAGCAACTGAGAACAGCAATGTGAAAGCTGCAGAAATGGACTGATGAGGCAGGTAAGGCTGACAAACTTACTCTGAAGCTGTGGCTGAGGCTGCTGGAAGGAAAGGGGCTGTCCGAACACAAATGGACTGTGGACAAGGGAAGAGGGAGCTTTTGCAGCTTGATCAAAGATGGAAGGAGCTGGGAGATTTGGCCGTGACTGAATGGAATTCAGTATGGCACTCAGTTGGTCACCTGTAGTGGGCAAAACAGTCAAAACTACAACCTGTTACCTGTCATTCTCCACAAAGGCAGAGTAAAATGGCACTCAAAGTTTCAATGATGATAATAGAGAAAGCTCATACAACTCATTTAGCCACATACAACTCTGGTTGTGGCTAAACATAAAAATCTCTCTCCATGCATGGCAATAGAATTACTATTTTTTAAGGCCCATGGATATTTTACTGCAATTATTTTAAACATTTCAAAATAGAGATTTATATTTGCCTTGCTAAAAAATGAAGAGCAGCCAAAGAAAAAACAGAAATCCCTAGCACTTACAGTAATACACACATGCAACAGTACATGCAGAAAAAACATTAGAAAAACTGATGAAAAGGGAAAGCTAACATGTAATTAGGCTTTGGCAAATGTATTTCTGTGCCAGTGCTTTGGTAAATACTTGCTCATTTTTGCAAATATTTTTAAAACTATTCTGTTACACTGTTTTCCAAGGTCAGATTGAAGGTAATTTAAAAAATCTGTAAGTACCACTTAAGAACTGGAACTGGTTTTCTGAAGAATTACCTACATTTGCTGTGAGGCAAATGAAGGCATTCAATACACTAATTTATAAATTATAATTTATAATGAATATACTCTTGATGTTAAAATCAAGAGTTTATTTTCTGAATGCCAATTTTCAAAGAACTCTATGTGAGCATTAGAAATACATGACGCCTCAGTAAGAAGGCCACATCATGTCGTAACTTGAAGTATACTTAGTAATATGAGGTAGGAGACACCTGAGATTCTCTCAAATTCTTGATTTGAACCATCACCAGACAAATTCTAACAATGTCACTTTATTCTGCAAATTCCTATGACTGTGACAGCATTGCAGAAAACCTAGTAAAGAATTTTAGCAGCTGATACAGAATTTACAATGCTTTTTGATTATTATCAATTTTCTTTTTTAAGGAATTAGGGAAATACCAGCAGATGAATCAAATCCAGTATTACCCAAGAACTGAAAAGTTAAATTTGTTTTCTTGATATTTTGGGTTAAAAATTAAGATGACAAAATACCAGAAAATAGCTCGAATGCCCTTCTAAATAATCATCTAGAGCAATCAATCAAATTTATTTCACTATTTTGGAAGCAGCATACCTAAAACCTACTGGAATGTGTACTTCAGCATCAATCATTCCTACCTTAAAAACCTAGAAGTGATTGAACAACCTGGTCTAGGGGGGGTTTGGACCTATGGTAGTCTGTAAGATCTCTTGCAACCCCGGCCATTCTGTGATTTACATGTCTGACAAACTATTATTATTAAATGTAACATGCCTAATTTTAAAATGAGGAATTATTTTAAAGGGAAGAATATCTGAGAAGTTGAAAGTCATCTGCCCACAATAATCAAAGATGGAGGTGGGTAGGGCCAATCATGAAGAATATTAAAAACTTGCCTGTAACACAGAAAGCTGGAAGAGAGAAGACACAGCTAAATCAAACAGATTCCTTGTGGGAATCAAGTCTTTCTTGCAGGCAATACTGTAAACCTAAAATTAATGGTTTTACAGTAGGAAACTCTTACCTACTGTAAAACTATGATGGGGATCTATACCTACACCTATTATGGGGATCTTTACATTTGATCAGTTATTTTGAAACACTCTTGGATGGGACTGAAATTTCATCAAAACCAGGGCATTTCTATAGAAGTACTTTTAACAAACAAGCGCCTCCAAAGAAGTGCTTCCTTGGGAATTTCCCCTAAGAGATTGTGCCTGTGCCTTCCATTTTTTATCTTTTACAAAACTCAGAGCTTCTTAGACCTGAGAATACAGAAAGACTGCATAGAAAGTAACGGTACAGTTGAAGAATTCTATTTTTGGGAAAGTAAGGCCATTATTTTTTCAATATAATTGCCAACAACTCTTGGGCAATTCAAAAGGGAATACAATACATAGACTGAATGAAGCCACATAGCTGAGTTGTTCATTCACACTAAATATCACAGCTTGAAGTTATCTTGAGAAAATAATGCATACAAAATAGTAGGGAATTCAATGCCAGGAGTAGCTTCCAAATGTTTTGTAACTGTATCATCCCAAATAAACACCTTTGAACTGCTTAAAAGGTAGTAAAGAGAATCACAATATCTTTAGAAATCAGGATGCCTGTTAATATAGCATATTTATCTCTAGGATTTTATCTTTGGACAACACAGAACAAAAAAATTGTTGTCTTAATACATTTCTGCAGAAAAAAGAACAGATAATATTTCTGCACTATTACACATTTGACACAGAGAGACAAGCTGTAATACTGCCTCACATCTTAAATACTTCCACTTTTGTGATTCCACCATTACTCTGAGTATGGATGAACTGGGAAAAGAAGTTTTAAAAGGCTCTAAAAAAAAAAGGAAAATGCTTCAACTTATGCAGCCTTTGTCCAAAAAAGAGGGTTTCCTATAACAATGCATAGACAAGTATGAACCACTTTCTACACAGTAAACCACTGTGAAATGATATAGAACTATTTCATGTTGTGACATTAACAGAATAGACTATTTAGGAATAGTTATTTTTCTAATCTTCTCTCCTTTAAAGTAAATTTTAAATTCTTTTATTTAGGATACCATGAAGAAATATCTGCTGGTGCTAAAAAACACATAGAACACCTTAGGCCCTTATTTGTAGTAGCAACGGCTACAGCAATGTAAGAATAAAATTATAGAGCTCCATGTTTCAGGAATACTTCTCAAGAACCTCATGGAAAGTCCCTTCTGTATTATTAGATCTGCTAGAACTAACAAAGAAAGGAACAGAAAGCATGCAGATTGAGTTTATTCTGATGGCTTTTATATATGTATTTAGATCTCGCCAACAAAATAAACCATGATTAAAAGAAACAATTGTTTCATATCAGTAAAAGAAACTAGACTTTATTTATTTCCCAGCAGTTGTAACTAGTATCCAGATGACTGAAAGGCAACTTCAGTTTTATAACTTCTTTTTTTGATTTCACAACAAACTTTAAATGGCATGTTTTACCTTGTTAACTCACTAAAGGCATTTTAAAAATATGAAGAAAGATGACAAATGTTTCTGGACTTTTAAAAACGTGCTTTCTAAATCAAATAGTTTTCTAATCTTGTTTTAACATGTGTTTTTCATTTCAGCATTTCAGTTTTGAGCCTACCAATGTAGAAATCCCAAACTAATTTCCAAATCTTCACTGAGTCTTTTTATACACAATATTTAGACTGAGTGAAACTAAAGCAGAGAAAAAAGCAGTTTTAACACTTTGCAATTCATTATACTATTGCTTTGGAGAAGACCTGTGGTGCCTCGAAAAGCAGAAAATGAGTAATAAAATACAGCTATTAAAAATATGAGTGTGAAAACATACCTTTGTTATTTCCAAGGCCATAATCAAACCCTTGTCCATTACTACAGCTTGTCCCCTTACTGAAAGCTTGTATTGAAAAAGGACTTGGGGGAGGAGTCTGCACATTTTGATCTAGAAGGACTTGCTCTGTAAAAAAACCACATCACTTTGGGGTTAGACCTCTGAGTAATGGATTTCCACTAGAAAGATGAGTCACAAAGCAAAAGGTGATATTTATTTCCACCGATAGCACTCTTCCTCTCGACTAAATTCTCTTCAAAAACACCCACACCTGTTCTTCAGAACTCATGCTCTAAAAATAGTAAGACAGAGGACTTAATACTAAGTAGACTGGTTTTGTTTGACTGAATTGTTGGCAGCTATGCCATTATTTGATACTTTTTTTTTCCAGTAACATCATTCAGCAGTGTTTATTCTTTGGACAGCAATTGTTAAAATCCCTTTGACAAAGCAAGGTGGACAAAGGATGGTTTTCAGTGTGACAAACTAGGGCCACTAAACATTTAATTGTGGCTACCCCTGATAGTTCATGGAACATGAGACATTTTTTCCTGACAAATTTATGTGTATCTGCAAATGAGTACTATAATTTTACTTTCTGTATGATACTAAAGCAACCTCCAACCCAAACCAACCTGGAGTATTTAATAATATTCAAAATTACAGTAGAATTAAAATAAATAAGACAGAATCCACTTGACTATTTAGATTCACAGAGAAATTACTGACTTAACGTGGTCAAAAATACCATTCCAACTGACAATATATATGGAAACTTTCAGAAGAAATATCCGAAATTCAGGTTTTTAAAAACTTGACCTGGCACCTTGAATATTTTTTTCTTGTCAGTGTACTAAAATTAACATGGACAAAATTAAAAAAAAAAAATCACAACTCTTTAAAAAGTAATTTTTAAAAAATTGCATTTCAGGACAAAAATGCATTTCAGAGTACAAACTCCACATAACTTATTCAAGTTAAAACAAGTTATGAGGGAGAAATTTAGAAAGTTGGAAATTTAGTCAGTCATAAAAGAAAGGATCAAGAATTTTTTCTATCAGAAGCTACTCTAGATCTTGCTGTAGTACTTTAACTGGCTATAGATCTAGCTATTCAGAGTTCTACCTTGTCTCTGACAGAAACCCTACTCATTATGGAAATTTAATTATAATTTTTTTAAATAATGAGAACATGAATGTAATGTGAAAGATGGTGCTATTCATGGATTAAAAAAATGGACATTTGCAAATCTAGCTAGAGCACCTGAAGATCCTTATTATTTCCCTCTAGCAAAAGCATTGAAACTGATGATAAATTTTGAAATAATTTCATTGCAAATAAAAACAATCAGTTTAAAATAACCTTCAGATATGGCTTAAGTGCACAAAATTTTACATGGCACTGGGTTGGACTAGGAACCTAGAACAGGTTGAAAAATCTCAGTAATTGCACTGGTAACTGCTTAAACTCCTTTAGCCAGATGCCCCAGAGACATCTGCCTTCACCCTACCTGTAAAAAGAGACTCATCTAGAAAAGATTAACAACTGTTACATTGAGGCATGGGATTCATATCAGAAAGTTTCTAAGATGGGATTTCCATGAGCTGTATTGCAGAAATCCCACTACAGAGTTTTGTCCACAAAGCCTGGAGATTGCATTTCTGTTTTTCTGTGAGAGCAATGCTATATTCCAAGATGTCTTTCAGTAACAGTGCCTAAGCATCAAGAATCTGAAGACAAACCTTCAAACAAGGGTCTTGTTTAAAGCCTTCCTGATTTGTGAATTCTTTCTTAGAGCACACATATACTTTGAGAAATTTAAGACAATATGAAATGATAGGTCAAATACTAAAGATGAAAAACTACTTTAAAATGCAATACTGTCAAGTTACTTAAATGTATTTCTCAAAATAAGCATTCTGGAATGGAAATTTTTGCACACTGCTTAATGTATTGATTTCAGATAAATTATTTTCTACTGGAAAAGCAAACAATCCTGTATAAAAATAGAAAATAATGAATTTATCAACCCTATTATTGAATACCTGTGCTTTCAACAATAAGGTACTGTTCCAATTCACAATTATTTAGTTTATGGACTCTACTTGGGCTCTTTGAGCACCTCAGAACTTGACATTATCAGACACAACTGAAATTAGAAAAGCTATGACTTCTGAAGGAGTGTTTGAAGCATTACATAAACATTTATATATTTAATGAAAAACTCTTGACTATTCCCCTTCTTTGCAGATGGTTTTATACCTGGAAGTCAAGCTGCAACAGTCTACAGAAACACTTATGTATTAGCAAGGAATTGCTTTGTTCTGATACAGTAATGTGATGATAATTGTTAGAGTATCTATGTGTGAAATGAATTTCAGCAGCAAATGTGAAAACCAGAAAAATGGCAAAGAGTCTGTTAAAATGAACTAATAAGAGGCTGACAATAAATGTGACCTAAAAACACAAGCAGAGTATAACTGCTGAGGTCAAAGCTTTTCATAAAGATACTTTTTGGAAAACAGATGCATAAAAATTAACCCCAGAGCTAAAAGAAAAAAGATGGTTAAAATTATCACCCATAACCATAACTGGTACAGAAGAAATAATACAGAAATATTTTGACTGTTTTTAAAAAAAAATAATTTTAAGAATGTTTATAAACAACTTTTAAGTCCGACCGTGCAACATAATTCAAATGAAAATACATAAGCTAATGTTATACCTGCTCAAAACTCAGATACTTCTTTATTTCTCCTGTTTAGATTGCTTATTTTCTTTAAAAAGTAAGTGAAAAAAAATAAAACAACCACTTGCCATCTTCATGTCGAAGGTACTGGTTTCCACCTCTGTCTCTAGCTAATGACCATGCCTCGCCTTCATCACTTTCACAGAACTCTACCATGCTGTTCTTATCCATTTGCACCCACGTACCTTCTGAATTAGTCACCTGATGCACACACATAAAAAAGCACAATTTATTGACTTCTCAAATAATTCAGTAGCACGATTCAGCAACTACTTATAGTATCTGGAAAACACATGAAATTTCAATCTTTCTATTAGAAAGTAAATGTTAAAAAAAAAAAGTTTCTTAAATTAAGGCCACAGGCTGAGGCAGACTGAAGTACAAACCTATTTATGGCATATTTACATTTAGGAGTAATTCCAAAAATTTTAGACCTATTTATATTCAGAAGAAGCAAAACACCAACATCACAACTTCAGAAAATCCACATAAGCCTAAATAAAAACTGGAGGGAAATAGTCACCAAGATATACCTTCTAATCAATGGTGGCAACAGGAGAATTATAATACCAAGATATACATGAAAGGTTTTTATGATTATTAATTTTGTTCCTGATATTATATTTAGGAAATAGCATGACACACTTCATCCTTAAGCCCTACTTAACCATAAAACACCACAACTGGAAAACTCAGAACAATAACAATAGTTCAGCAACTAAACAAATTGATACAATCAGTAAAGAGAAACAGGAATTTGTTAAATGGTTAGGTCCTAGGAAAACATTTTATCATGAAACAGAATTCTTTCAAAGAAAAGGACAAAAAAGTAGATCAAGAAACACAATTTTGTAAGGAATACCATAACAGAAATACATAAGCAAGCACAGGTAACTGCAGTGCAATTTTAACATTATTCCAATCAATGCAAAAAGGCAAGAGACACGACTGCATTAGTACTGCTAACATAAACCAAGGTCAAAGGCCAGTAATTAGCATGAGGAGGGGAAAAGCAAACCTGGACAGAGGCAGATTCTTTTGCTGTGGTTACTACTGTTATATACTGGTATCTATGAAGACATGAACTGAAGCTACAAGGATCCATACCTCGCCCACTGCCTTGACTTTGTTTCCCAGAACTAACATTCCAATTGGGATACCTCTAAGGTTAGGGCAGCTTCTGATGTTGTGACCTGATGGGCCAGTCTTCACTACCTTGTACACTCCAGGTCCACCTCGAAGGAATGGCATGTCTTGCTCTTGCATCACTGCTTCCTGTGGGCAGTGTGAATTTAGGTCTTTGAAAAAATCATCAGCATTAGACCTCGATTCCTGAGAAATTAAAAAAAAAGGCAAAACAGAACAGAATAAAACCTATTAATACCACCTTTAAACTACTGAGATAAGAAACACTTACTTTAAGACTACAAAAGGTAAATTTCAGAGCTAAAGGAGATCCTAGTTACATTGCTAATTTTAGTGTGCAGTGCTGAACAACTAACCACTACTGAATTGCATATCAATTGAATTACTCCTGACATTACTCTTCAAGCAAAAGTGGTATAAATGTAACCATTTATATAAAAATAATAGCTCATAATACAAATTATTTAATCTAACTGCTTTCACTAAACCTTTATCCTTGCTGACATTTCTCAGGATACATATACATTCCTCCTGCTCTATCTGTGAAATTTTGTTAAAGTCTGGGGCTATGGAAAGGGAATTCAATATTATTTTGTACTATTTGCTGATAAAATATATATCCAAACCTGAAGTAGGAAAACACTTTGAATTTCTTATCAAAAAAAGTGGCAGTTACTAAAAGAAGAGAAAAATTAGCATAGATTTTTCAGTCAGCAACAGCTTAACTGAAAGGCTTTGTACAAAAAACCATGAGGGATAGAAGTAACAAATGTGCAATTATTTCAGAAGAATGCAAGTGAGAAGCAGGAGCAAGTCCCACTATACTGAAAGTCAAAGGTACTTCTGAAGGAACATTAAGGAAAGTTACCAACTACATAATGTCCTGCTGGATGAAGCCACGGGTTTCCTCATTTAGTTTACTGTGTTCAGCAACAGGAGAAGCTTTTTAGAAGCAGCATAAAATCTTTACTAGTGGTCTGTCCCTTATATACCAACAGCATTTAAAACCTTTTTATTATGGATGTTACAGGGTATACCCTATTTTCTTTACTGTCTATTTATCAATCTGATTTATCAAAATTTAATTTCTTCTGAATATGCTGATACTTTCTGCCTTGACAATCTCCCACAAAAATACCTTCCAGGAGTTCACTTACTGCTGTGAGAAAGAATAGTTTCTTGGTCACATTTAAACCAAACTTCTGGTTACATTATTTACTTTTAAATGAATGCAGATTTCCTCTGATCTCTTTAATGATCATGTTTTCAGCTTTTTTTGGTATGGAAGTCTGTGCATGTGTCCAGACTAATACAGGAGTTTTTTTCAAGAAGCCTTTACACAAAAATGATTCTATTATGTAAATATGTAACTTACAAAGCAAGTTAATGCAAAACTGAGGTAAACTGGTTTGAGAGAAAAAAAAAAAGACAATTTAAACATAGTTTAGATCTTGACACAATAAAGTCTGCTATTCTGGGGAAAAACAACCAGTGGGCAAACAAGTTTTAAAATCTCTAAACCGAAATGTACTTCACATTATTGTCTTCATTACAAATTTCATACAAAAAAAAATCCATCTCAAAACATTACAGAACTGATATTCAGGCAAACACTTCAACAGTCACTTTAAACAGCTTAACTGTACATAACATATAATGTTCCTAGAATGAAATAATTTTTAAAAACCCATTAAGAACGGTCTGAGTATTTGTTAAATATCTGTGTGGTGGCTTTTCTGATTAAATATCATCTTATTGGATGCCGCAACTTTACGTGGAGCCTCCAATAACAGAACAATATTTACCAGTCAATTCTGCTCTAAGAGAGAATGAAAGGCTTTGTTATGTTACTAAGCCACCTCTCTGAATTTCTAATTTGGTTTGTTAAAAAAGGAGAGCATTACTTATTAATTAATAAAAATTCAATAATCTGCCCTAGCACTTTTTTATCATTTTAGAAGAGACACTGATACAGCACTGAATGCAAATCTGCTATTTCCTATAAAAGTAAGTCACAGTAAAACAGACTTCAAAGAATATTGAGCATAAAGTTGAGTCATAAGGTGCATTCTGAAAACATGAGATACAGTGTGACTGTTCCTGTAATTTAACTCACCTTAGGGGGTAAAGCTTTGGAAGTCCATGAAAAAAAGTCCAAATCCCTTACTCCTTGGCTAGCATTAAAGACATTCTGAGCAACAAAGTTTGAAAAAAAGAGACACATATCAACAAAGAAATGGGAACAAAGAAATATTGGAGGAAGAAGCTCAAGGTAGTATAATGCAAAGTTTCTCCTCAAGTAAATTTACTGGTAGAATGTTTTGAAATAGGGGGAAGTTTTGTTTTCCTAATCAAGTCACCTGAGTCCATTGCTCACCATGGCAAATAATCCATTACACAGAAACAGTTTAGTATGTCAAAAGCTCAAAATGGATGTAGTGTGTCATGCCATTTACTGAAATTAAGAGCCAGACATCTCTTACAAAGCTTGAGACTTCAGACACAGAAAAATCTCATATTTCTGTTACCAAGAAACGGTAGCTGGTCCCATCACAAATCAGTTTTCTAGTGAGATGGTCTCCTGTTCTAAAAGATGATTTCAACCAGTGCAGGACAAGTGCACACAGAATTTTAGTCACCCAGTCAGAACCAAAGAGATGCAGAAGGGCTAAGCTCTCTGTTGCTGAAAGGAGTTCACTTGCACAGAATGATTTCACCAGTTTGCACATCAAAATTGTACTTTTAACTGGAGCCAAAAACTTCAGTGCTATATGGAGAACAATTGCTAAATTCCATTAGTTTTGTAAAACATACAATGCATTAACAAGTTTGTTATGAAGAACTGTAACCCAAATATAGCTGCCAGAGAGACATCTCTAATTTTTTAACCAATTGCACACACTATCGAAATAAGCACTGCTGTTCCTGCTTAATTTTTCCTCCCAAAAAACAGTGAGGACATTTTTTATCACTGGAAAACATGAAAAAGAAGCCATCTTTTTTCCATAAGCTAGTTTCTATTCATTTCAAAGAAATTTTCTGTCAAATGAAAGCACAGTATACATATAGCAGAACTAATAATTGTATTTATGATGGAATCCCTTTGACAAAGCACCTATTTCATCTATATGAACTGAAGTATTAAAATCTAATTTCTTATCCCATCTTGATATGGGAACCAAATGAAATCCCTGCTCAGCAGCCACATTAAAATTTAACAGTAGCTAAGGCAGTAAGTCCTTTCAGGCAGAAACAAGTACAAAACACCCTTGGCATGCTTCATCTGTGTTCCCTGAAAAAGCACTAACATGTTAAAAGTAAGCAAATCTACATTTTTACCACATGATAGATGCAAATAGTCTACTATATACTGCTTGTAAACATTAAGTTTCAATAGTACAAATGATCTGCCATTTTGACAAAGAGGGGGAAATTGTCACAACACCAGCATTTCTTTAGAACTGAGTACCTTTACCCACAACTGAAGAGATAGCCATGCACTAGTGATATATGCTCTGGGGCACTGGGGGAGGGTCTCAGATAGGAAGATTAGCAAAGTAAAGGTTTATCAACTCAGCATAACACTATGACAACTATAAAAAGCCTACATGTGCCTCATGAGTGTACTTCAGAGGCATCCAACCTACTCAAACTGTCTGATTCTATTACTCTGCAACATATTGCCTTTTTTCTGATGGACTTCCACTGAGAAACATGGACTATCCATACCTGAAATATTTAGGTATCATTTCAAAGATCTATTTTTCTACATAGAGCTCTATGTGTAAAATACACAAGGGAAACCAACAGCAGTGAAGTGGGACCATGCTGGCTTAGAAACACCAAGAAGATCAAACTAGAAGCTCTCTTTTGCTCTGGGAACTTGAGAACTTCCTGCCTGTTATAACACTGCACACCAGTTTAGATGAACAGATCAGGCAGCTATTTGGGAACTAGGTTTTCATTCTGAGAAAATACTAGATAGAAGCTTTGAATCATTTGTAGATTTAGTTGATGCTTTCTTTCAAGACTTTACCTTCCAAGCTCTAAAACTAATTTTAGAAATTCATAGTTTTCCCAATAAATTCAAAGTTTCAGAGATTAAAAAAAAAAATTTGTTTTGCCACAAAAATCATTGGTCCATTAAGAAGCATTTAAAACCTCAGTTATTATTTTTTCAAGATGAAGACTTTTCTTAAGCAGCCATCTTGACATTTTAGCACAGTCTTACTCTTCAATTGCTTTCCATCATGCTTAAAACAATGGCAGAAATTTTTGTCAATGTCCTTCAGTGTTTCCACAGAACATTCAGCTTTCTGAGGTTCTGTGATCAAGCACTGGAGCCTACATACTAATATTAATTCTTTCTTCCACTGCAATAATGGTTTGGAAAAACAAGTTTTGCAATCCTTATTTGCCTGTGGTGCCTGGGGAATGTAATATTGAAGCTGGACATCAGGGTACAATATTCCTTCTTATAAAGTTTTAAATTTAAAATGAAGTAGTGAGAACTTCGAATGTGATGTTTTAAAAGACAAGTTCCAGAGTTTAACCAAGATCAATTTCTGTTTCTTCCTAGAGTGCACTCTTTTGTATCATATGTTCTTTTCTCCTAACCACTATGTGTAAGCAAGAATAAGTAACTGTCTGTATAAGGAAATTTATGAGCATTTTTTCAAAACCAGATACCTGAATATCATAAGACTGAAGGAAAAGTATGTACCAGAGATAGAATCAGCTTATTCAAAATTGCAATCTATTAAATTCACAATCTCATAATTATCTACAATGGATTGGATGCACAATTTTAGATCAGGGGCTGTAAAGCAGTTCCTTGTGAAAGGACTAGAGCAACAGAAGAAGAGCTGAAGACTTTCTAAGAAGGTAAATGAGCACAGCTTAAATAAATAAAACACTGGCAATACCTTCAATCTCCCCTTTCCTATGATAATTTATCTTCAACTATAATAGCTCTAATAAAAATACAGAAAGTGCATTTATGAGATCCACAATATCCAGTACTTGCTTTATCATAAAATATCTAGTTAATGCTAATAAACATACATAAAATGAAGACACAAAATATACATCAAGATGAAAAGAGGTCACAATTAACATTGCCAAGAACCTCTACTGTTTTTAATCTGCTCACTGTTCCATAATACAGTGAAGAAATGGAATAACTAAAACTTTTTTTAAAAGTTTTTACATATTTTCCAAAATGCACTGAGAAATTTTATTTACTTAAGGGATTGATTATAAAAAGCCTGTATATTTACACATGAGAAAGCAATGTAATTGGAGATGACAAGTCTGCCCACTCAGAGTTGAACAGAAAATGGAATTTAGTTGAAGAAATGTGACATCTATTTATACAGGGAATACATGGCCTAGCTCAGGCATTTGATCTTCCCTTTGCATTTTCAGTCGCAAAGAGACTTTCTCCAGTCTTCCTTTTAAGCCAAAACTGGTTGAACAGCTTGGCTTCAAAAAATCTCACACAATCAAAATTTTTTCTACTGCATTCTGCTCATCAAGTCATTCAGCTACACAAATCAACAGGATCGAGCAGATATGAATTATACCACAGTTTAATCTAACAAAACTTTAGCATTTATTACTTAATTCAGTATCTTTTTTGACATAAATCATTCATCTCTAGAGGACTGCAAAAATCAAATTTGACAACTTGCAAACAGTCAGTTTTTTGGACAATTCGGAGGAAAAAAAAGAGTATAATTTGAAATATTTTCAACCTAGTAATCACCATAAAAAAGATTTCAAGTTTCCTACCAAGAAAGCAGTATCTGTGCAAAGGAAGGCTCTAGTAAGAAAGCAGTATATGCTAGACTAGCATGCTGTAAAGACTTAAGGCATTCAAAAGTCAGCCTCTGAACCTTATGTTTTGTCAGCTTTAAAATACAGAATGTTGGAAAACTATTTTCTTCCTTTTTCCTCTTATTATAATATATATATATATATATAAATCAAACCAACAAATCTTACTGCTTATATACCGTCATAATGAAATAAAATAGTTTCAGGATATGCCAAAGTCCTCCTGAAAATCTGAAAATTAGAGCCACGCAAGGAAACTCTTCTGACAGTAGCTCAGAGCACATTTCTTGCACATGCCTGCACTGCTGAAAGAGTTGCTCTCATAACCCTTTTGCTATGTTGGCTGCCACTCACAGAGCAGAAAATAAGAAAGCACATGACGTTTAACTTATGTCAGTCAAGACGTGTGACTGGCTACCTAAAAGAAAATTAGGCATATCTGAAGCTCATAACAGTCTAAATGGTAACAAAACTAATTCATAAGAGTGTTTAACAACCCCCAAAACCAAGAGAGAATCTTTCATCTGAACTTTAGATGCAGAGAACTAAATGTCTGAAAATTGAATGCTGTTTTTCACTTTTGATTGTACATGACCTCCTTATTCATATGAAATTTGAATTCTCAAAATTATGCTGTCAAGACTGAATGCTCAGTTATTCATGGCAGACATTTCTTTCCAGGCTTCTCTCAAGGAGCACAGCATATGCTCTTCCCTAGAACCACATGTATACCAGAGCTGTATGAAATATGCCAAGCAGTAAATTCTTGCTAATCACAGACAATTGCTGAGCTCAAAAATATTCCCTTCAACAAGTAAAAAGTTACTGAAAATAGCTAAACTAAAAAAAAAGAAACACAGAAAATCACTAACCACATCTAATAAAAATCTACCAGACTATAATACCCATCTAGATAAACAAAATTTGCTGAAGTTAGTTACTTAGTCAAGATAAATTCACTTTTACCATGGGTGAACTGGTAAAATACAACTACTGCACAGAACTATTAATATTTCATGGAAGTATAATACAGCAACTTTCTAATGGCAACCAATTTCTAAGGCAAAAAATACAGGCAAAATTTTAAACAAAGCCTACTTTTTTCCATGCTTTCATACATTCTACAGCAGACCAGAAAAACACTGTGATGACAGGCATATTTGAGTGACTGATTTCTGAGTACAGAAATAATTTGCTTCTCAAATCCAAAATTAAAATAATTTCCCAAACAAAGATTCTATTAAAAGAAATCTACAAATAGAAATATATCAACAAATAATTTGTAGACAAGAAGACCTATTCACATCACATAACAGTGTTTGGCAGAACAGCCACAGGGCATTATGAATTTCCAGTTTTAGCTACTAGCAAATAGCCCAATTTCACTGGAACTGGGAATATCTCAGTTCTTCTACAACCAAAAAACATGAACAGCATAATATTACTGTTGCAGTGTTTAATTTCATGAAATATTTCTCAACTATCTTCAATTGCAGCAGCAACTTACTCAGATAAGATGACAAATCAAATCTAAATAGCAGTATCAATCTGATTCTCACATTCTGCCCATAAGAAAACAAGGTACTGCCCATTCTGGGGAACGCATGAAAACAGATGAGCCAGAAAGGCCAGCATTTTCATGAATCTTTTGAGAAACACTGGTTTAGCTAATAAAGCTTTTCCTTTTTTGTCTTTCACATTTTTCAAAAAACTGTAATTGGTTTCCAGAAAAGGTCTAGCCTTTAACTGTAGTGATGACAATCACCATTGAAGTTATTCACTTCCTGTTAACTGTTATTATAAATTCAATGTTTGTCTTGAAGCTCTAGGGTTCTTTGATTAGCTAATGAAGTGGTAACTTCAGGATTCAGGTAAGGATTCAGGTATGAAACTCACAAAAAACATCCACACAACCCAGAGCCTAAAGAACTTTTTGGTTGGTTGGGTCTTGTAAAAAGCAACAATTACATTGATTCACTGTAGGCTGCAAGCCTCTTCTGAAATCATAGCACCAGTGGACACTTCACACACAATGCTATCTAGCATAAGAAACACCTGGTGCAGACCACAACCTAAAAGTATTCTGTTTTTATTACAGCAGTCCCTGCACTTCTGTTTCTCTTCTAGGAGAAGAGGCTTCAGTATAAAAAGCCTCATACCTTTCTACACTCCACCCTCATTACACAGCAGCCCTCCAAAATGCACACATATAAGGTTGTATTTGATAATTAAAATATCGTTTACCTCAGGACTTTTTGCAGCCTTAATTAAAGAAAGTCTTGTAATGAGGATAGAGTGTACTTTTGGATATTTTTCAAAGGCACCTTTTACTTACGTCAACAGGTACCAGAAGGCTCTTGCCAAGATGTTGGTTAAAAGACAGACACCAGGCTTCAGTGTAACCATTCATGTTTGGAACATACTTCTTTATTGTTTCATCATTCAGCCTCAGCCAAACACCATCATCATTGTGGATCTATGGGAAACAAGCAACAAGAACGAGCCATGCCCTCCTGTAACTGTTCTGGAGCTAGCAAGGATTAACAGACTTCAGGCAGACAAGAGCAGCAAAGAAGCAACAATCCTGACAATGCTGATACAACAAAAGCAGAGGCAAAGAGGAATATTGACAAAATCAGAACTCCAAAGCAATGGGGAAGCATATCTTTTTATAAGTCAAGGCATAAAAACAAATTTAAATCAGATCATGCAGTAAACAAGAATTGCTTTGAAATAAAAGAGGAAAGAAAGCCAAGCCTTAATAAGCTTTATAAATTCCCCACTTCCCATTTTTCCATTGCTGGCATGACTTTGTAAATCACAAAAATATTCCTTGCATATGAAGTTATATTGTAAGAAAAATACATGCATAGTAGTCTAACACACTGGTAGTGATCTTTCAGATCTCTAAGTAACAGATGTAATGAAAAGGACATCTGCATCTGAATTTTTGTGTAGAGTTGAAATAGTAAGTAGTGAAAAGCTAAATCTTAAGAGGTATTATTGTAAGATGAACTCCAGGAATTTTCTTTCCTTGTATCAGTATCAAATGTTCGTTACACAGGTTTGAAGTAAGTAAATGAAAGGAAATGACAGCTTGAAAAACTAAATTAGTAAATTTAGATTTTTGCAATTTATGGTCTTAGGTTGCATATGTCAGCATCTAAACATGGAAAAAACCCCATTATTTTGCATGAATTACCTTTACATGTCAGCCCAATTTTCAATAGAAATGTCTTATGGATTACCTCATCAATGAAAGTGATGGATCCATTGACTTTCACTATGCCTATCTGCTCACTCTGAAGGGAAGGGTGGCTACGGATACGAAGCCCTGCACTGTCCTTGGCCACAAATTTGCGAACCTAAGAGAAGCAAAGAAAGACAGTAGGGAAGAAAAAAAATTGGAACAGAGCTCTCAGAGTAAAAAGAAATAGGTTTAACAGGTTCTGAAATGCCAGTGACAAGACAGCAGTCTTAAGAGTTACAGTTTGTTGCTAGTTTCCCATGGCTTCTGTGTATAACTTTATTTTTCTACTATAATCAAGAAAGTTATAATGTTCCAAAACACCATAATGTTAGCATGCATTAACTTGGAAATATTTCTGTTATACCCTACAATAATCAGTACAACCTTCTGATTTTTTTAACAAACACACATATTTCATTCACCGCTGAAAATTTCACCAGATTTGCATTTTCAAATTTATTATTTCTTTTAACTCATCACCCTCGGATTACCATTTCTCAGTTGTGCTACTGCAGTATTTGTTTAGTCAGCTTTTTTTTAACCAAAATTTGGTTATTTTCCTTAGCTAAAGAGTTTAACTAGCCATTTTAAAATAAAATAATCTTTCTACTTCTTTATCTTTTAAACTGCTATTTCAATAGTTTCTTCCTTGTTTTTCCACAGCAAGGTTAGAGCAGAGGCTTCTTGCTATTAGCTGGACTTCCTACAGCACCACAAAATCTTCCACTTGTTATTCACTATCATGTTTTTACCATTCAAACATTATCAGGCACCTATTCCATACAGAACAAATGTAAGGCATCCTACTGGTCTCTTAAAACCAGAGATGCATATATTCTATCCATATGGTATAAAGCCATTCTCTTGGAAGGTTATTTTCAAACTCCACAGATAAAAGTGATAAAAGTATCAATAGAAATATGGATTTTATCTATAACAACATAAAGGACAGAATGATGTGTAAGGAACAAACTTAGGGATACATAACAAAAGGTAAGAGCTAAGTGTACGAACCTTTGTTCCCTAAAGAAATTATTTAAGAAATTATATTTATTCTGAGGATAATTTAAAAAACAAAATACAAACCCAACAAAACTCCAAAACCAGAAGCATGTAAAGGATTTCATAGATAAATTACTCCAAAATGTGCAAGGTTTTGCTTATTAACAGTCCTCTTACTTGTAATACTTACATTCTCGCTACAGACAAAGCTAGGACTTTCAAGGTCCTTGGAAAAGTATAAACTGAATCACTGCTGACAGCATTCTAAATACAGACAAACCAAAAACAAAGTCTTGCAAATTAGGGGTCCTTGCATCATGTTACTTCAGAAAATCGTTATGACAGTTTGCTAGAACTTGGATTAAAAACTTTAATTTAGAGGAAAAACCCACATTCCAGATTTTGAGGAGGCACAGGCCTGGAAAGAGCCTTCTTCCCTTTTGCAACAGCTAACCTAATTAGTTAATACAAAACTTCAACCTATAACTAGAAATTACTTAAGGATCAGATCCACTGACAGACAATACAATCAAAAACAGATCAGGAGTTCCCTTATGGTCATTTCTGATCACGATGAAAAATTGTATCATCTGTGTCTTCTATCTGATACAGCGCCTCTTTGCTAGGAACATTTCTGTATAGCACAGTGGATTAGTAGCTCCATAACACCTCCACAGGCAGCTCTTCCATGGAACATACACCTGGATTCCAACTGAAGAACTGACTAAGGCAGACAGGCTTAGCAGTTAGGATGTACATCATCCCTACAGCAGTTTTCAAGACCTGTATTGCTGCGCTATTTTACCTGACAAATCTGCAAAGAGGTACACATCACACAAGAAAGGAGTGTTGTCCAGGATAAAGCGACCTTAACAAGGGGGTTGGTCTATGAAGGGGTGAGAAAAGCCACTCCCAGGCCAGAGCTTTTGGGTTTGGTGGTTGGTTTTGGGTTTTGCCATCAATGCTAGCTACTTGTTGTGTCAGGATGGTAGAAACCATCAAAATGTGTTAGTGACCGATCATTCTGGTACTAGTCTTGCACCTCCAAATTGAGCTAAATTAGGACCCTTTCCTTCTAGTTGGTTCCAACTACCCTGAATTACATTACATAGCTTGAAAAACAATGCTGTCCTCAATAGGATGTGGAATCAAGTTTCCTGCAAGTTAGTTAATTTAAGCTTTGCAGACTAACAGGAGGCAGCAATTTTTATGGGCCTTATACCCCAGGCTGAATACAGATCACTATCATAGTCTCCTTCAGATTTTTCATCTGACTTCAAATAACAGAGAATGAAGAATACACATATCAAATCATAACAGAGTACCCATTTTCAGCTGGCAATTTACATGAGGTTTGGCTACAAATCTGGAATGTTCCAGTGCCTCAATGAAAATATTATGGTGTTTCTAGCTGAGAACAAATCACCACTAAGAATGCACTGTTAGTATCCTTTGCTTACAACTATCTGAAATTTCAGGCTGACAAAGATGATGAAACACCATTTAGAGCTCAACTATGCCCTTTTTGTCAACAAAACATGATTTGGTACACTGAGCTGTCTCTGACTGATACATGTCTAATCTGCATTCTTGGCTTCAGAAACATAGAGCAAAATACAATTACTACCCTGCTGTATTACTTACAACACTGCTGTTGATACACAAAGAATTATCCTGATTTGTTATGATTTATTATGACACAGAAGAAAGTAGACTGATTAAATGATTTACCATGAAAGGTCTGGTTTAACTGTTTAGCTGGCTCTACAGACACTATGTACAGGACAAAGATGGCTCCTTTTTCTAAGAGACAAACTTGGAACAAGAAATGAGACATGCACACAGAACAACACAAGGAGAGGATTAAACACTGTATAACATCTCAGAACTCCAGAGGACTGACTTCTGTCAAGTACTTTGACTGTTCCTTGACAACACAGAGTTATCATGTTATATGAACAAGAGTTATATGAACAAATCACACCAATTTCCACTGTAATAATTGAAAAGAAAACCAGAACTTCTGCTCAGCAATTCATCTCATATCAAACCAGATTCTCTCAACTTGGGGACAGCAAAACAACACAGATGATGATCACCTTGGGTGCAAGTATAATGAAGTTGCTTGAGATATAAATCTCTCTTAGTAGAGATTCCCAATTAGTAGGAATTGGGAGTTGTAATTAAGATAATGAACTAACCAGGCAATCTTCCTTCCAAGAGAAGGGAGAAAGTCTAAAAGAAACTTTTTGGGGAAAAAACAAAAAAAAGAGAGCCAGTGAGGGGTAAATGCTGCATTGAAACTAGAAGTACATTTATTATTTTTAATTTGAGGCATGGCTCCAGAGAAAAAAATCTTGTTAGTAGTAGAAGGAGATGCTGGATGCATTTTAGAGACTGGGGAACCATACAACAAAGTTACTGTTTCTGGATTAACCCGAAGTCTAGGAAAAAAAAAAATTAGGATGCACTGCATAGGTAAGAAGTTGTCAGAAACCTGATCCTTTTTGTAACCATATATTTCTTAACCACCTTCCCAATTTCAGTAGGAAAGACAAACTTGTGGTATTCCACAACTTTAATACAGGTTTACTAAAAAAAAAAAAAAAAAATCAGCATCTCATTTGTGCAAAGTATATCCCTCATCTAGGCATTTTCCTTATACCACTATTGCCCAGCTCATCTTACTTGCTTCACTGTGTCTACTTTAGTCCTTCAGGGTGGAATGATAAGGTGAAACAGGGATATCAAAAGCTACAGAAAGGATACCTTTAAAAAACATAATCATGCCATTCTCTAAGGAAGAAAAATATACTAAAGAAACTGGCTATGAATTATATACTGATTGAAGATGCTCATGACAGAACAAACAAAATCTTTGTAAAATTTCATGCACAATTAATTTTGCAGTACAATATAAAAGAAATAGAACTAATAACAGTGCAAAATTTTGTCTGTGGCTTTAATAATAGTTGTGATATGTTTGTGTGACAAGCCAAGGCAAAGGCAGTTTCTGTAGAGCTTCTATCAGTTTTGTGAATTCATGTACTAAAAGAAAACAGAATGGATTTGTTTCATTTATCCAGTGTATTAATTTCATTCCATTCAGCATGTTAAAGTGATCTGCAAATATCCTTAAGTCTGCAGGACTATTACATGATAAAGTACACATTAAACAACAAAAAAGTCCCACCCAAACATAACTATCTGTTTTGGGTTTTTTTTTAGTTCTCCAAACCTTGTTTGGCTGAGGCTCTGCTTTTGGTTTAATAAGCTGGGTTCCGGGAGGTATCATTCCTTTTGGAGGATCTTTTACTTTCACTTCTAGTCCAGCATCTATAAGCAAACAAAGACTACATTAAAAAAAATATAAGGAGATATATCACTTAAATAGTAACTACAGTTTATCTGTGCTACAATTTAGAGCATACAAAATAAACACTTATCTGTCTGCCAAAATCAACACCTGCCGTTGGCTTCATGGTGCAAGGTATTTAATTTTTGAACATTTCTATTTTCATATGTGGAAATTTACAGAGATGTGGTTTCATGCTGCTGTTAGATATCTGTCACAGTGTAGGTACAGAGCACTACCAGGTAATTTTGTATCTTAACAGTGTCTGTAGGGTTACGTTTCAAGGTATGGTCAACACAGAGTCTAATGTTTGAGAGGTGCAGGTGAAAGCTTCTGGAGAGGCAGTAGCTTATGCAATGCTGTACTGCTACAGAAGCTAATTGCTACATGTGAGACAGATATAAGAGCCTGAAAAGCCACATTATACAACCAGACAAGGCCTATAGTGAAAAAAATGGTATATTTCATTACCAATGCTGTTAAAAATACAAAGACACAGGAAAGTGACATTCTTGTTTGTGAAGAAAAATACATGTAGTAAATACATGTGAAGAAAGACACAAAAATTTATTTAATAGATGAACATGACCCTGAGTAACAACCTTCAAAGAAATTGCCTCAGCAATCACTGTTAAAAGGGAAGAACAACATCTTGAAAAGAATAATCCTGATATAGCAATGGAACTGCTGGTTTCACTAACATCCTTTTAAACAAGCACAACAATAACAGAAGCAATCTACAAGCATCAAGAACATGAAAGGTTTGAAACAAAGAGAAACTGTTACCAGTACTTAAGCAGACAAAAATGGACAGAATTATGGGCCAACCATAAGTACATCAAACCTTCAGAGGACATAGTCTAATGATTGAGTCAGAAAGTTCCATTGCAAAAAAAATGGCACAGCTAAGTATTAAGAGTATACTCATATCTGTTTAATAATGAAAGTTAAGAGTTATATTTATCATTTCTAGAAGTTTACACAATGCTTGAAGATGGTAGAAGTTGCGCAAAAGTATAAGAGCAGTTGATTGAAACTACAGTGTAAAGTTTGCTCCAGAGATGACACACTGGAAAAAATACAACTGAGTGCATCACAGGCTCCAATGAAGGCAAATGTTCCTCTGTTTGAGAAATAGAGGATAATTAATAATAATACTTTATACATCTTATTTTTTGTAGTTAACACATAAAACCAAATCTCATTCCATTTCTATGTGAATGATGTGTACTTGCATTTATGAGTATCACTATGTGTTTACCAAAGGTGCCGGTCAGTATTGGGAAAGAGGAACTGCTGATGCTCGTGAACTCACCCAAACCCTCTTATCACATGTGGATCCAGCTACAACACTTTGAGTGTTTCTACTTCCATCTTCACCATATCACCAGTAAGGCTGACATGAGAGCATTCATGACAGAGTATTTTGGAAGGGCACTCTTTCCACCACATGCTAGAGTATTGATATCATAGTGCAGTCCCCAAGACTGGCAAGATAACGACAAGATTTCCCACAAGGAATGAACCGAAATAATTTAAAAATTAGTATAAATAATTAAGAGTTTAAGCAGAGTCTCAGTTAAGACCACATCTCCTCAATTTTCCAGAACAAATGACAGTAAGTATTTCAGCATTGTCAGGAGCAATTTCACCTTCATTAGGTTCTTCAGTGTTGGGCTGAGTTTTTTTTCCCCTTTAACTCTACTTCTCTGTCACTCTCAGCTGAAAGAAGACATTCTTCTTTCAATACTGAGAGTTGAGAATAAGAGAGTCTGTTAATCTGGTAATCTAACCACATTATAAATACACGATTTGCAACATGCATTCCTATTTCAGTGGGGTTTCTTCTTCTGACAAAGAGTGATTGAACTAGAAGGCTTCTGAATGAAAACTTGGCTACTAAGTTTTGCTATGAACTGTAATGTTAAATCTTATGAGCATTAAAACAAATGTGTTAGTACACAAAGTGGAAATAATATACATTTATGCTTAAATATAGTAAAAATTAAGTACCTATTTCAATGCCATCAATCGTAACATGAATGGTATAGAGACCAACAGCTCCAGGAGTCCAGTTTGCACAGTATGTACCATCATTATTGACTCTGATCAACATGTTTTCACTGGGTCTAGGCATAAACAAAACAATTAAAATCAATCAATCAATTATATATAACGATTAGTATAATGTTTATTTTGGAAACTACTCTTTTCTAGCAGATCATCTAAATACAATTTTTCCCTTTCCAATGTATTAACCTCCTATTGTTTACTATGAAAATGTAATCCTCTATACTACATTTATTTATAGCAAATGATAATAACACATTCAAAGAGTAGCTAATATAAATAAGGAAACAACATTAGAACAATTAAGAAAAAAAAGATTTTGAATAAAATTGCTACATGTTAGAAAACATAATACTTGACTTCTGTGTTTCTACCTTCAGACATGATTACCTGTAAGTCACATTTGGGAGTCTGGGTGTAAGCAGAATTGTCAGGATATGTTAATTTAAGCCCCCATCCAAAAGAAATTTTTTAATGTTTACCTCTTTGGTGTTGGTGAAGCGAAACGCAGTTCTTCAAAGGAATAATTTTCATATGCCTATACACAGATTAAATTCAAAACCAAAACAAACAGTTACACCACTATCTTGAATAAAAGAAAGCAGAGCATTTTCTTAAAGAACACATCAATCTAGCTTTACACACCCCAGAAGCATTAATCAGGGAATCAGAAACAAATTTCAAAACACAGAAATATATGTGCACACAGGAAGAGGTATCTTCACTGTCTCAGTCAACAGCCATTATTTAGATAAGAAAGATTGCTACTGCTAACAAAAACCTTGATAAATCTTTGAATCCCTTCAAATCTGACTTGTATAAAACCCTTTTGAATCCAGGCAGTGCACTGAAGTCCATGTGAATATAAGAAAGCAAATAAATTGCATGTAAAACCTGCAAACCAGCCCAGGCACTTTATCAGTGAAATTTCATATCCTTTTTCTTTCAACTCCAAGTGAAGATGGAATTCCCTGAACCTTGAGGTGATACTTCCATTGATTTCCACTACAAAAAAGACCTGGTTCACTTCCATAGCATCTTGTAAAATCACTGCTCTGAAAAGTCCCCTAAGAAAACAGAGCTTGTCCTAGGAGTGCACAAAGTCCCTCAGCAAGAATCTCTCTGGGCTGCAATAGTTGCTGAGTTACCAGATTCCCATGTTAAATCAGAAATATATAAATAATTTAAATAAATAAATAAAGGTAGGATAAGTACCTTTGAACATATATGTATATATGCCATTCTGGGTCCCTGCATAAGGATATAGTTTTGGGTATCAGTCTCCCAAGCATGTCATAATTGATTATATTTTTTTTACAAAGTGAGATTTTATAATCATATTTAGATGTTTGTATCAAGTACTGATAGAAGGTGCAGGCTGATGTAAAATGAAAATATCAGGGGACATCAGCATTTTACACTGAAATTAGTGTGCTTAATAATGCAAGCAGGGAAATAGAACAGAGTATTTACAATGCCTTGAATTCTTAAAAGTTTTGGATGGAAAGGGCTTAGCTTGAAAGGAACCTTGGGAAGATTCTCTGGGAAAGCACTAAACACAGAAATCAAGCATGTTTCAACAAGAGAGACACTTTTAAAATTTAACCTTGGTGTCTTTTTACTTTTATCTTTATGAAGGTTTATACTGTTATTACCTTCTGAGAGGATTTTAAATTAATCCATCCATTTTCATTTTCCCTTAGCCTTATTTCAGCTAAAGAATGACTACACATTAACTAGCTGATATTAAGCATTCCTCACTCCATCAAATCTACACAAGAGTTTTTGAACACCCTACACTTGCACCACAGTAATTTACCCCAAGGCATCTCATACATTACAAGATATACAACTCCAAGAGTTTTGTCCGCAGATTTGACACCTATCACTGGAAAAGAAGCAGCAGACACCTGTGGACAGTGGCTATCAGAAATATCATCTAAGCCTTAACTTGGGATAAATAAATTATTTCTGCCTCCATTCAAGTCACTTTTAAAAGAAGCACCAAACCAAGAAGTGATGTTTGCACTAGCCCAAATAAAAATGCCAAAATCACACCTTGATATGCACATGATCTATCAAGTTCTTAAACCATAGGTTGTACACTGCATTGATTTAATAGTTCTTTCACTGATCTATTAAGACACTATTCAGTACCCAGCTGCACTATTTACACACAGGTACTGCAGCACTATCCTTTGCCTCTAAAAGGTGCTAGTTTGCTGGTTCTGCCCCCACAACAAATCCATTCTGATTATGCTAAGTATTATCCTCCTCTACCCTCCTGGCTAATCCTGTCTCATTAAGCTGTGCAACTGTTAGCTGTACACAACATGTCACATCTCTTAACTGGGTCAGTATGGTACACATATGTAAATTTACTGCATGTGGTACAATAGACTCAATCAAATCAACACTAGCTGCTCAGTTTTCACTTCTTTAGAAAATGTCCCTGGCTAAGCGTCTGAACTGATCCATTTAACAGTGGCTCATTTCAACAGATGCTGCTTAATACGTATGCATTGATATAGAAATCATTTGCATGCCTTTTTTACTACACTGAGCTCTTATTTTTCCTGTTTTTCTGTTTTACCTGCTTTAGTTTAAAGTAAGCATTCACTGCAACACTCCAAGTCCACATAAATAAAAATACTGGTTTAACTTTCCCTTCACCATTTTCATGACTGTTTTTATTTCTCCTGCATCATGACTCCGATTAATTTGTAATCTGTTTAATCAAAATCAAAGACAACTTTCCTTTTTATGCTAATCCAATCTAACTGCTTTACAGTTTAACTAATTGGCCCTTTTGATGTATTTAGTTTATTGCTGAACTAATATTAATCAAAGTAATTTCCACTGAATGTATTTTCAGATTGGGACTGAAAGGAAGCATACATTTTTCCTTCTCTACTGAATATCTTTACACACTTTGAATGCTGAATTTTATAGTTACATTGCCAAAATTGCAGTAACTTACCTTCATCATTGTAATAGCAATATACCGAGCTTCTTTTACTATCATTGGCTCATAGGAGGAATCAAGCTTTGGTGAAGGAAGCCCTCCAAAGGTCATATCACTGCTAGGGGAAACAGCTGTTGCAGGACTGCCTGGTATCCGCTGCACTTTTTTAACCTGTTCTTGTTGCAAAGATGTTTTTTTCTGAGAAACAGGAATAGCTTTGACTTCCACCTGTAATAAGATGTGGAAGAGGGAATATGATTTAGTGAGAAAACACACAGACATTCTTCCAAATCTGATGCGGTGCAGTGACAAAGCACTTAGAGCCCTCCCTGTAAATCCAGCTGTGTCAAAACCCAATGTATCTACACTTAACCTGCAAAGCCAAGCACAGCATCTTGGGAAGATGCCAACTGACTCCACCATCAGCACAGGCTGATGTCACTTCTGCCAGTTCCAGAGCACTCCCTGGCTGGCAGAACACAGTCTGCTATGCCTAGGGGAAGTTCTCCCAGAACAAAAGAGTGCAACAAAGGAGAAAGAGAGCCTTCCAAGAGAGTGCACAGATTTCAGAGCAGATCATCATGGCCATTAGATGTGGATCAGCAATGGCCAGACCAGATCCTGGCTGGCCCTACCCCTTCCCAGCCAGCACTGCACATTTATATTGTGCTCTTCAATGCATGTTATAAGTGACTTATTCCCCCAGAGGTAGCACAGATCTCCATTAGTGCAGGTAACAGCTAGCAGTACACAATTTTCTGAGAAAGACAGACAGACTACCTGGAAAATAAGTTTGTATGTTACTCATCCAAAATCTGCAATATCAAATACTGCAGTTTTCACACACAGTTTTATCAAAATTTGATTTAATTAACCAAAATTTACATCATTGCACTGCACACTGAATAAGTCCAGAAGAGTAATTAAATTGAATTAAGATTTTTGTTACTTTAATATATTTGTGAACAGTAATTAAATAATAAAACCAGTAATAATTTTAATCATATTTTGACATATCTTTTTCCTGACTGATAGGATAAAATCACTACTGAGAGTCTTCCACTTGTTCTATCACTAATTTAAGTCAGTAATCACACAAGTTTCACAAGCAGTGTTTGTGACTAAGCTGATTCTTGTGTTACTGTTGCAGAACTGCTGTTCATTATTATGTTTACAGCTCACTGTAAAAAAACTCAATTATTATACCATTTGGGAACAGATTTGGGAGCTTTTCTCAAAGGAATCACACCTTTGTAAAAAGTATTTCATCTACACTTGGGCTTGAAGAAAACCAACTACTGTGCAGTAGTAGTGGGCTTTAAAACACAGAAGCAACCTAATTTATTAGAACAACATGAAAACCATTTTGTGTTTGTTTTGTCTGCATTGCTTTACCACTTCAAATCAAGCAGCCCACTTTTACACATTCCACATAGGTTTTACCCCAGAATGCACAAAATTCTTCTAACTCTACCTGAGGCTGTCAAGCACACCTTTCCAGTACTGAAAAACAGTGGTTAACTGAAGAGGCTGAAGACAAACACAGAACACCACTCCCTGCCAGTTATCCCTATTAACTGCAAGGACTACAGGAACACCCAAGTATTAGAAACAGAAAAGGCAAGAGTACTGTTCTAGTCTAAAATAAAGTAACTATAAAGTGGTCCATCAATGGGCTTCTGATTCCTTTTTTCCATCACAAAGTCTATCGTTTGTAACACTCTTTCTTAGCTTACAAATTTAAAAATGGATTCTCATCACTTTAATACATCACCACCATCCAACCTCACTTATGACTGATTATTTATGCAACTACAAATGTGTAACTCATTACAGGCAAGTTATCAATTTCATGAAATGGTGGCGGCATAATACAGAATTTGGCAGGTCTGTGGATTTAGAGGTAAGAAAGTCTGATTACAATGAATTTATGAATGCCACTTTCTGTCCTATACAAGAGTATTCTGTGGAATACCTACAACAAAAACTAAAGACAACAAGTTTAAGCAGAACAGCCAAGATTACAATAATTACCTTCATATTAGGAACGTGAACAACTTCCCCATACTGGTCTTTTGTTTGTACTGTAATAACAGTTGGCCAACCACATCTGATGTCATCCTTATTCAAAATCAATGATGTTTTTTGAGGATCAGCATATGAATCTGGCTGCAGCCACCTACAGGAAAGAAAACCACCCAACATTACAATCTCTTACAGCCTCCAAAAGACAAATTCTTACTCTGTAAAAATGCGATATAGAGGTAAGAAAAGACACAGAACATCTGAATGCTTACATGCTTTTAACTAATGTATTCATGGAAACAATATAGCCAAATCGTTTTATTCAACTAATACTTAAAATAACCATGACAGTTCTACAGCCAGTTAGAAGGACAAGCAACAGTGCAGTTTTACCTTGCAAGTCGTCCACCACTGGATCCTGGTACACAAGCAATGAAATCTTCCAGAAATGACTGCTCATTGCTCTGTACCTGCAGGGGAAGGCTTCCTTCAAGAGCTTCCAAAATGGTTGGGGAGTGAGACAGTGCCAAGCCTTTCCCAAGAATGCCTGAGTGAGCTTTGCACACCTTTTTGGTTTTTTTGGCAGATGTTGGGGGTGAAAAGAGAGATATAGAACAACTTTTCAGTAACATGTTCACATTTCCCCATAATGTGACACAATTGGTAAAAACATTTTGAGCATTTAAAACCATTCAGGAAGAATAAACTCTACCCTCATAAAAGCTTTAAAAAAAAGCCACCTCAGTCTATTAAGCAATAATTTATGCCAAAAGGGGTTAAATGACCTTGAGTTGAGGGACATTCACCATTAGCTCCCATTGTACTCAACAAAAGGCCATGACCAAACCAGAACAAACTGCAATTGTATTATTTGAGACTTGATTAACATCACTGCTCAGCTGAAAAAGTTATTTTATTTCTGTCATTACAAAGACATGTACAAGATTGATTTTGGTAACATTTAAAACTTGCCAAATACTGCAACTTCAGCCAAACAGATATTTTGAAATACTTGGTCATCTAATGTTCAATGTGACATTGCATGTATTTTTTTCCAAGCAGATTCATTATAAAAATGATTTCATTTAAATACTAAAATTCTGTATGACTTTCTTAAACTATCAAATAATAAGCTGGATTCCATTCTACTATAAAAGCCTTACAAAACTATTTTTTCCTGTAGCAGTCAGTTTCAAGGCAATTATGTGCTTAAGTGCATTGCAATGGATAAAAAGCAGCAGCATACCTGTAGTGCAGCCTCTTCAAGTATCTCAAGATCCTCTTCAAACTCACTACCTGCTGGAAAAATAAACCAGTTATATTATCTACATACTGCAGAATATGAGATTCCATTCTGTTTTGTGAAGCTTTTTATACTACAGATTTCAAGTCTGCATAATGATGTATCATACTGTTCAATCAGCAGCTGAAATATGAATATTTATAAGTAACATAGTAAACATGCAGTGTTGTGTAGTTCAGTGCACAGAACAAAATTTGGTGCTTCTCTTTTTGTCTCCAAGGCACTATGTATGGCAAGTCTTTGGATGTGACTAGATACTTTCAGAAAAATTTTGAGAGGTCAAGATGGTTTATGGGAAGCAGCATCTCTAAGTATGCACTAGCTGCTCCCTTTTAAGAGCTTACCTTTGTAAAATTATTTGAAAACCTGACAAAGCCTGCACAATTTCATAAATTATGATCTTCCTAAAACACAAAACTCAAATACACACTATTACACAGTATTTCTTTCTCACAAATCCAACTCCAAAGCCCGATTCCAGGATGACCAGAATTGCCAAACAGTCTTTTAACAGAGGGGTGAAACAGATAAGGTAACCATATTTCTACTCTCTTTTAAAAACATGCCAGGCAATTCTACTAGTCAGAAGAGAGAGAAATAAGAAAACCAAGTTCCAAGGCAATTTTTAAAATTCAAAGAAATAAAGACATCTAAAAACTGTCCTCAGAAATAAACTCCTGCCAGATTTGATACAATTAAGAATGTATTAATACAAAATAAGTAAACCAATTTCACACTGCTGTTGAAGTCAGATCTTGGTCACAGACCAGATCTCTCTCTTGGGAAGAAGCATCTAAAATTCATATCTTGAAGTGGCTGGCAAGAAGGAAGACCAACCATGTGAACATGGAAACTTGAACAGTATTTGGGCGTAACTCAAAGATACTTTTCCTAATATATGAAGAAATCACTTTCTGGTCCATCTTCCTTCAGAGCAAAATAGGCTTAACCTTGTCAGGTCCTTCAAAACACTTGTATTCCTAATATTTCTAGAGGAATACTCCCACAAATATTTGACTTTGCACACTGATTATACCCACTAGACAATTACTAAAAAGTAAAACTGTAGAAATTAAAACAAAGTTTGAAAAGTCTACTAAAAAGGGCCTTCCCGTGTGTGTGCATTACAAGGAAGTCTTTTATATGATTATTGATTCTATTATTCTATGTAGGTTTTCCTTAAGGAACACTCTTCCACAAGTAAGACAAAAGGGCTCTGCAGATTAGGAATGACAATACTAAAGAAGCATTTCACTTGCAGCAAAAAGGTAGAAGATACATAAGCTAGGATGCAGAAAAAGGAAAAAAAGGCCTGATACTAAGGCATATAAATGTTGCACTAGAAAACCACAACCTCACCACTTTTTCTGCCACAGTGTTTTTCTGAGACACCAGGAAAAACACTCAAAGCAAAATTACACACAATTGAAAACCATTTTAAAAGGCTGCACAGTAGTTTCCATTTGCAAATACTACCACTGTTGGCTACAATTCCTCAGTTTTGTTTACTCAGAGGGTCTAGTGGTCTTGGAGAGAAACAATACACTTATACAGCACAAACACAGTAATCCTACCAGCAACATTAAGAGACTTGGTTGAAGTTCTTGAGTTGATGTTAGATAAACAGTCAGACAAATCAACTGCCATTAGATCAGTCATCAAGAAACCCCTTAGCAGCAGTGCACCTACCCCTCCTCTCTCACAGATCATAAACAACCACATTTGTATGCAGCTGTGACTGCACAGGTAACTTCACTGCATATTTTATTTCAAATCTCTATGGCATAGCATAAAGTCAATCTATGTTTCATCCTTCTCATTTCAGGCATTTTAACAGAACAAACATAAAAAGTTCCCAAGAGAGAAGTACAAAGTATAGTAAAATATGGGAAAATAAGTTACAAGGATTTCAATCTTTTTGCTGTTGTTGCACAGAAGAATAGCACAACTAAGAGAAGTCAACAAAACTAAGGAGCTTGAGGGATAAGAGAGGAAAGCACTTATTTAACCTGAAGAATTGCCTGTACTTTGGAGAGTGAAATACAGATCTACTGGCGCAATTGAGGTGCCTCCTTACAACATAAAAAAATTTGTAAACAATCCAAATACGAAGCAAAGCATTCGATTAAAAATACAAAGGTTTTGTGATGAAAACTCCACACTGATCAGTACTCTCCTACTCATTAATCCACGCTTCCAGTGTAACAGTATCTGAGCTTTGATTTGAGCCCCTAAATTAAAATGATCAGAGATATCCTATTATAAATAATGAGCCTGTTTTTTCTATATGCTGGCGCTATTTAAGAGAAATTATATTACTCATAATACAGCTGCATCATTAGAAGTTCTAATTTCATTTCCATATCCATTAATTTCCACAAACTCATTTTTCCTTGCATTTTAAATTGCAGTTGGGTTACTATAAACCTCTATTTGCAGCACCTGCTGTAAACGTATGTGATTTCTTTTCTAACTGTTAAAAATATAAAAGCTACAGTAGAAATATTTTTAGCTATAAGGTCTACTGACAAAATGGTCACTTTCAACTTTAAAACAGTAATTTGAAGTTTTGCAATTCAATGCTGCAGGTATTTTTTCATACAAAGAGGTGCGAAGTGTGGGGAGGAAAAAAACAGTGAAAGAGAAATACAAAGATGACACCTGCACGTTTATGAAGTACCACGAGGAAACTGTGGGACACAGTTCACACAGTCATACACTATCTGTGGATGGGGTGAGTTCATTCAAATTTAAATGACCAGGTCTCCCTCCTCCCCATATACACACAAAGGGAAAAAGGTTAGCAGAAAATACTGCCAGCTTTATTGTTTCAAGACACAATTTTGTATTACTATCTCTAACTAAAAGCAACAATAAGATTTGAATGTACTATTAATTCAGAAAACAAAGATGAAAAAATGAAGTATGTTCTTACCAATAGGAAGTGCTAAATCTTTCTTCATCAAAGCTGCTGCACACGATCCTCCCAAATTTGCCAGTTCTTTCTCCAGCTGAATAATACCCTTTAAATTAAAACGAAATTAGTGTCTCAGAAAATAGGACAATAAATACATTTTTATGACAATGTTTTATATTAAGAAATACTGTATGACCCACTTTGAAACCTCTCAGCAATGTATTTCTTGTTATACAGCTACTGCCGTGTTTTGCTGTGACATAGGACAGTGTACCAAAATTTTTAGAATAAAAAGGTGAAAACAATTACTGATAACTACTCTTTAGATCACAGACTTAAGGTATTGGCTAGCATGTTTTAGCACTGGGCATTAAAAATATGCCAGCAGCTTTGTTTGTAAAAGCTTTAAAAAAAAAGAATGACATATGAATCTACATGGGTATTTTTGAATAGAAATAACTTTTGCTTAAACAAACACAGATTAATTAGATCATCTGTAGGAATTATAAATCTGATTCTGCTGAAAGCCAGTACCACTATAGATAATAATCTTATGGTATGTGTTCTTATCTGATATGTAAGAAATTCCAAAGAACCTGACATTATGAAAATCTAGAGACATTATTTAGTTTGAGCAAAATCCAGAATAAGATGAGGTAAATCTTCTGTGAGGCTTGTAGTGTAAGCAAGATGCAGACCTTGCAAAATCCACATGAAGGAACAGGGCCAAAGACTCCCAAGGACAAGGGAAGACTTATTTTTCTGAATGTAGTATAAAACATATTAAGTGTTTTCAGTAATTTCTTAAGCCAAAAGAAAGAATTGGGTCAAAGATGTGATGAAATCTGATCTTCCCTTTGCAATAAACAGTGGTGGAGATGACTCATGTCCTTAAAGGTAAAATGAGGAGACCACTGGGTAAAACCCGAAGTAGCCTAAATGCACACAGCATTTCCAAGGAGTCTGTGAGTTCTGGTCTAAGTGAGCACTGGAAAATAATGCAAGTATGTCATTCAATAGGCAGTGACAGTAAAAAGCCCCATATCTTGGATCTCTGATGCAAGAGTAGGCCAGAATTTCAGAAAATCTTATATCTCACTGACATACAAGATAAAACCACACTATGTTTTTGCAGAGTGCCACAAACCACCCAAAAAGCCATTTCAATAGTATCCTGATTAAAGAATTCCAAATTAATAATGCCCTTAGCAAAAAAATGTTATTACTTTTATATAAATAATCTAAAAATATTTTGCTAATGTCACTCAGCCATAAATAAAAATACAAATTTTTTTACCATCAAAAAATTTATTAGGTGATTTATTAGGTGAAGCAATTATAACTACCTCACTTTTTCCCTTACCTCATCACTTCCTGGACTAAATTCATATCCAATTGCATAACATTTGAAGCCATAAAAACAAGCTTTTTCATCTTTCACATAGTCTGATGCAGTCTCCAGAGAAAAAAGTGCTTCATTCCCTTAGAGAAGTAAAAGGATAAATTGAATTAATAATATATTCCTCCTCTTTTTGTGTGTTTATTTTACATAAGTATATATGAAACCCAGCCTTTAGATGTAAAATGTGAATTAAAACCATGGGAAAAACAAGCAGATCAATACTTCAAGCAAGAAACCTACTATAGACATAATTTACTTGCCAGCTGGGATAAAGACCCTTCTTTAACTTTGTTTGCCAAAATAATTCTGCAGAAAAATCAAACTTCCTTTAATTATTGCAGTAACACACATTACCAGTAATTACATCAGTATCTATGCATTACCTGGCAATACCAACACCATGGTAGGCCATCCTGACGACCCAGAGAACTTCTTCAGTTCTATCCATGAATTAAGGTTCTCATGAACAGAGGTATGCTTTGGTCCAAATCCCAGGCTCTGTGCAATTCTGACAGGAATTAGTAAACGAAGAACATCCTCTGACTGAGCAGTGCCACACTGAGTGTCAAACTCTATTGTTATCCACCTGACACATTCAGGAAAAGTCACCTACAACAAAGCAATAGGTTAATCATGTCCCAGCTTTTGGGGTTCTTGGTTTTGGTTTTTTTTTTACATTTACTTCTTCATTTCCATTTGGCCTTAACTCTCATTTAGTCTACAGAAGTGATTTAATTACGTAATTCTGCACAATTGTTTTGCTATTCTTTTAATTAACATTAACCTAATTTATTCCTTGAAATTTATGTACACCTGAAATGCTCTGCACTTTACACAATTAGAACTCTGTGTTATAACTTAATATTCTGTTTAAGTATTTGCACTGGCACCATTTGTGATTGCTTTCAAGAATTCTGCACAGGTTCATTAAACAAAACAACCAGGGACTACTATGCATATTGAACACAGATACCTTTTTCAAACTCAAACTTCAACAAACATAATGAACATCTGTTTTGTGCAATCCCAGAAAAGTACAGAGCAGCTGAATACCACTAGTGAATGTGGCCTGCAGTACAACAGCATATAGCTACAGAAATTCAAATGCAGTAACTTCTAAACTCAAGGCTTTAGACATGCTCCATAAACTTTTAGGACAAAAGTAAGCACTACTGCACCAAGATGATCACATGGTAGCTACACTTTCTGCAGTGGATGTCTTGCTGTCTCACAGGACAAGCACTGGAATAGTAGAATAATAATATGTCCTGTTCAGGCTCTTGATTATAGTTTTGCTACTTCTGGATGTTAATTTGACTAGAACTGACTTTATGCATTCTTACAAAACATTGTTTAAGCACTAGGTAAGAAAATCTGATATGTGATTATATACTCTATACATAAAGACTTTGAACTTCACAACCTCTACAGTTAGAGCCAAGAAACTCTGTATGACAGCAGAAAAATCTAATACTATGCAAATTTAGGGACTTAGAGCAGATAACTGAATTAGGGGGTTAAAACTTCACTATTTTCCACTATACTTGATATAGACTTTTGTCCAAAAAAGCAATATAATATGTCTTCTATATTAGAGAATATTAATTATCATCCACAGCAACAATTTTTCAGATAGCAAATGCTGACTCAAGAAAACTCATGTGTAAAGCTTATAAGAAGCAGCATGTGCATGCACTTAGATGGTGCTCACCTTATAGTGTGTAACAGAGGCAGGTTTATAGGGGTGCTCACTTTCAACAACAGCATAGTGATTGGAGGTAGTACAAGCTGAAAGCCCTTGCTCTGGCTGGTTTCCAGTGGTGCTGTCTGTAGACTGATTTGGGTTAAAAGCTGGAGGGGCGTATTTCTGATTCAGAACTGCCACAGAAGGAAGCAGCTGTTGTACCAGGCCAAAGACCTCAACAGCAACCTGTAACATAACATCACACGTGTTATTAGAACGTCTTATAAGTCGGTGAAAACAGTACTCTAATACTTCCATTTCTCTTCAGTGGTTGTTTGAACATTCTCAGAACATCACTAGTAACAATTCATTCAATCATTTTGCAATTCTGCATCTACACAATCCTAACAGAAAAAGCAGCAGTACATTAATCTTGTCTTGGAGCCCCGCCAAAGCTAAAACAAGAATCTGCATGTAACTGCGACATCCCTTCCCTAAAATAGCTTCTACTAAATCTTGAGCATTAACAAATGGGAAGCACAAGTTCACAAAAGTAAATACCATACTAAAGCCAAAATCCAGTTATACTCTATAACCATATTAATATTTATTTTAATATTATGTTCTCTGTGATCTTCACTACATTTTCTAAGCAGATGAACGCTTCTACAGCAAAACACTTGGTTATTTCAAATCTCAGCTCCATGAAAAAACAAGGTAACTAAATTCTGACACTGTCTTTCATGACATGTCTGCTAGATTTTAAGTGGTCAGTTCTATTTCCTCCCCCTTGAAAAAGAAGTCAGAAAACATTTTACAGCTCATGAGAAAGCAATAAAAGGTAATAGTGTATACTAGCTAAGGATTATTGACATTTGTAGATCTAATAACAGATGTCAAGAGTGTCCCAGACCAGGCACTGGAAAGAAATGTTCCTTTATTTATAGCTGACATCTTTCTAACGCTAAGTTTGACAGAAATAATCTTAACTTAATGAGCAAATGCTTCTGCTCTTTACTGTAAAAATAATATTTATATAACAAAAAAAATTTCATTTCCCCAATGTTCATCAGTGAGTTGTAAATTACATTCTTCTAATTCCTTATCTTTTCCTACTAGTAAAGCCTCTCATATTCCTCTGCTTCCTTAAGGTATTTTTGTTATCGTGTTCTCAATTCAAGTTTAAAAAAAAGTCATTCCATGTTTTCTAAATTCTTGACTCATGGAAAATTCATGACTCATTAAATATAAACCACTAATTCACAGAAGAGTAAGAAATCAAGATGGTCAAATTTTCAGAGTAAACCTTTTCCTTGCATACATTTCTTCAGTAATTCCTCTTGAGGAGCATACCTTGGGAATAGCTGCTGCCACTGGTCCTATGTAGGCTATGATGAGGGGAAGCAGCATTGAAAAGAGACTGGAAGAGCTGAGTAACTCTGGAATGTCTTCAGCTAAAAAAGGATAATTAGAACAGAGGTATTATGAATAAACATGGTGTGGTTCAAAGCACATCTTATTTTTCTGGTTTGCCCCTTCTAAGTTAAACTTCTATTTCCCAGACTATTTTTACTTCAAATTGTTTTCATTATTTAGGCACTGCTGAATTCTGAGTCTGCCAAGTCCACTCAAGATAAATATATAATTATATATAGTTTTTTGTTGAAAAACGTCCTTCTCTTAGAGGATTATTTTATTGCATTCTTTGCCATTTTGCAAAGCTGCGTTCATATTTTCTACAGTATAAAAGTTAGCACAACAGTCCTCCCACTTTTAAAATGAGTTTTATAGCACTATGCAATATTCTGAACATTTTGGCTACAATGGCTGATATCTACATTTCTCACAAAGGGATGTTTAAGTGCTTATATATTAATTACATTAACCAGTCCTACTGATTACAGCCTCTGTTGCAAAACTCTGAGGAAATCTGCAACTAACCTGCCTAACTACATAAAACATCTTTAGGAAATAAAGAATCTTACCAGTTTTAACACAATGCTTGCTAAATTGATGAGCAAATTTATACAAAGTATCTGACTATGCTATCACAAGCATAACTCAATGATATAAAAGTTACTCATAGTTTGATACCTACAGGAATGAAAGGTTAGAAAAATATTCTTTGGAAAGCAAAAGAGAAACATCACAGCTCTTGTATTCAAGTCATATTCTACATTTCTGGCTTGCTAGCAAAGTAAAGTTTTGAAAAATATAGTAAATTTTCTCAAGTCTTACCATCTACAGCAAGAGCTCTGTGCAACAAGTCTTTGGCTGCTCGTACAACAGCACTCACGACAGAAAGGGCCCTGCTACAGTTTTTGTCCTCTTCATTAGCTTTGTTCAACAGCTGTGACTGCAGATCGCCATCATACTCACTCCTGGACAGTGGAGTAAGTTAAAGTAAGTTCACAAATACAAAATTACATTAATAAAACCCCTACTGATTAATTTTTGGCATAGAATAAGCAAAAAATTTTTTGATAAAGCAATAAAAAACCACAAAGAAACCATGGAGGATATTTTGGAGGAAATGTGTCACTGTTAGTCCTTTGCAAGAACTTCATTTGGCAAAAAGTATAGAAAGCATTTTTCTGCAATATTTCTTTTCTCTAGATGCCTTTTAAACCACACAATTAATTGCTATGCTCTTCCAAAGCCAGTGCCCTGTCTTGGTAAAAACAGAGCAATGTTAAATGCTTCACATAAACAAGTAAAACTTCCTCAATGGATATTTCTGCATTTTCATAAGAGACAAATATTCTCCCTTCTTATTTCAAAGATTAATTATGTCTTTGAAACAGTCTTGGGCTTACCCAAGACTTACTAAACAAACAGTTCTTTCTTTTAAATCCACTCTGTATGTCAAATTAGGCTCTCTTAAACAACATCAAGCATGCAGCCATTTCAATAAGGTTTGATTTGCTTTTTCAAAGCTATCAAATGACAATTACAAACTAATTCAAGCCTTCAATATGATAGTAATTAAGCCTTGGCACAGAGAAATAAAATCACTTAGTCAACACGTAAAACAAAATATACCATTTTCTTTGGGATATGTTTGTCCAGTGCATTATTTCAGAACTAGCACTTCAGAACTTGAAGAAATTTTACTTTGAGCAGTTCAGTGAACAAGGATATCTCTCCTTCTCTGTCATGTGAACCAATGACTCATACAAAAATATTATGTTTCTTCAAAGTGTCCTAGAATTGTAGCTTTGCTGTCAGCCTCAAGCCTTTTTCATTTGAATTTTTTAGCTGCTGATGGTAGGTGCAATTCAGCTGAGTACTTTTCCAACAAATTCCTCCAAAACTTTTCTCCCCTTATCAAACTGTGTTAAACTTCTGTATGTGGTCTTTCTTTGCATATGCCTAAGAAACAGTTTCTATTGCTATCTGAGCAGCCTACAAACAAAATGAAGTGTGACTTTTACAAGCTGCTCTACAATAGTTGACTGAACATTTGTTTCTTTGCTGTAAGCAAATCAAAACTTCAAATCATTATACATCAAACAGCGAGTCCTCAAACTAAGTCCATAACCATAACCATGCAATAAATAAATTTAGATTGTCCATGTAAACTACAAAGACATTGTGATTACAGCACAGCAGGTGCAATTTTTTTCAACACAATTTATTCTGTAACAGTTCCAACTTGTACCACTACTCTTTCAAAAGCCTCTTTGAATTTTATCAGTTGAAACTCAAAAACCTGAGACTGCTCTGATCTGAAGACAGAACTTTGGTGTGGGGTTTTTTCATATGCTAATTTACCATTGTTAGAATGCCTTGAAGTTGCCATTACTGAAATTATGTCCTTTGCTTTTCTGAAATCAAAGAAATTGTTATTTCTCTTTAATTTTCTCTTTTGCCTGTATAAAAGCAGACAATCTATGAGTGAAAATAGATGTTCTCCATATTTGTCTTTCATCCTTCTTACATAATGATGCTTTCCAATTAAGATACTTCATAATAAAGTCCAAGTTTCCAGGAGACTAAATCAATTAAAGTATCATGACCTGCACCACTGCAATTCCATTCTTTCATAAGTAATTACTGGTTTTATTGACAAGCTGGATCTTGGAGCACAATCTTACGTTTTAAGGTAGTTTAGAGCTATGGATATCTTCAAATATACTATTGCTATAATTTTGCTGGCCACTTTCTTTCTTCATATTTTACCTTCTTTAAGACTTTAAGAGCAATATATGTTCACGTGCTTGTTAGTCTAAAATACATCAGTTGGTGTAGTATTACTTTTTTGTATTTTCTACATCTTTTATTATGTAGGTGCTTCTCACACAATGAAAGATAAAAGTAAATTATTATTCATTGATCCTTTTATTCCTTCCATCTTCTGGTAATCAGCCTTGTACTGCCTTGTACTGTACTACTTGAAAATCCTGCCTTTACACAAATCAGGGTAAGCACCTCAAACACAAAAGCAATGCTTTCTGCAAAAGCATTACCACAAGTGAATTCCTACTGTCAACCTGAAAGGCTGAAGTAAAGCTCCCCTGCAGGACCATCAGATGTTTCAGCTGATTTTCTTCAGGCAATTGCAATTTCTCTTTTTATACCTTTCACCACTAAGTAAGAGAGCAGTTCCTATATAAATAGACCTTGCTTCACTACCTGATGCAATTATTTTTGGAAACTGAAGAACTGAATAAACTGGAGAGATAAACATGCCAGTGAGTAATCTCTCAGGTATCTCCTATAGTATAGAAAAAACAGAAATTGAAATAGTGCATCTTATGAGTTCCTCACATTTAGAGCTTTAAGGTAGAACATGAACATCATAAGAAGTCAACAACCACGTTATTTGTCAAATTAGAAAAAAAAAAAAAAACAGAGAACCTAAAACAGGACTGGAAGAGGCATCACAAGCACAATCTGGACACATTTATTTCTATCACTTGTTAAAAACAGATGTGGTATAATAGCACTGTGATGGTTTTGGTGACTTTCCTTAGAAATGGATGATTACACCACACAAACCTGTAATAAAGGATCTGTGGGATCTGCCCTCGTGTTTGGTTGGTGCCATTGCTGCTCAGACTGCACGTACTGAACGTGAACGTTACACCGTCCGGGCACTGCACCGTGGTCATTCCCCCATCTCCATTGGCAGTCCGGCTGCCGTAATTCCGCAGACGAACCGCGTACTTCACGTTTTCCTGAGAAAGGAGAGCAAAAATAGCTTGCAGTATAAAACAGATATCTAATGGCTTCACGGTATGTGAAAGCTATTATTTTACATTAATACTAGAGAGCCTGGAAAGTCCCGCAAAGCACTCTACAAATGAAATAAAACAAAAAAGGTCCAGCATGAAACAAAATCAGAGCTGTTCCATGTTCCCAAATTATGAACCATAACTTAAAATTACTACTAATTACTTTAAGAGCAAGTAGATATCCAAGAAAATTAACTATCAAGTAGCACAAAAAAAGTTACATTTTCAAAAATATTCTAAAATGACTAGAAAACTATAATCTATCATATGCACTTATAAAAATCATATGCACTTGGAAACTAATTTCTTCTAGCTAAAGGATTTGGAACTTGTCATTTATAGGTTGAAGTTGAGACTTTATGAAGCACACATCAAGATCAACTTGTGAATGTGCATCCAAAAACTCAAACAATTTACACCGACCATTTCAATTTTGTTATCTAAAGAAGTTGTATGAAACCTACAGATCTGATTTTATTTTATTTACCTTTAGTGGCACAACTTTGTCAAGTCTGATTTCAGCTATGTCACTAGGAGAATCATCTGTGGTGTAAGTTCCTTTAACCAATTCTAAAGAAGTCCATCTATGAGAATGAGTTGCATCTCCAGTATGATCACTCTGATTCAAAGAAACAAAGTAATACATTTATAATGTAAATACATGACACACAAAATTGTGCAACTTATGTTTCATTGCATAAATTTTTACACATGGCATTACAAACAAAAAGATGAAAAACCTGCTCAGAGTCAACAATAAAGCCTTTCCCCTGAAGAGGAAATTACTGAGCAGAGGTTAATTTCCCATAGTAACCTATGCTTGTCCTTTGGAAAAGATCAGAATCATTAGTTATAGTGAACAACTGTGTGCAAAACAACACTAGTTTTGCTTCACTACAAGAACCCAGAACACAGTTTTATGCTGCTTCTAAGAGAGTACATCAACAGCACATGAAACATCTGTAGGCACTGTCTGATCATGCTGGGAGGCCATTATCATTTTCTTCAATTTTTGGTAATAACCTCATTTCTTAATTTCATTCATGGTTGACAGAGAGGTAACTGGTACTAATTTATATTTAGTTCCAGAAGGTGAAAAGCCTCTGATACTTCAAATATAACTTGTAATAAAGGAAGACTTCAAAACAGTAACCAAGATAAGAACCCTACTAGATATGGTATGAAACTTGTGGTAATACAAAAATCTTCACAACAAGCAAAAAATCCTACTAACAGTGCACTGTTTTACTGGTAGCCTAGACTGAATATGAATATGAAAATATCACTTTGTAAAAAACATACTCTAAGAAAACCCCTGAGGTTACTTTTGTTCAAATTCTTTTCCCAAAAGTAGTACTTACATCATCAACTAATACCTCCAACTCATACTCATGAATTCCTCCTCCACCATAAACAGAAAATCCTACTACAACTACACCAGGTTTGTCAACAGAGAAACATATGGCATCAGGGGATCCATTCCCAGTATTCCAGCTTCTTCCCTGACTTGTTTTAGTGAATCGGTTTGGAGTGGATTTGACAGAATGGAGAGAATTCAGTCCATCAACCTGCAGAAAATTAAATACAGCTGTCAGAAAATATCCACTGCTAAATTTTAGGCAACTTTATTAAAGCAAAGTAAAGTGAATTATCAGATTTTTCAACTGGGTAAAATTTAAAAGTGAACTCATAAACCACAGAAGATGCCACTATTTAGCTTTGTAGTCAATATTGATTAAAAAGAAAAAAGACAGTATTTCTGATTATTAGAAATTAACTAGGAAAAATCAGAAATCCAACCCGTTTTTTTAAAGTATTTAAATATATATTTTATGGATGAATTAGCAAAAAATAGAGATTAGCTGTACTGAAAGAAAGGTTAGGTATTTCTGCCTTAGGTAAAGGTAAGGTATTTTCTGCCTTAGATACAGTCAAGATTAAGAGAAGGCAGAAACAGATGTTACATAATGGTAAAAACACCTTGAATCAAGATGTTTTAAAAAGTTTGATTCTTTCTGTGAGAAAAGCCTGTGGATAGCATAGAGACAGTGATGTGCCTTTAACAAAGTCAAATACTTTTCTGTCACTTAATGAAGTTATAGCCTCCTGAAAGGACTGTATATCTACACAAATATGCAGGCAAAAAGCAAAGTACTCAAAAAATGTGCCTTTTAAAAACAATTTGCAGTATTCTTCAGCACTAATGAAGCAGCTAATTATCAACAGTACTTCTCTAATATAGTGAGTATATGCTTTTAAATCTATGCAAAACATCAGCACTACTTAAAACAGAGAATTCCACAATCTCTAAAAGATCTACACACCTATAAAATACCCATCCAGCCTCTATCACATTTGTAGTATGTTTGTCCTGAAAGATTTCTAAAATTGTTTTAGAGCAGCTTTACCTCAGATCCTAATGCTGATGCTGTAAGCTCACTCACAATACTAGCAAGCAACCCACAGGTATTTGAAACCAGATGTGAAGAGAAAAGTTCATTTTCTCTTCTGAGGCTGTTCCGTACTGGTAAAACAACAATGACCAACATCTTTTCCAGCACTTCCCGAAAGCTTGTCATCCCTGAAACATTTTCTTCACTCTGCAGTGTAAGCAAAAACAATGACAAATGACATGGTTATTAAAAAAAACAAAACACAAACTTTCACATATTATGAGTATTAGGTAATTGCAATATCTGTGACTTCATGAAGATTAGAAATGTCTAGAAGGTGGAAAAAAAATTAAAATACCCCAAGTTATCATGCATTCCTTTGTCAAAAGAACTGATTGATGTCCTTAATTTCCTGTATGAGGTAGTGACAAGTCTTTTATTACATTGGAAAGACACCAGATACAGATGTCCTTTCTAGGAGATGTCTCTTCTTTATATACTGTATAGCCATAAAACCTATGGGCTTTAAAAGCACACATTAAAACACAGTGGATATATGTTACCTTTGAAACTGTTCATTTTCTTCTGCAGTGTCTAAACAAGAGACTTAGAAGCTTTATTGTTTTGGTGCTAGCAAAAAGAATCTTCTATGCAAAGAGGTAAGACAAAACCAGAGGTGGGATGATTATGAACAGTTTTTCCTTGCCGAATGAAGTCCATGAAACTAATCTAAGCTTAGGCATCTATTGTGTTGTCTGCCTAGCAGTGACATCCCCTGCTTTCAACAAGAAAAATAAAATCAGCTCAACAGATGAAAATCCAAGGTTTATCTTTCTCACCTCTTTATATGCCAAAAAAAAAAATCCAAGTAGTGAACAAATATGGAAGATAATCAGGCAAAGCAAACCTGTACAGAACACTTTTCCATCTTTTACAGTCAGGAGGCTGCTGTATCCAAGACACAAATATTGTATTTGCACTTAGTAGTGTCTGTTGTTTTTTCCCTTCATTAATTTGTACAGGTCCTTGCCAAGTCCATTAAAGCTTTTACCACAATAATGGCCTACAGGAGTACGTACCCCAGCTTAACTGTGTATTTTATGAAGAGTAGATAACTTCTGACCTTATCTTTTGCTCTAAATTTCTGGGAATGGTAGATTCTACAACTATCCTTTATTTACCTTTCTTGCACAATTCATAATTCCATACCCTGTTGTCAGCCAAATTGAAGAATACTGTTTAGTAGTCCCACTTCCATAATTATTATCTTTTATTTTATTATTTATCTTCTATCTTATTTCTCATTCCTGTAAATCAAATCTAAAATATCAGAACTACAACAATACAGCACTAAAGAGCCCTTGATTAGGAAATTGTTTAATATCCTTTGCTAGAACAGCATGAACTTGGATTCCTTTACTGACCCCCTTAAAAACTCCAGTTTGGGACCTGACTTTTTATAACTAAGGTTGTCTTCCTCAAAACATCAAATCTATCCAGATGTTCCTCGTTGTGATCACATGAAAAAATTGCTGCAGAAACACTATGCAACAGAATACTACTCCAAAGGATATTTCTTCCAGTTTAATAGTCTAAGATAAGAACCATTCTGCTTAGACATTCTCCAAAGAAGAAACAGTTGGAATATGTCAGACAAAAAGTTGAAAATTGTACAAAATAATAAGTTTCTGAACTAAGCCTTTAGAAAGAAAACACTTAGGAAAATTAATGTACATTTTTATCGAGCAAAAACGTGTAGGAGTATGTAACAGCTTTCTGTTGCAAAGTAAAATAAACCATTAGATTTTTAGAACACATCCTCACCTGACTGAGCTTTTCCATGTGTGCAACCAGAAGAGGGAAGCGATGGGCCAGGGCAGAGTCGTTCTCGGTGCTGACTTGTTTAACCATGGAGCGCAGCAAGGCCTCTCCGTCGTAGGCGATGGGAAAGATGGAGGTCAGCTTCACCGACGTGTGGCACAGGGCAGACATCACAGCTGCAAGGAGCCGACTGCTGGAGGTCTTGAAGTTTGCTTCCTGGATATCCTAAACACAGAAAAGAAATTAACAGAATGGCACCAGAGCACTGAAACAACAGAGAAACTACTAAGAAAGGAACTTTCCAGCTTTACTGTAATTAACAAAAATAATTTAGAGAAAGCTTTTCTATGAATTTATATTACCTTCCCTCATAAGCTTGAATTCTTCAAAACTGGAGTAATTAAAATTTATTGGTTGGCATGCTTTAAAATAAACCCATATAATATTACTTTTAAAATTTTGGTATCCTTTGAAGACAAGGCTTTTCTTATATTAACAATTATAATTAAACGACTTAGAGTAATACATTAAAGATCAGATTCTTCCTTGAAATTGTATATGCTAAATGAATCTTCATGCAAAGCAGCAAACTGTTTACAGCTCACCACAAGCAATGCAAGCAACCAACTATACTGTTTAGATGTGAGATGGTCATTCACAATAAGCAAAAGAAGAAAGTTGTTGATTACAGAATAGTATTTCCAGCTGCTTCTCATGTACTTGGCTGGATCAGAGCACTGTTGTAGTGTTTAATAATGAGGAATTACTCAATTATTAGTGATAAAAAATAATACTACATGGATGCTTTTAGGCAACATGCAGCAAGAGTAAGCACATATAAAGGCATGGCCTCAACATTGAAAAAGTAGGTGCTGACAAATTTTCTTCACTGTCCCACAGAGAATCTTAAAAGCTAAAGAAGACAAAGTTTCTAGGCTCTTATTGAACTACATTTAGAGAACACCCCAAACAAACAAAACAAACCAGAAACAAATCCAATACCCAATCATTAAAAAAACAATCGAAAACACAACAGAACTCAAGTTGCAAATCAGGATAAATGCAAAAAATTAGTAACGGCTTTACGTATTACTTGGCTTCAATTTGAGCAAAAGGACAAGCTAAGCTGTTAGATTTACTTGTGCCATTTTAATGTACCTGGTCCAAACAGTTCAGCAAGTCACAAAGACATGCCCACTGGAGAGCTGGTGTTGGATAGAATGAATGGAAGCAAGCTGTAAATGTATTATGGCATTCCTGAAGAACAGCTTCTAACAGACTGAGAGGCTGACTAAGATATCCTTGTGGATCATTGTCCAGCTTCACCATGCAATGGTCAACTCCTTCAGATAAAATTTTTCTCAGCAAGGTCCTAGTTTTTCCAATGCAATCTGCTAGTTTGCTGGTTTCTTCTACAACTGCCTTAGCTGTAGCTAGAAGATTACACAAACAGAAGCATTAATTGCACAATAATGAAATATTTTCATGTTAGAATGCACACTTAACATGCAAATAGAAAAACGGGGAATTTCAGCAACATTGTTGAATCTACATTCAGAGAAGTTAATTCTAAAAGTAAAACAGTGAGAGGGTGTTAAACTCTATCAAAGAAACCTGACCATTAAAAACTCCCACTTTTCTGATCTTTTACACTATATACTGCACTTTACTGAGCACTGTTAAAGTACAGGCATGAAAAACACACAATCTTTCAAATTCCCAATATGCTCACTGCCACAGCAAGCACTATGTACAGAAATGGAAAAAAGAAGATACAAACTGTCCGAAACAGCTCAACTGACAAATCACCCAGGAAATTAACTTTAAAATACAACACATGTTACAGTGCAAACATGTGGTACTAGAATACTTAGTTATGCAGACCATTGAAAATTTCTTGTTTCTGACAACAAATCTTTTAATGCTCCAATAACACCATCTGTGTGAGCAAATCTATTTTAAATCATATTCTACATGACTACTTAGATCAAACCATAAATTTCCTGTAGATTATTTGCTAATAAATATGAAACTGAGAGGAATACCTGATATTGGGTATATTTCACAGGTGTAGACCCTCAGCAATCTCAGGCAGCAAGTGCCCACAAAACGTAACCTTTCCAAATCCAGAAGAGTAGCAGTGTATTGGAAACCCTTCAGCCCACGAAGTTCTTCAACTCCCAGCACCAGTGTTGTCCAGCTCCAGTGAAGAATGCTCAGCAAAGACTCAAAGCATTCCTATTTCAGGGTATGAAGGATAGATACCAAGACAGATTTAGTGTTAAAAACCAAAAAATGACAGTTCTGCATCAGTGTTAGACAAAAGGCAAATAGCATCTTTATGCTTACCTGAATCAGACAGCATCTTTATTTATGTCTATACACATCTACCATGCAACACACAAATCCCAATTTGCTTGAGAATATTAAAAAAGAAAAACCAGTGAGAATGCAGGGGACACTTCACTGCAATACCATAACAAAACCTATCTATAAGCTTTATTACAATATTATGTGTGGAAGCCCCTCGTTATTTAAGAAAAAAATGTATTCACCTGTAATGGAGATTTTTCAGTAAACTTTATTTGCTTATCTACAGAAGTGTGCAACACTGACTTTTGACATAATACATTTTTGTCATAAAGTATTATCAGGGCTGTGTTAATTTTGTTTTTAATCAGTTATGATCAGCAGGACCATGGACACTATATATGACATTTACAGTACTTGAAAGCTAAACAGAAGCACATGGTAGTTCACAAAAAATCTGAGGATGTAAAAAGCTTTGTTTCTACCATTTTTATTGTATGTGGTCAGTAATTTCACAAAGTTGTACCTCAGAAAACAAAAGTATTTGGTGTTGAACACCAAAGTGAAATCTTTAGAAAAAGTAAAAAATTAAAATATTCTTATCAGTGTACCTAACTTCTGCTTGAGAAAGCACAAAATCACCATTATTTCCACATCTACATCTTTCAGTTTCCTAACCATGTATGAACCTGCAGGAAACACAGAAGATTCTCAATAGTACTCACCACAGAGACAGTTCTGGCAAAAGATCTCTTTAAAATATGTACAGGTTCACTGGTTTGCTGTTTTCCTTTGGATGCACTGCCATCACTTGTTGGCAACCTGGAAGAACAATTTTAGAACTTACTTGAAATCTTCAGTTTTTACTTTACTTTATTAGAGTTTTGGGTTGGATTTGGTGTTTTGTTTTGGTTTTTTACTTTTTGTAGTTTTTAGTGCTTTTATTGTTCAAGTGGGGAAAAGAACCAAAGTGAAAGTTCCGTTTCAACATAACTTTTTGCAGTTTCCTAATCATTCTAGACCAGCAACCAAGTATCTTGAATTCTCTCCAATTGGCAGTACTGTGACAACTAAACATGAGGTAGATTTAATTACATGGAATTATTACTAATATCTACTGTATTTCATCAGATGACACCAAGACTAGAAATGTTGCTCCTTAAAAGAACACCAGTTTTGTGAAAGGAAAATGTATGAGGAGGTTAAAAATACAGATAGCATCTATCACTGCAGCATCTTCCCTTTTTGTGCCACCCATTGGTCTTCAGAGGTCTCAAGGCTTGTTTTCCTTTTGGCTAGAGCCATCTCTCTACAGAAATCACCTAAATGATAAATTTGTCATGCCAGGACTTCATATACATCAAAATGAAACCTTCACCTCGAAGGACAGGGCATCTATGGACAGAAAGCTTAATGGCAGAAGTGAGCTGTTCTGCAGAGGAACCTTGAAAATGACATTCTTAGAAAGGACAAGAGAACTGGTATCAAAGAATTCTAACCTTCAGAATCAGTGTGGAAGCCAGGGGAATCATATATACAAAAATATATAAAATGCATGTCATGCATCTATCTGAGGACATCTGTATATTTTACACAACACAGTGAAAGAGTTCCAGATTATTAAAACACATAACATTTATCAAAGTTTATGGTAGCTTTTTGTAAAGCACAGTTCATGGTTGATTTTGGCTTTGTTACATTAACATCATCTGTCTAAGCGTATACAGTTCCTAAACTGAGGGAGACCAAATAGAGCACTTCCCAACTAGCAAAAAATATTATTAATGTTATTGTGAGATTCTATGGATGTAAATGAAAATCTCAAGACTCATGCAGCATGACTGCAAGAAAAACAGCAAGGAAGTGAACGTGGGTATAATTTCATTACTTTTCTCAAAGGCACTAAGTTTTCCCTACATTTTTCAGATACTGATTTCCTTCGCTTAATACAGTAATATTTTCATGAAACACAGTTATAATGAATTTAATATTTCTATTAAAAGAAAACATGTCAGTAAACTGTTCCAGAGGCTAAAGTATTACCTGTATAGTAATTGTGGAATCTGCCCTGCATTCACATCCGTACCATTATTTGATTTCTTGGAACTTTTAAACTGAAATACAACACTGAAAGAGAAATAATCTAGTTATTAGTCAAGTCATATTAGAGCTCTTCTTTCTCAATACAAATATAGAAAAAAATATACCCATCATCTGTAGTAATAGAGGCCTGTCCATGAGATCCACAATCACTGCTAGGTCCTGACACTCTTGCCCAGGCTACATACCACCAGCCAGCTTGCAGGAGTACTGGCTCATCAAACATCATTGCATATTTCTCTCTGGGAGAAGCAAATTTTGGAAAATGTCAGCTGTTAATTATTTTTATATTCACTTTTAACAAATTACACTCTAATTATAAAAAGAAATTGAGAAACAATGGATTAAGCTGTATCTATTTAAATTCAAAACTCAAAAGCTTTTAATCTAAGAACTTTAATCTAAAAATATTGTAGTAATTAAAAAATAATTCAGAAGGACCTACAAATGCCTGAGTTGTGCTTGGTCTTGAACTGTGAACAATCGTATCAATGCTGAACAGAGTAAGAAGACATTAAGTTAAATTAATTTTAAAATAAGTTTAAGTCAATTAACTTAAATAAAACCAATTACATCTAATATACAATACTGCAAGCAAAGTACTAATTATAAAGTACTATATAATACTGATTTCAGAAAATGTTTGCAAATGACAAGAACTTGTACATAAATTCTTAGTAATTACAATAAGCATTAAAGAAATTAACAGGATATATATTTAGGGGATTGATATATAAGATTTAAACCTGAAAGAATTAATCACCTATCATTTGAAATGTAAATTACTTCATTACAGAGAATGAAAAAGCAGCTACAACATAGCTAAACCAAACCATATGCACAAAAGAACTGCTGCAATATTTTGCTTATGGTCTCAACACAGGAAGATGGGATTTGACTTGGATTTATAAAAGAGCAAGAATTTGATTATTTTTCTTCTTTTAATTTAAATACCTTAATGGCTTGGCGACATATTTGGTGTTTTACTATTTCCCTACACACATCAAGTGTTTTACATCACTTGCTACAAAATTTTAATGATGTAGACTATCTCTGTTGATATTTAAAGTGATACTAAAATGTGTATAGGGAAGTAAAAATAAAGATCAAGAATCAGGTGTAAGTAGGCAAGCTAAATATCTTACCTGGCAGCACAGTCATATGCTAAAACATCTGTCTCAGCAAGGAGGTCTCCATCTGTCTCATGGTCTCCCCCATCTGGACCCAATTCAAACAACTGGTGAAGTAAGAAAAAAGGTAAAATTATGTCTTAGGTGTTGGCAACCTCCTAACACCACTTTTTCTTGTCTGGCATTCTGGGAAATTGTATTTCCCAAAAATAACTACTACTAAATATCACTGATAGGCAAAACCGCATTCGGAAGTCAGACATTAGCGGTTAGGAAACAGTAATTGACACTGACCTCCCAGCCCTATGTCCAGATACATTTTTAAGTGGAGAAACTCCCTAAATCTTGCAAACAAGACAAAAGCAGAGCATCTAAAAAGGCAAAGTTGGGCAGAAGTTGCAGGTTTTCCATCACCAACTGAAATGCACTGTATGACCTTAAGATATACTCAGCTTCTCTGGAAAGGGCCAGCTTGACAGTTCAGCAGAGACAGTTGATAGTGTTACAAACAGCTGGTGACTGGGACAAAAAATGACACCTAAGAGAACTTTGTTTTCTTACTTACAAATAATTTCTACCGTTTGATGATTTTGAAAATGGACCACAATACATGTCTATGACTTCTCCTGCAAACACCTACATCTTATTTCTGGCAGGACTAGCAGTTCTTATCGTGGCTGTAAGCTAATCCTAAACAAACTGAAAATATAATGTTAGAGTATTATCGTAACGTTATTACCTCTGGTATTTAAAAGGTGTGATTAACATTAAGTTTCTTGGCTGTACTTAGTTATTTGCAATTCTCAGTCATTATGTTAAACTAGAATAAAGTGCAACTACTTATTTTCTGTTGGCTTAGACAAATGTTACTGCTAAGCGTGTCATCCATTTCCCTAGAATAAACCTCAATACCTATGCATCTGAAAACAGAGGGAGAAAATTCATTATTCCACTAAATGATAAGTAACAACAATAACATGTTCTGAATACACAAACATCTAACAGAAATCTCAGATATAACTTTATCTTTCACCAAAATCCTTTTAAAGCATAGGAGCAGAGAACAGTCATCCAAAACTAGAGGTCTTACACCAGTGTGTGTTTCTGTGAGGTTTATTTAGCCAGATTTATTTATTTCGCCAGATTTATTTATTTTAAAACAATCAGCACACATGCTCCACCCATAATCATGCCTATATTTGGCACAGAGTTAATTGTATTTGCTGCCAGTTTCTCTCAGTTGAAGAATCCCAGCCCAGAAGCTATCCATAGAGCAGTATGAGAAAGAGATGGCATGGAAAGTGGAAAGCAATGGCTCCTGATAAAGTACTCTTTTTCTGTTTTTCAGAACAGCTCCTCATGCATCACACAGCATGTGATTTTAACTGGAAGCCCACTACACCAATCTTCTGCTGGTGGACCTTGGAGCTTTGTGTAAATATATCACAGAACCATTCAGACTCTAAAATAACTGCCCAAGATATCTCTAGGATGGCACAGCATTTAATGAAGGTAAGAATGGGCCAATTTCATGAAAAGTAAGAATGGTAATTCTCAGCTCTCTACTTCATCCACTGTGCCTGCATAATGCTTTCCACATACAGTAAACCACTCATGAATCAAGAAATAAAACTAATCATGGTTTTGGACAGCATTACTGAAAGTTGTGATTTTGAGACACAATATTGCTTAAAATAAAACCAAACCTCCTACCTTTATTTTAGCAGTGTATTCACCTCTACCACCAAAAAGACCAAGACCACCAAGCAATATATCTGTGTCAGCACAGAAACGGATAGCTTCTACTGAGTGGGCTGAATAACCCCAGCCTCCTCCATGACCTGCAGAAACAAACCCCAACAAAAATATAGTTAATCTTAGTCTGTTGTTCTGCAACCTCATCAGCATGTGCTATGAAATTTTAGCGTGTACATACTTTCAAATCTGTTAACAACACTATAGTCTTCTTTAGAATAAACTTTCATTACTGCTTGAGTCTCTTCTTCTGTATTTGCAACACCCATTTTTAAGTCCTGCATAGCAGCCAAAGTATCAAGGCAACCTAAAAGAAAGCAAAACCAAAAAGAACTCAAATCTCACTGTTGATTATAATAATTGAAATAGAAATGAATACTAGTCAAGAAAATCAAAGCAATCTGTTTTGTCCCTACACCACACATATGCTAACAAGTAGCTTTATACTTTTGATTTAGTTATGGGTCACTGCTGCAGAATCTCAAGGCTTGGTAATGAACATAAACTTCATTTATTATCCAGAACAACAAACAAATGTGATTAAAACTATTCTGAAACTTTCCTAATGGCAAATAAATTGCCAGTAACCTTTTTTTCCTTTTTGCACTTAAAATATTACCCAAAAAGAGTTAAAGTAGGAACTGAATTACGATCAGATTTGAAAGTCTTCACAAAGGTGTTTTGTTTCATACACATAAGTACTAACACGCCTTACTTTGACACAGACACAAAAAAAGTGCTGTTCAAGTTGAAAGTTACCACATCTCTAGCACACAATGAAGTGAGCAGGTCAAGGAACAGATGACTTATCATAATCAGTGGACAAATGAGTAAAAATAACTGGGTATGTTGCACATGGCCAGTTTATACATGAACACAGTGTACTTACGTGTTGCATTTTTAGAATACAAAAAACTACAAAAGGAAATAACATTTCCCTTAGTGACTCTGTATACAAAACTGCAAAGATATTATATACTGCATTTACTTTAAAATAACTTATTGAAGATCACTTTTTCCAGGTTTGAGTTCTTTGAGATTCCGGGTTAAGAGTACTGACTTTATTCTGCGGACTTTCCAAAAAGATCCTCAAGGAAGGTCTCCTCCTTTATTATGTAGACATCTAACAAGTTTGACCAGAACTCTAAAATCCTCGAACATCATAAAAATGGCAGAAGATAACTACATTAGCCAAATTATAAAAGTTAAAACAAATGGTGAAAGGCTACAAAGTGAAATTTTAACTAAAAAAGTCAGGAAGTTTTTAGATTACTATTTGTTTCTACATTAAGCTATGTTACTTTATTTTGTCTAAGGTTCTGACTCATGAACTATAAATATATACCTAAAATATGCAAAGCTGCATGAGATCTGGTGGTTAGAGCTTTGGAACCTGTTGGCAGAGCGAGTTCTGGACTCAGAATACTACACCGGGATTGCATGTCTGGAGCTGAGGGAAGCCTGGAATCGGCAACTACTGCGTTGTAACTCCACAGTTCCCTGGCATTTGGGCGAAACCTGGAGCAAGAGAACACAGAATGAACAAAACCTGTCATCTACTGAAAAAAAACAAACCCTTACCAACAATTACATTTTTAAGACATGCTGGTATAAACTCTTGGAACTGAGCATCTCTATCACAAATATAGAAAACTTGATTAGCTTAACACTCCAGCAAACAAAAGGATACAAAAACATTATTATACCTTAAGTCAAAAAGTTGTATTAGGGTTTAGAAATTTCAGAAAATATTAAGATATTTCTCAAAACTAACAACTGCTAAAACAGCATTATCTATTAAGAAGTGTGAAGTAACTAGCTAAGTACTAAACAGAATGGCAGATGTGCTGAAAAATTTTAAGGATGCCAAGCAAAAGGAAAAGGCTTACCTTCAAATAAGAGAAAAAAATCTTGAGGAATCCAACGTATTTTGTTTGGGCTTTTTTAAATGGGTAACATCGCCTCATGAGTTTTTAAGGGATTATAAAAAAAGGGCAGCATAAACAAGGGAATACAAAGACTTTCTATAATATAGATTAACACATAGAAAAAAGAAAATGAAATCTTTGAAACCACTACATAAAAGGAAAAACAGTAAGAAGTCTACAGGAGTGTTCTGAAGAAGCACAAAAGGAATTTTCACTTGCTACACTTTCAAAAATCTTAAGGTCAACAAAATAGTTTTGGCTAAAAATATTAAAGGGCACCATATATATTCAGGATTTTAACCAGTTATCAATGTTCAAATTTACACACATGTGACATTCCACATCCACTTGAATTTCTACTAAGAGATTAAGTCACAAAGCTTTGCAGGAATGCTTAAACTGCACATCATCAGAATGTTGTCTCTGTACAAGAAATTGAATCCATCACTTAAATAGGCATGAATCAAAATGTCCAGAAATAATAATATGCCAAGTATTTAACTACTAATAGGCATGTTTATTAACATGTCTCTTACTCAGACTATTTTCGCATTTTCTATTGAACAAGAATGGGATATAACAGAGAAATAAATCTGCACAGTCTCAAAAAATCCACTCTTCAGTTAAGTATTTAAGCTCTGGATTTAGTTCCATAGTCCCCAAAGTACTACAAGACAGTAAAATATCTCAATTCATGTTTATCCATAATATCTAACATGTGACTTTTTACTTCCTTCAGCTGGATAACCATTTTATTGTCTTCAAGTTGAGAATCATTATCTTGCCTCCCCTGACACTTGCTGCATTCCCATGGCCATTGATAACTGGTTTAGTTCCCAAATTGAGTCTTTCAGCAGATTTAAACATGCTGAAAATACAGAACCCTAAGGGATGTGGGTGCTACTGTTATTTCTAATCTCAACATAATTTAAATAAAAACTGAACCAGTGAGAATCAAACAATCCTGCAGATGTGCAAAATGCAGAACTGCAACCATCCAAGGTAAATCCTATGTCATAAAGGAATGTGCCTGGCAAACACATGCTTCAATTTTAATTGGCTGTTAAGTTCTTGAATCTCAATTCTGGATGAAGACATCCAAAGTAGGGCACAAGTAGCTTTTAAAGACATGATCCTATGAGATATCATCTCTTCCAGACGAATGTTGGCTAGCTGGTTCCCTGCATCACTCAAACTTGTTTTGTCTTCAAGCAATTTAAATATCATCAAGCTCACAAACTCAGATGGAAGTTCAGATTTCTCTATAAATCCTAGTTAATATACCTTTTAAATTGTTATAGAAGAATTGAATGTTATGATTCTGTGTTGGAACAAAGGCTTATTATCTCCACTTGCTCAAAGACTACACTTCAAAGACTGAAATAAATACAATTGGTCTGAATGTCTAAGCCATCTAAATAAACACCTTTACTTTGACCTCTCAAAATGTCAGAACTGAAAAGAATACCATTGCTCCACCCCTTCTCTAGTGGTCTTAACCACTAATGGCTGACAGAAGAACAACAATTTAAGACACACACATAAGGCAGCTGAATATGGCAAGGAAGTTATTCAGTCAAGTGTTAGGGAGATAGAGGAAAGGGATTTAGAAGAGTACAGAGACAAAACAGATTTGAATCCCTAAAGTATTATGAGACTGGAATGAGAATGATGCAAAAAAGAAATTTTAAAAATGCAGACAAGAGAACATGTTTGTTTTGGGCTTACTTGAACAAACCATCCAAAAATGTGAAAAACATTTATGGAAGACTAAAAACTGTTTTTCATTTACAGAGAAAATAAGCATAATCAAATCTCCAGCCTTGAACAATATTTTAAAAATTATTTATATATTACTGTTTTAATAGCTATAATCCACACTTGCCTCCAAATAACATCATAGACAGGATCCAGACACACACCAGAACCTTGAAGATCTTCCTGCTCAGAATCATTGAATGTTTTGCAACTGCCATCTACTTTGTTTATCAGAAGACATTTAAAAGGAGGAGGTTCTGATATTGAAGCTGGTACCAAACCTAGATCAGGGAGTAAAAAGAGGAAACATGAAGACACCACTCATTAATGCTTTATGCTCAGAAAGTGGCATGTTATACAGTAGGGAAGAACAGATATACTGCTACAACAAAAATATAAATAGAGATAAGATTTAAATGCAGGTGAAGATTAGACTTTCACATTATTATTTTAAATAAAAAACACCTTTCTAAAGAAAGGATCACCATATGTAGTAGAACTAGAAGGCAAAAATATTTTCAGTCTCTCCATCCATGTTTTTGACTTGTTGCTCCTCTATTGTTTACACAACTGAACCCACTTTCTCCTCCAGTACTTCTATAAGCATTTAAAATAATAGAGAAGCGTTCTTGCCTATTATATGCCTGCTTGCAAAGATCTCTGATGTAGCAAGCACATGAGAATTAATGAGAGCTTCGTCAATCCGGAGGAAAGTCTGGTCCCCGCTCGCGCCAATCCACGTGGCTTTGCGCCCATACTTGGAGCCTATGTTAGGCATTGGGGCTGGCTTTGCATTCCAGTAGGGCATGTCCAGAATTGGTCTGCCAAGCTGACCTTTCTGTAGGAAGAATGCAAGAATCAGTAAGTGACAGTAACAGTTAGTGTCAAAGATAGATAAATTACTTCAATAGTTCTGTCACACAAAATTGCTAAGCTGGTAGAGAATTTACCACAAAACTGCCTTCAAAATGCAGTGGCTGCTCCAAGTGAAGTGCTACACATTTAACTACAAGGAATAAGTTACTGACAGATATACTCCTCCCTTTTCAGATAGGCTTTTGAGTAAAGTTTTTGTTAAATATAACTCCAACTCTCTATGATGGATAACCCTCCTCTGCATCTTCAAAATCAAATATAAAAGCATTGTTTTCGTACAACGTTCAATATCTGATTAATGTTAGTGCTAAAGAAGGAATAGATTCATAAGAAAAAAAATTTATATTCAGCTAGACCATCCAAGTTCCATTCAATTCTGAACTTATATGGACTAAGATTCATACAGCAAATACCTCTTAAAAGTACCTAGAAATCAATTAGCTCATCAAACTTGAGCTAAAAACAGTGCCTCAGCAAGCACTGCTGCACATGTTCATGAACACTTATCTGGAGATCTAGGGCTTAACCTCTATCTACAACTAGTTACTGAGATGGACCAACAGTTCATATACTGCACCTCAGTATGCAGAAAGAACTGCTGCCAGAAACCTGCTCATGCTCCATCTACCTCCCTCAGGCACAGAAAATGCACTGCATGCAAAAGAAGTTAAAATTATTAGAGAAAAGAAAAATAGATACAGCAAATGTCATCTGTATAGGCGCATTACTCATCTTTCTTCATAACAACATAAGTAAGTAAACATGGTGAAGACATTTTCAAGTAACATGCTTTGTTTTGATTTTGTCTTGATTTTATGAAGCTTTCAGCAAACTTTCTAGTACCACAATACTAAAAGCAGACACAAAAATCAAGTGGCCTAAATATGGTCTAAACTTAATTGTTTTCTTTTAGAGAAAGGGGAAAAAACCCTCAGTCAACTGACAAGCATTTACACCCCATTTCTGAGAGTGAACTTGGTTTTTCAAGGGCCAAATTTCACTGCAAGACAGCAAAGCTTAAACCTTTACATGTTTACATGTCAGTTTTGATGGGAGCACAGACATAAAAGCTTTTGCCTAAAGTCTGAAAAACAACAAAATGTTACTCATTTTCAATTCAGGACATGACTTTCTACTTTCAAAATTTCAGTCTTCACTTTTTAATTTCATTTTTTTGTAAAAAGATTTCAAAAGTTGAAATTTCTCTTCTGTTGTGTCAGGCAGTAAGTAGTTTTTAAGCATGTAAAAATAGCTCAGTACTTAAACGCTACAAGGGGCATCTTTGCCAACACAGGGAGGCAGAGAGGGAAGTAAACAATGTTTAAGTGCCTGTTTAGTGAATATAAGAATGGATTCCACATGGACATGGGGAAATATACACCACATGGATATGAAAGAAGACTACTGGAGTTATGCTGTGCTGTACTGAGCAATAACCTCTTCCCTCAAGTGTAAGCAGAACTTCTGCAACTCATTGCTGTTTCTATGGAAGAACCCAAACCGCTTTTTTCTATCAAATGGAGACAGGTAATAGAATAGGCAACAATTACTTAGAACCAAGCTTGAAACAGTAAGAGTTTGAGAAAACAGGTGCACTTTATAAAATAACACTGTTTTAAATCACCATCTTCATTAAAATATTAAAAAACCCCAAGAATTCCTGGCATTATGCTTTTCTAATCAGAACAATATTAAAGGCTACATTTTAAAACATAACAAGTGCTGAAGACATGCAGAAGTGATGCACAGTTCTGTAAGAGCAAGCATCAGCAGTCTTGAAAGGTCTCTGAACAACACATGAACTACTAACTTATTCCCATAAACAAGCAACATTTCCTTACTGAGAAACTTCCAAATGTGAAAACCTGGCCATCCATTAAGAGAATAGCTGTGTGGTTGCTCCCAGCAGTAACTTGTGTACTAGGACCTGGTAATGCTTGCACCAAAGTGGGACATCCCCTAGATAAAAATAAATTAACTCTATGTCAATACGTGGTCACGCAGCATTTAAAAAACACATTAGTATTATAAGTATTTCAAAGGCTGTGAAATATATTCACTAGATTCACATACTATAGGAAGTTAGAGCCAAGAAACATCTTGCATATTAAACCAACAGAGGTTTGAAAGACTGCACCAGATAGTTAAGTTTATGCCTTTCTGTTACAGGGAAACAGATCAAGGACCCTCTCTTCAGTTCAACTCAGAAATTAGCATAGAATTACTAATTTAATATATAATTCAAGAATTACAGACGTGTAGATACAATAACATATACATGTGTGTATTTTTGTATGAATACAAAAATATATTGCAATGAAATGTAGCAGTAAAATATGTTCAGAGAACTGTACTTAAGCACTTAAAAAAACCCTGGAAGCAATCAAAGCCTTATTCCAGTACAGTTACCAGAAGCAATATTGCTACAGCACTCTCAAGATCACTGGATAGGGAGTTATAAAAGAAATAAAGGTCTACTCCCCTTCATCAGCTCCTCTCCCATCAAACTCAGACTCAATAAAGAATAGACCTCTCCAAACTCTTTTGCAGAGAGATAAGGTCTAATCCATTTGTCTCCCAAATATGGACAGACATAAGAAAATAAACTTTCTATTTCAGTAAAAATGAAGGGGAAAAAATGACAGGGTGTTCAACATGCAAAGAAAGAGAAATTGAACTGATGACTTGGAATAGAAAGAGCACAAAAGATAAAAAGAATGAGACACTAAAATTTTTATTTCAATATCAACAAAGAGAACAGAAACCTACAAGACTTTGAATTCCATTATGAATGTCTACCTAGACTTAATATTTCCTGTGGAGTTAAAGACTGTGAATTTGAAGAACAAGTTATTCCCACATAATTTTATGCTTGGAAACTGGGCTCAGAGTTATACAGAGGATGACAGCACTATGTGAACTTACTTTTAAACACAGCCTTTCAAAAGTAGGGCAATCTAAAATAAGAACAGGTTGTTTTATACTGGAATAAAAAAGGGTCCGCCCATGGTTACCTAGTGATAGTTTAGCAGCTGATGTGGTAAAAGATGGCTCATCTCAAAGTTCTGATTTTGGCTGAATTGCAGGTAAAATAGAAGTCAAGAAATTATGAGGAAGGTGAACATTATGTTCAGCAGAAAAAGGGCAGATGGGAAGATGTGAACACACAAAAATGTGGAACAGAAGAATGCAGCATGAAGATAAGTTGATAACCTAAAGAAGGATGAACACAGGTATATAGAAAAAGTATTCTTTGGTGGCAAATGTAGCTTTCAGTGGGAGACTAGTGAAGATGGAGGGACTGAAGGGTAGAATAAAATTAAGTGGAGGATGTACAACATGACACTCAAATTTAGGTGCTTATCTTGGTCTACAGGCACATAGATTTGGACATCACTATGATTATACACAGACATAAAGCATAGTTTAGCAGCAGCAATGATGAAATTAAAAAAAAAAAAACCTTCACATTTGTCTTCCATTAACTTTAAGGAAACTCAGAAAGGCATCAAAACATAAATAAAACATAACTAGTAATTAATCCAAAAGCACCCCTGTTAAAAGGAAGTATTTTTATCATAAGGTTTTTCTTCCTCTCTCAAAATTATGATAGCTGCAGGCATGGAATTATCAATCATATCTTTATTTTTTAAAAAAGCAGTGAATATTTCATCTTTTAATGCTTAAAAACCGTGCTATTATCACCATAACTATTTATCTTTCTGTTCTTCCAATTGACTCTATCACTAATGTTATATGAATGCTGTGTTTAATAGCATCTTGGCTACAGCAGAACAAAATCAAATAAGCCGCTAATGCAGAGAGATGAACTACATTACCCTCTTAAACAGTTTTTTCATTAAGATCACCCAACTTTTGGAATGGCCAACTACAGTCTATCAGTTCATTTAGAAGTGAACAGAAAAAAAAAGTAAGATACTCAACTACATAAAATAAACATGAATTGCAAAAAACTAGCTTTCACTTCATAAAAGGAAAGGGATTTCAAAAAATACAGACAGTTTGACTAGTGCACATAGAATTTAAAACCCGTGATACTACTGAGTATTTCCTTATCCCCCTGAAACTCAACACAGGAAAGCTCAGAATAGACACTAAAGAGTCTGAGAGACTCTGGGCAAAGTTTTAACAACCAAAGTTTCTCCATCTGAATCAAGGAACACAAGAACTACTTTTCTGGGATGGAGTGGAAAGATGCTGGTATTAAAGTCACAGAACATTTGGTCAATCACAAAAGACCAAGCTCAGCTATAGAGAAATTAACCTGAGATCCCTTAGGAAAAAGCAACAACTGCTGAATAATTGAGGAGATGTACATGCATCAGCTAACTCAGGATCCTGAAGAAGGTCCAGATGCATTCTGGCTGTCCACATGCAAACCCTCTTCCATCCCCAAAGGTAAGCATTTCTCAGAGCAGTTGTAGCCTTTGAAAATTCATTATGCATGACCTGTTGGAACAATCTCTGTCCGTGGTACTGATGCAGCCAACAGCTGTCTGCCAGCTCCCAAAACATGTCACTTGGGGCAGCTGACCGTGGTGCTGCAAGCACGGTTCACTGGGAAATGTTACTGTGTAGTGGGTGAGAGGAAATCAGTAGCAACTTTTGTGCATTGTAAGCAGAGTTGGACAACTTCATTACAGAGAAAATAGAGATTTCTGTATTTTTAGAAGTGACTCTATTTTAGAGGAAATCTGGTGAAAAGATGTAAATATAACCTGCACTCCACCACTGGAGTAAAATATTCAGAAAATACACCTAAAATCATGGTCCTAACAAACAGATAACAGAACATTTTTTTCCCCTCTGGAGTTAGTAATAGAATATAGTCTCTATTCTTTACCTTGAAGTGGAACATAGCTGATCATCTATGGAAGGTCTGATCAGTTTTGGTTTATGTTACTGTTGAACCTTTGGAAGCAAAATCCTATCAAGACCATATCAATTCAGTCATTCCATTTCTGGAGCTTGACTGTCAGGTAATGTACTTGCTACTGGAGTGCTGAAGTCAAGAGTTTGCACAAAAAAATGCAGGCAAATTTTGAACAGTTACAGAAAGATCCTGGAGTTTTAACTTCCATCTTCTTGAGGGAAGCATCAGCAACAAACACACCTTTGCTTACCTGAGCACAATACATGCTATCTTTCACAAAGACTAGATACTGCAAAGCATTTCTTGTTTCCACTGAGTTTCTATTCATCAGCATCTAATTTGAGGAGAATATAAGCACAGACTGACAAATCTTTCATGTAGTGAATAGCTTATCAACATCTGTCACTGTGGATGCTACAACAAAAAGCCTACACAGGCTAATTGAATGGTTCCAGCTTACTGATACGGCATGTAATCTATCTCATTCCTGCTGAAGTAGAGGAAGAATGTGTGATGTTTACAATATTCTAACAGAAGAGTCTAGAATCCCCTTAATTAAGGAGCAAGGCATGTCTGAACAGGTGTTCAGAATTTAAAATACTTGACCATTTTCAAGACTTTTAGAAACGTAGCCTCCCTACTAAATCTTTACACTGCAAGTCAAAAGCCTCTGAAAGGATGCCTAAATATTACTTTTCTTTTTTTCTCCTCTCTCTTCTCTCTTTCTCCCAGAAATACAGTAGAGTATCAGTTCCTGAATTCAGAAGATGATGCTCTTCCTGAGGTCAATACAGGCAATGTGACACACTGCATGACTGACATAACACTGACCTGGCAGGAGCTGGCCATCTGAGCACCACTGCGTCCCAACTGAGGTGGAACTCTGCATAAGGATTCCCTGTTTCCTTCTCTGAATCCCTTACTGTGAGGACAGAGGAGAGATCTCTACTTAAAGCTGGAAAAAGAAGTAGATCAATGAAGAAATTATAATTTGAATGATGGTGCTAAATAGCAATATAGTACTATAGCCAGTTCTCATGCATAGGACATACTCTAAATTCCTTCCAGGCTTTTTTTCAGAGACTTTCTAGGTCTGATGTAGAATGATACGAAGGTCTGTGCCAAGTCACTGGCACCTCCTCAGCTTCTACTTTTGGTCAAACACTATCCTTCAGTACAAGAATTTTCATATTCTCCTTTAGGATCTCACTTGGAACTACGACTGGTCTTCATCCAGTTTCTACCTAAATAAGCAACAGATGTAGGGTTTACCACCTGAAATACTGACAAATACAGCAGATATCTCCAAAGCCTTCTGACAAGCCAAGTGATTTCATCAAAGTTAGAAATAGGTGACATTAGGTTACCAGTACAAATGTCACTGCTATGTGTACTTCTTCAGTCTCAAAGACAGAAACTGGCCTTTTTCTAACAGCAACTTGAATTGCTAGTTTAAGCCATTGCTCCTTGGAACAAATACCCAAGAATTTCCAGGAGGGAAAAACAAAATACTTGTCTGCAATACGACTCTATCAGACAGAAACCCAGACTGCATCCACCAATCTAACGCAAACTGAGTAGGGGTAACAGTTCAGAGATTACTATCAGGCACAGCAGCCAATATAAGGCAATACTTCCAATATACTTTCTTTCTTCCCTCTCCCCCTCTGGCATAGTGAATCCAATGCAAGTTTTAAGATGATGAAGATTTCTTCAGGAACTTGACAAAAGAAAGAGTTTTGAAGTCTCCAAAGAGATTAGGAGGATAGATGTTCAGTAATTTTCACCTGACTGCTACAAGAGAAACAAGAGAACTGAAGACAGGTCATGGATGCTCTGCTCTGTATGCCGTTTACATCAGGATACTGAGCATTACATACACAAAGGCCCAAATATTCCTACTATAGAAACTTCCATTGTGTGCATTATATGGCATATGTGCATGTCCAAAGACCTAAATCACATTTCCTTTTACAGCAGGACAATGATTTTTTATTTACTTTAATGAAAAGATGTGACTCTAAGCATGAGATACCAAGGGTGAGATTGAGCTTCACATTAAAGACATCTATATTTAGTTATGTATGATCTCACTGTAGTCAATGGAAATCAGATTTACAGAGCTACTAAGCACACCACACCTAAAGCATGTAAGCAGTGGCTGGTTAGCCAAATACCTGCCCATGCTCTGTTGATTTCTCTATATCCACTGACCACAGTGAAAGCACACATCACTCTTCTGACAAGACCCAAAACAAGTGACTACAAAATGCAGCTGAGACCAAAGCTTAGGGACTTCATTTGGGAGATAACTGATGAACATCAAATGAGCCTTCATCATAACTGAATTGAGATTAGCTCAGCTGGTCAGAGCACAGTGCTAGTAACACCAAGGTTGTGGATTTGAGCCCCACACAGGCCATTCACTTAGGAGTTGGACACAATCCTTGCAGATCCCTGCCAACACAGAACATTCTGTGATTCTGTGAATATTCTGTGAACTCTTATCGCTGATTTAACAGGAACAGGCTCATCTAGGTTTACAATATCATACTATTTTAATTTTTGTATATGTAGTATTCTACAGAAATAATGAAATCCTAATGAGGTGTCAATGTAATTCTCATTGATGCAGGGAGAATTAAAGAGACAGAAGTCTTTCAAACTATTATCAAAGCAAGCTAATAACTATGCACAGAGGATTTCATGCATTAAATAAATTACTCCTACAGTACAAGAGTACTGTTATTACATCGATATTCAGGAGGTTATGGGGAGTAAGTGCAGAACAAGACCTCTTCAACTTTATTTGGTCTTATATTCGAATTTTCACACTTGCTAGCTACAGAGAACCAGAAATGTAGCCATTTCTTATGCAGTAGTACAGTAATACACAATCATGTCCTCTGATTACCAGCTTACCTGGAATTAACATCACCATGTCCAAGTTGACCATGCTGCCCATATCCAAATGTGTAAACATCACCATTTTCCATCAAAACCACTGAAAAAGAACAAAATATTTTTCTGACATACACACATGACATGGCACTGCACCAGTCCTGGTTACCCTTCTGAGTTGCAGCTTCTGATTCCCAAGAGATCCAGATCAGATTTCCACAACCCAAAACAACGAGCACCTCTATGCAGGAGTAGAGCTCTGCCATACAGATGTTTTAAATTGACTCCAAAATTGCTTACAAGCTCTGATATAACTCAGTATATGATACTTATAGCCCTTTTCACTGCTGAAGGACAGTGAGATACCTCTCATTGCTGGAATAAGGGAGGTGATGTGAGGATTTGGGTGGTAATCTTACTTTAGCCTGTAACAAAATTGCGTAAAATATGTCAGGGAAGATTTAGGCTGGATATTGGGAAAAGGTTCTTCACCCAGAGGGTAGCTGGACACTGCAATAAGCTCCACAGGGATGGGGTCACAGAAGCCTGACAGAGTTCATGAAGTGTTTGGACAATACTTTTAGGCACATGGTGTGATTCTCTGAGATGTGACAAACTCACCCTGCCACGTTTTCAGCTTTTAGCACTCCTGCATACATCCACTTCAAAAAATTGAACACAAAGCAGTGAAGATGCATATCACAACCTTAAAAAAACCCCTCTCTATTATAATAATTAACATTGATTTGTTTTTACCTGAATGGTGAAATCCACAACTGACTTGTACAGCTCGCAGCTCACAGTCAAAGCGGACAGCCCCTGGTGGATATGTTGTGATTTTGCTGGCATCCTTCTCACCTCTTTCTCCACTTCCATCTATAAACAAGACTTACAATTATATACTATGCATTCTAATAAAGTTATATTAGAAGAATGAATAGAACAAGAATAGTAAATAACTCCCCACTCCACCTCTTGTAACGTAGAAGAGAGAACTCACAGAGTAGCAAAAGAGCTCAAAACGTGGCATCAAAGCAGATGTAGAAGATGACAGAAACTCTATTTTTTAAACAATGCTCTATAAAGGTACACACTGGAAAAGATCCTCTAAAGCAGAAACTGGCCAGTGAGCAGACAAAAAGAACCAGCAAAACAGAAAATGCAAACTTCAGAAGCTTTGCTTAAAAGCCATCACTTTCATTCTTCGGTAAGGCAGCATTAGTAAGTAGGAAACATTGTAGTTAGACTTAACAGGCATAGCCTAGTTTACCTTTTCCAATTACTACTCTGTAAGGAGTTTACTTGACTCCAATTCAGCCACACAACCCCTGTTCTAAGCAGGTGACTATTGCTTACACAGCTCATTCCTACCAATGCAGACAACTCACCCAGAGCCTGTTTCCTGTCTGCTTCCATGCATCTTTAGACATCATTTCTGTGATTTCTTTTAGTAATTATGTATGAGTTCAGTAAGTATGAAGTGCATTATCGATTCCTAAAGCCAAACTGCCTTCACATTGGACAAAAGAACTGAAGTGCAATGTGTTATTCCCAATTTTCTTGCAAGCTACCATCTTCTCCAGAAATCAGAATGTTTCCTAACAGTTGCTTCTCAAAGAATTCAAGGTATTGTTAAATTTACATCTCTACTTAGAATTTCAACATGTTTTCTTGAATAATCATCAGTGGAAGTCTAAACTTCAGGACTTCATTATTCCCTCTGTGAAGCACAGTAATTACAGACTTACAAAAATTTTTTCATATATTTCTGATTTGATACATATTGGCCAAATTTTTCTTTTAATTGCAGAGGAACTGCTACTACAGAAAAGTCATTTCACACTTTCATTACATGTCAGTTTTTAAAAATCTTACTGTTCAAAGAATAAAGCTATTTTCTAGTAATGACTTGAGTATAGAAATTATATGAATCTGCATGTAGTTCACATCTGTAAAGAACAGTGTGTATAGGTACTAATGGTTTTGAAGAATTGGGTTTAAAAGCATAGGTAAAGTACCCCCTTGAAACATGCACTACATACTGGATACACGTGAAATGGAGATGTGATTAGGAAAACTTGTCTCTCAGAATTGCCATGGCATTTTTGAGGTTGTGTACTACCAGACTGTACACAAATTAGAAGAAGTGTCTCTGAAGGTCTCTGTGCAGCTTTTTTTCAAAATTGTATTGGTAGCATAAGGAAATATAAGGAGACAGAATCATCGTTGAACAACAACCCACTCAAAATTACAGTTTTCCTCTTAGTCCCATAATTCTGCCTTAAGCAGCTCACAGTATTTTAGTCAAGTTTTACTACATCTCAAATACAGTACCTTTGAACTTTTTATGTCTACTTTTGCATTGAACTCTATATGCCAAAGTAATCAGGAGTGGTTCTAGCAGCTGATAGTGCCTCCAGAATTATTTATTCAGCAAGGAGTCTGCTTACTGCTTCCCAATTTGAAACTCATACAAGTTTTTCAGACAGGAGCAGAAAACCAGCTGATTATTCTGGAAGTCTACCTGTGGCCCCTGTATCCCCTCCTCCCTCAGACACTGCTGGATAATAAAAAATATGAGCTCTCCCACTGTGTAAATGCACTTGATTAATCATCTGTCAGAAATACACATGTCCAGTAAGAATGTGTCCTGGCTGCATGCACTTCCAATGAAACACACTGGGCATACAGCAACCATGTCACCTAGGCAGTCACACTAGCAAAATGTAGCAGCAGCGTATCAAGTGATCTGCAGAAACTTAAAGAGGCACATGTGCATTTCTGCCTCACTGAAAGAAAAATATCCTGCTCTAAAGGGCTTAAAAGAAATTAATAAAAAGTTGGGGATTCCTGTTATCTCAGTTGATAAATGTGATACTACCATTAAATAAAACTTGATTCAAGATCTAGCCCCATTTTCTCCAAGGTTGCAAATGAAAGCATAACAGTACTTACCTTGAGGAAATACTAAGTATTAGTGTGCCAGATGCAGAGACAAGTACCTTCACATGAAACAAGTTTTGCAATTACGTATCTGAGCAATAAATTTATTCTAAAGGATAATGTTCTACAAAGTTGGCGCTTCCAATTTCCAAAGCTAACTTCTTAAAGGCTCTAAGAATGCAGGAATAGAAGCAACTATCCTTCATGAATATCTTACTTTGCTCAAGTGTGAAATTTTTAAACTGAAAATGGAATTCCTGTCAGCCTTCTTTGCATGGTTAGTAACTGTCTCAAGAGCTTTGAATTGTTTGGATCTTCAAAACTTGATAAGCACGTGATAATTTATGTGTGCTCCAACAACATTCTTGCAACTAAAACAGCTAGTCTTGTTTAGGAAAAAAAAAGGTCTTTTAACCAAAATACACAAAGCCAAACAGAACATAATTATATCACTGCTTACTTTTAGAGCAATATTTCTGGACTACAGTGTTTATCTGTTACCCCATTACATGGCCAATACCTATCATATTTTTCCAGCAGCACTGGCTAGAAGTTACACTTAGAGATAAGGCTGCAAATAAACTGGGTCATCCTCTTTCCTTCCATTACTTTCAAACAGTCAAAGTTTTTTAAAAAAAATGTGAGTCAAAAGTGGATGCTGAAAGCTTATTTGCATGTCTCAGGGAACAACTGTAACCAGGGAGATACACATTTGTTTTCCTTCAAACAACTGTGCACTTTTTAATTTCATCAAATGTAATATCAGAATAACTGTTCCTGAAAGGGAAGCATAAAAAGCCTACTGAAGCAGAAACTCCTATTGTTGGATACATTGGCACCTTTAAGCAGAGCAAGTTAGTATCTCCAGTGTTCTCCAACTGGAGTCCCACTGAACAGCACCTCTGACTCCATCTCTCTGAGACACAAGAAAACCCCAAGGAAAAGTACTTTCTGCTGTCAACCAAGAGGGAGTGCTCCATGAAAAACTTCACAATGACGAGTTTTCATGTCTGATGTCTCAAAGTTGGAGAAGGAAAGAGAGAGAACTGCAAATAAAACCAACCAATCTCCACTACCACTCAGAAAATTCTTAATTCCTGAAGATGATTTTCCTCTGCCATTAAACGTGCTTGGAAGTTCTCTTGGCTCACATTGCTGTCACAAAAACCACTACTTTCCAGGAACAAAGGAAAAGCCTATTCAGACTCAATAGCAAGTAAAGTACTAAGCTTTAAATGAGATATCTTCTGGCAAAAAAAACTAAGCCCAGCATCATTACAGAAAGATATGGGGCACCCTTGCTTGGCCGAGACCAGAGGAAAAGCATTTTGTTAGCCTTCTCCAACAGCAAGGATGGTGACATTCCATTTCCCACTTACCATCCATCTTTGGAGGAGAGAAGAAGCACTTCTAAAGATGTTAAACACCCCACAGATGAAAAGCATTAATGGAATATGACTGCATATTAAGAATTCTTACATTAACTGTCTCTTCAGATCACATCACATGCCAACAAATCTTGGTTCTGTTCAGCAGCAATCACCCAAATAAAGCATGTTGGTCAAGTTACTGGTTAGTCTCTGTGATGTCCAACTCTCACAGGGTGTTCTGACTGCCATAATTTACAGACTTTATATACAACATTACTTCAACTAATCAGCCCGTGTCTGCAGCTTCTTGGCTGTTTACCCCAGGCTGCAGCTAAAATACCTGTAACCAATTTTACAGATACAGTGCAGAGGGAAAAGGAATATACTCTGTCTGTGGAAATTATCCACATGAGGGCAGCACAAAAAGTAAGTCTGCTGGATTCTTTAGAGGTTGCTACAGAGCTTACTTGAGCTTATAGGTGAAATAAGATATGCAGAGCCACAAGAGCATAACACGTATAATAAAGTGATAACAAACTCACATTCTAATTATAAACTCAGTCTTAGATGTAGGTTTTTCATTGTCAGCTGTCTCACTCCAATTAGTGCTTCAAACTACTCTGCCCTTCACATGGTATCTTAGATAGCCAAAAAGTTAAAATAAATTCCAAGTAAGTTTTCTTGAACGTCTGGTAATTTTCTCTTAGTATTTGCACAATGGTTGACCTATATCTTGTTCCATCCATGCAGATTCAGCTTCATCTAGTCCTAGCAGTTTTGAGGGTATTTGTTTCCTTAGCATGTTTATCACTACTTCCAAATATAGGGAAAAGGTGGCATTTAAACTGCTGAATCTTAGCTGACTAAAGAAGCTTACTTTGTTTCTTTGTTTTTTATTTCTATTCAGTTCATTTCTGCAGTTGAGTTTACAGACTTTCATTAATCTTTGATGCTTTAAGTTTTAGTTTTCATACTTTCCAGATGCTGTACTGCATTAGTCTATAACTCTGAACTTTATATGAAGTTCTCTTCACAGTTTAGTTAGACAAAACAATCCTTTTCCAGCCCGAGAATCAAGGACACCATTGCAGCTTCAGACCCAAAAAGCACAAACAGCAGCGAACTGAGGAGAGCAAACTGGGAGGATGGGACTTCATGATCTGAAGCTGTAAATGGACAATTAACCCCAATAATGGAAATGGACCAAAACGTATAAAATTGTGAAAATTCATAACTCAGAGTTCATCTTGAGTGGAGGCACAGCCAGGTTCTTGTACTGCCCAAAGTATCCTTTGAAGGCCTTTTCAATAAATATCTACTTTATTCCTTTAACATTGTCTAGCCTGTCTAACCCCTGTTCTAGGTATCCTCTCCAGGCATCACTTTTTACTAAGATGCTCAGTTATGGGAATCCACAGGGACTGGAGATGTAGACTGGAAACTCACTATCTAATTAAAGAATAAGAATGAAACTCAAGCTCATTTTTCTTCTTGGTGCCAAACCACTCCATGAATACTAAACATGTCATACCTAATCCCTTCTATTAATAATTGTGAAAGACA